CTGCTGGAGACACTACCAGCCTCATTAGGGACGATCAGTGCGTTGAGATTGATTGCAAATGGGCTTGCCCTCCGAGCGTGCCTACTCCCACATCATCGCCCCCTTGCACCCGCTCAATTGCTACCCCCACAGAATCTAGCCTCATTGTGGACGAATGCTACGGCGTGGACTGCCACTGGGCATGCCCATTTGGGATGCCTGCGCCAACAACGCTGCCCCCAACTTGTACAACATCTCGCGTGGGCTGTGCTTAGAAGGGGTGAAACCAGTTCATTGGTGATTTTGACCGCCAGTATTGTCTTCCTGGGGTGCCAGAGCGAGCACAAACCTCAGTATAGAGCCTACTTGACGTGCTGGTACTCAGCCTCACGCAATTTTCCCACAAAATTCCCAAGAAGCACCGCGGAATGCAATCAATGAACACTAAACAAAGCAGAGGATCGGAATATAAGCCCATTGCAGTTTCTACCAGTTCGCAGCTGGGCAGCTTTAGCTCTGCCTAAGGGTGCTGGTGCTGCTTCCTCTGCTGCTCTTTCATTCATTCCAACTTTTCTGGCCATGTGTCAATGGCTAGATATACGATATCGTTCTTTGAAAATTCTTTTAGCTTTCCTTCAGTTCGTTCGTTTCTAGACATGTTGATTGCATTCTCTCTTTTTGCTTTTTCATTTGCTCGCAGAGCAGATATCTAGTTCATCTTGAGAGGGCAATTTAACGGTAATACTCTCTTTTATTTGAATAATATAGTCCACTGTAGATAGTGTATCAATATACCCGTCTACTAAATTCTTGCCCAGTCTCGGGTATTTCCAAGAAGCAGTTTCAAGTAACAACGTTGGCGAATTTCCAAGTAACTGCCTGCATAGAACCTGATTTTTTAAACAATGGAATGAATTATCGTGATCTTCCGAACCATTCAATTGGACCCATGCTCGGCTTGCATAGCTCAAAGGCGGACAGGCAGCATTGTTGCCAAGATCTTGGCTTATATGGCGCCATATAACAGAGAGAGATGGTGTATGAACCCCACAGGCTCAGCCTTGAATCCGCGTGGTCCATGACACCGCCTTTTATTATGTTACATCCTCCCACAAGCGCGGCACAAAAGAGGAGCCGATGATCCTTGTTGATGGAGGGTGAGGCATCATCGTTAAATTTGATGAGAAAATTTTCCCATCTGACCGTGCCGCTTCGCTTAGACTAAATGTGACGTGTACAATGTGGTCGAAGCAAATGTGAATATGAGGGATCTGTTGTACCAAGAAGTTCATGCGGGAATTTAGCTTTGTTGTTTCAAGTATTCAAGTTATTACTGTACAGTACTTTCTGCGCGAAAATCGATGAACGATCTTTGAGTGACCTTACTAACGCTAGCAATGTGAAAGGGTCATGGCTTGTGATTATTTATTGGTTTAGATCAAATCACAGGTGGTTAAGAATAGAACTCGGCAGCACTTGTATAATACTATTTATACCCATAAAGCCAGCTTTGTGCAAATATTCTATGGATTTATTTCGCTGTTGGTGCGCAGATGCATGGATCCAAAGGGCGAGCGAGCTTTCATCTCCTAACATAAGGTAGCTACTTAGTTATAAATAGAGTCTGTACTTGTACCAATTGGCTTTTATGTTACGCTTCTTAGGCCATGACGAAGAAGTATTGCTAATCTGCTTCCTATACAACGACAGCGTAGTTTATTAGAGTGTAGTTCTTTGCGATCTACATTGCCAGGATTCAATCATCAAATCCAGACTTTCCAGTCACGCAACCACTTGCCACCCCTCCCTTGCCAAACATAGCTCTCAAATCTTTCACAATATCCTCCGGCCGCTCCCAGGCCGCGAAATGCCCCCCCTTTGAGTATTCACTCTCATATACCACGGGGCCCAATGTCTGACTCCAGAGTTTTGGTAACAAAACAGTATCCCCGGCGAACCTTGCGATCCCCAACGGCACATCCACATAACGCTGCGATGCCGCAAATGCCGGCGGGTCACTATGCTCTAAAGCATAGTACGCGCGCCCGGAGGCCCCAGCGCCCGCGCTCGAGAAGTAGTAGATACTAACCCACGTGAGAATCTCGTCGTCCGTCCACGGATAGTTGTCGCTCCAGTCATGCAACTTCTCGTAGAGCCATGCCAAGAGACCAACCGGGCTGTCAGCCAGGCTGTACCCAATGGTTTGGTCCCTGGTGGATAGTTGCTTGTAGTATCCGTTCCCGTCTGTACCGAACGCGGCTGTACGGCCGAGCCCAGCTATCTCATCATCTGATAGAGGAGTGGCCTTGACCTTTTCGTAAAGCTCAGGGTGGGACGAGGCAGTGGGCTCAGCAGGGAATGCCGAGTTGGTATGCAAAGCTTTGCAATGCGCACGACCGTATTTGGAAGCTAGAAGACGTGCTACCAGGCACCCTAGGTCCCCCGCTTGGATAACTGGGAGCTATTAGCTCCGTTGTTGAGAAATAAGTTGATTTATAACGTACCGTATTCATCATAGCCTAGAGAAAGCATGAGTTTATGGCATGACTCTGCGTGTTGCTCCATATAAAAGGCTTTCTGGTTTGTTGTAAGTTACCTTTCCCAAACCCACTCAGGGGGAACGCACCTTTTTAGATCCTGATGAAAAGCCGAAATCCATCAAGCTTGGAGCCACCACGTGGAACCCAGGAGATAAATCACTTCCATGAACTAGCAGTGGTAGGATCTTGGTGACTTCGATAAAGCTACCGGGCCAGCCATGAAGAAAGAGCAAGGGGATGGCGTTTGTTACATGGCTACGCTGATGAATGAAATGGATCTGATAGTTGTCAAATCCTTCTATTCCAATCTTAGTGGAAAAGTGAGGAAGCTTGTTCAGGCTTGTCTCGACTGCTCTCCAGTTGAATTCATCGTGCCAGTAACGGACGAGTCGCTTCATCTCTGATAAAGGTACTCCCCGAGACCAAGCGTCATCTGGGGTCAAGTCAGTGACTTCATCTGGGAAGTCTGTCAATACAAGCTTTTGTTTCAGCCGTTGAAGCCTCGCTTCCGGGACGTCAATGGTGAATGTTGTGATTGGCGGCATTGTTGATGGCGAAGTAACGTGGTATGAGTAGGCAATGGGGATGCTGGTATTAGAAAAGAGAACAAGACTTTCTTTCGATTCGAAACTCAGATGGTTCGAAAGAGGTGCGTAAGAATTGAAAAACATACCGAATGGCACACCGTATTTATACCCATTCAACCTAGGTTTCTTCGCCAGACAGGCAGCATAGCATGTTCTTCTCGATGTCAGCCGAGAGGTCCACCCCATCCTGGTATGGATTATGGGATGCTATTGGCTGGGCCGTATTTTGAAACCCTGTCAATCGGCGCCATGCCAGATCCAGGTGGGAGGAGATCGTGGGGTCTGGTACTTGGTCACCAGGTGGTCTGTCGTCAAGTTTGAGTGAAATGCCAATAGGATCTGCTGGAAGAATTTGGATCCCGTAATGAAGATTGCCGGATATATCTAATTTTCTGGGCTAATCTACTGGGGTTCAATCAGAAGAAGTCCCAAGAAATACTCTTGCTGCCCTTGCAGTAAGATGATTTCTCCGTGGCCGACAGCTAATCTGCTATTCAGTCAAATGAACTATTGGACATTCACATCTACCTTGATAGGATAAGCATATAAGCACAGTTGATATCTCCGCGCGATACTACATGTAGGCGAATGTGATAATTCCAGACGGAGGTTGACCGGTTGCTGAGCCGTCTGCCACGGCGGCCATCCCGACATCGGCAACTTTAGCACATAATGACATCAACAAATTGACGCCCAATGATCAGCAAGGCATCAATGAATAGCCTACTTCCTCTACCATAATCTCAGGTGGTCTTTCCAAAGCTAGTTCAACAAACGATAGGATATTTTCCGATCATGACAGACAAGCCAGTAGTGACGCTGCTCCAGCAGCTCATGGAGATCCCCTCCACAAGCGAAGAGGAGAACAAGGTCGGAGTATTCCTTGCCAAGTATCTCCAAGACCTTGGCTACACCGTCGAATTTATACCCATCGCTCCCGACTCCGATAGATGCAACGTATACGCCTACCTAGGCAGCGCCCGCAAGGCGCGGACATGCCTGAGTTCGCACATGGACACGGTGCCGCCGCACATCAATTTTCGCCGAGAGGGAGACGTCATCTATGGCCGCGGCGCGTGCGATGATAAAGGCCCGCTCGCGGCGCAGATCGTCGCTCTTGAGGAGCTGCGCGCCGAGGGAGCTGTCCAGGAGGGTGACTCGTCTCTGCTATTTGTGGTTGGAGAGGAGAAAGGAGGAGTCGGTATGTTTGCCGCCAACGACATGAATCTCTCCTGGGAGGCAATCATGTTTGGTGAGCCGACCGAGAGTAAGCTCGTTGTTGGCCATAAGGGCCACTTCGTCTTTGAGCTCCATGTCAAGGGCTTCGCTGCGCATTCTGGGTATCCTGATAAAGGCAAGAGCGCCATCTCCATTCTCGTGGCGCTCTTGTCAGAGCTGGAGACGCTGGATTTGCCGAGGTCTGAATTGCTGGGACCATCGACGTTTCACTGCGCAAAGATTAATGGCGGGGAGGCATTTAACATTATCGCGGCGGAGGCATCTGCTACATGTGCTGTACGAATTGCCACCGGTCTTAAGGATATTCAAAAGAAGGTTGCGGGTGTCATCGACAAGTATCCAGAGGTGTCTATGAAGCAGCTGTTTGGATACTCTGAAACGGTTCTGGATTACGATATCGAAGGTTTGTCCACCGCGTGTCTGTATTGTGAGCCCTTTGCTAATAGCTGTTGACATTTAGGCCTTGACTCAATGCCTGTCGCCTACGGAACCGATGTCCCGCGACTAAAGGGAGACCACAAGAGGTATCTTTATGGGCCAGGATCCATTCAAGATGCTCACGGGGTAAATGAAAAGGTGACGATCCCAGACTTGCTCGAGGCAGTCGCAGTTTATAAACGACTTATCAAGACGTGCCTGGCAAGGTAATGGTAGATTATTGATTTATCACCTGCTGGCTATGGAAGACCTGGAAAGAATCAAGTTGTCCCTGGAAGCAGGATGCTGCGCTGTGTAATAAAGAATGATTATGAAGACGTGCGCCCGTCGGTGAACGAATGAGTGCCAATGCCGCACGGGCGTGTAATTCTGCCTTGCTGCTTAAGCCTAGATGGATTTCGACGACAACGAAAACAATGCTCGCCAGCACTGTTAGCTCTAAGCTCTGAGAGGATGTCTCCAAGCGGTTTTGTAGTGCCCGGATGGCCGACCCATATTGATGAAGCGAATAACGGGTTGCAGAGCCTGCAAGGTCTGTTCCGGGGCAGTATCGACTCCTACCAAGAGCCCCAATAGCGAGTGCAGCGTGGTAGATGGAGGGTTCTGCCGTGGCGGCTTGTAGAATCAGGGTTTCCCAGATGGGCTGCTCAAAGTAGAGGGAGAATTCTGGGGCACATACTACACGGAAATAGTCCATGTGAAGTCCATCAAGGTTGAGCGGAGGTTGGGCATGATGAGGATTATGCACCAAAGAGATAGGTAACAGGCGAGCAATGTCGCCTGAAGTTGCGGGAGGGAAAGGCTGGGCAAAATCACACTTCCACCCGGCGCTGATACATTCCAAGCAGGCCGGCTTGGACTCGTCGCATTTCTTATGACGTATCCTGTAACATAATTAGTTACAGTTCTCTCTGTACCTGAAGTACAAGCGAATGGTGGGAGAAGCGAAAGGAGAGGCAAATCAATGGCGAGCGGGGAAGGGTTGCTCCGGTCAACTTACTTGCATGTCAAACAACCCGTCTTCACTTTCCGGCCCCCCCTGGCTGCAATACGGATTTTCTTGCGAGTTTCTTGATGCCCACTGGTGAATTTCATCGCGACTTAAAAGTGCAAGGATTCTTCATGCCAAGCAGACATTAGAAGCAGTGCCGACCCCAGCCACGAGGTGGGGAGTTAAGGCCCGCGGCGTTAAGAGAGAAGATTTTTTGGATATTACGCCGGCCCCCACCGTCAGCCGAGCTATTGGCAATAATTGTGAGGACCCAGAGACTTTCAGAGGGACCTGGCCCCCATCGCTCATTGATCACATCGAAGTTGTGAGCTTCTGGCTTGCGACAGCCAGCCGTTTACAAGCCCAGTCAGTCTCCCCGCCACAAGGCAACAAGCTCCGAAGATGGACATTGGGCCTTTAATTTATTATTACGAGCTTCTTGGCAGTGCCAAATGCAGGGAGAGTTTTAGCCAAGACTTCCCTTTTCGGCGCGCGCGATAACAGAAACACGATCTCGCCAATGCCCTGCCGGACAATATCATTTAGGTTGCTGACCTTACCGTTCATAAGCACGGGAGTTTGTGAGCCGTCGCCTACCAAGGCTAAGCGCTCAACGGCGCCTCGTGTTTGAGAATTGTTGATACTCCCGTCTGGCCAGGGGCTCTGCCAATCACGACCCCAGTCCGGGCATCTGCCCCTTTCTTTTTTCAAGATTGTCCTGAACCTGTGACACTACCCATGGTGAAATGATTTATTCTGGCAGTTTTCAGCCGTTTTATGCCGAGAAACTATTCGGCTTGCCAGAACTGAAACGAAATCGTGGGGAAAAGTGAAACCTTGACTGGACGCTTATCTCACAGATTCTTAGATTTCCGACAATTAGACTACCGGAATGGGTAGGGACGCCGTAGGCGAGGTATCAGATTATACTCCAGGGGCAAATGGTGGAAATACATAAGTAGACTACTTTCTCTGTCGAGCAAAGTATTGGTTTTCTTTAGTTGTGTCAGTGTGTTCAAGTTCGTTCGGCCAGGTTAGCCAGTATTGTCATTCTCTTTCTACTTCGTTCGCTTCGTCTATTTCACTCGCTCTCTCGCAGTTTCAGTTCCCAAATATTTCCGATTGTCCTCATCTGAATAGCACAGGATGCTTTCCACTGCAACAATCGCGCTTGCCGCCGGCCTTTTGGCCGAGGCCGTCCACGGCTATGCCCAAGTCAACATCATGGCACCCATCTTCTACAAGAACATTGATCCCATCGTTTTCCCCGGCAGCTACAGCGAGTCCCACCTCCACACGTTCTTTGGTTCCGACGGCGTGACTGCCAACACCAAGACCAGCGCAGAGCTCCAGTCCGGGTGCACCAACGCCGGCAACCCCAACGACTTGTCCGTCTACTGGGTCCCGACCCTTCTCTACACCAAAGATGGCGGCAGCTCTTATGATCCCGTCCCGCTGTTCCGCTTCAGCGCATACTACAGTCTGGGTGATACACAAGCCGAGGTGCCCATCCCCCAGAACCTGAGGATGCTTGCTGGTGATGCCTCGGCCCAGTCTGCGAGCGCCAGCCCTGCAGACGCCAAGGTTGAGTGGTTCTGCGAGGGCGACAGCGTGGGTCTTGATGCCAACGGCTTCCCCAAGAGCACGTGCTCTACTCATCTCCAGACTCTGCTATACTTCCCCAACTGTGTCGACGAGAGCACCCTCGAGGTCGCCTACAAGAGCCGCACATACGGCACAACCAACTGGTGCCCCAAGAACATGAAGTCCATGCCACAGCTTCGCTTCAGCATCAGGTACGACCTGCGCAAGGCGCTCTCCAGCGGCTGGAGCGGCACTGCCCCCTTCAAGCTCGCCTGCGGAAATGCCTACTGCTCCCACGGCGACTTCATCAACGGCTGGACTGAAGAGTCGGCCAAAAACATGGTTGCCGCCACCGCTTCCAAGCAAACATTCATTGCTGTCGAGGGTGCCCTTGGCTCCGAGAAGCCAAGCTGCAAGCCCGCTGATTCTGAGCCCAGCAAGGGCACTTCCGACTACGCTGAGAGCGTGGCGTTGATGGGTAAGCGCTCAGTCGACTCTGCTGGCTGGACATCAAGAAGCAGATTTGCCAGATGGTTTTAAACTGGGCACATGGGTCGTTAGTATCCCTTTGGATTGAAATAAGGATTGGTTTGAACATACAGTGGCGTAGGCTGGTTCCTACGCATCTATCTGTTCGATATCTTACTAGTTCACTGGTCAATTCTTTGAAATGTCGAATAGAAAATTAAACCTCAATGACAAGCATTTAAACCCATATTTCGGGATGAGCGAATAAATGGATAAAAACTTTGAAGGGCGCTTGAGGTCTTCGTACTGCCTCAATTTAAACCAGCCTATCCCCCAATGTCTAACACATGCCGTGATGAGCCCACAATGATCAGAAGTGTACCTTTAGGTTAGGCTACGGCACTAATGTTCTAAGTCATATAGACTTTTACCGTGTAACTGTTTGTAGGGCAGCGTATTGTTACTGCTTGTTCAAATCCACCTTGACACATCCACAGTTTCAGCATCCGCCTCGGCTGGGCTCGTTTTCAGCCTCCAATGACACTGAGTGAGGAGGCCATGATGCCTATCAAAGAAAGCTTAGTCGGGTTATTTGACGATGCAGATGCTGTTTTTACTAATTCCAGCCTCCATTCACGTCCATCGACGGTTGTTGGCACCCTATAGCTCCGCCGTATTCTTGAGAGCGATATCATGGTCCAAATGATTACCCAGGATGATCTTTCTGGTCATATATGCCCGATATATCATTCAAATTAGCTGAATACCATTATTTGAAGAGCAAGCGTTCCAGTATACACAATCAATGTCATGGGCCGTAACTAGTCTGCTACATTTCATCTATCGCCTAACATGCTTGAAATTCCGAAAGGAAAGCCTGAAAAACAAGAGGATCAATATTTCGAAAACTGCACTGTTTTTGTAGCTCAATTATATGAAATCGCATCCTCTTTCTACCGGGAGAGCCTTGATTAGAATTACCGTCAACTGGCATACGCTATTGAACATGACGACTGTACAAGAGGAGACATACGATTGGCATGCAGCTGGCTTCTCTATACTCTTGAGAACGTTTGACAAGACGTTTAGAAGTCCAAGGCTAGACCTGAGCAAACAAATGGAGATATTGATGGGGACGATGATGACCAGTTTGAACTAGATTCTGGGACTAGATGGAAGCAATTATTATATGATGCTCATCATAAGCCCTCTGAACAGACACACAGGGACTAGTTGGCCAGTTACTGGAAAGAATAAGCATGCTAGAGGCGATAGAGACTAGCAAGTACTAGGAGCCAGTTTCGGCGGGAAGCAATACGAATAAACAAGTGATTTCAAGAGGACATGAACACTACTAGGAGAAGAAAGACATCGAAAAAGCCTTAAACATTTTGCGAGAGGGAGTCCTTTTCTACCTTTCCGTTTAGAATTTTAGACACGTCTGTCTTGTTTCGGAAGAGAAGTGCGTGTGGGAACCCATAATACTCGTACTTCGTTTAGCTTGCATAGGAGACCTCGCATCTTCACCTCGGGATATGCGCCATGTTCACGAGGTGGAGCCTCGGTCATTGGCTCTCGCATCGCTTGAACTGAGTGAAGCACAGCCTCAGCATTAAATTTTGACTCCAAGCTAAGACCCCCTTAATTCTATCATCTAATTTTCGTTCGGTCATGGATGGATTAACGTATGGCTAATATGATTCGAAACGAGGTCATTACTCGCATTATTCAGCCAGTATTTAAATTCCATGCAAAGTCACCTTCACACTTCCGATCCGGCATCATATTCCTCGTTTCTCCCAACATACTGCCTTGTGTTTTCTGTTCCTTATTTCATGAGCACCTTCGTTTCTATTCAGCGATGTCTGCTACTCTAGGAAACCCGACGGCTAGTTCCTATCTTAATGTCTATGGACGGGAAGCATCGGACGACTTGGCAGTATTCCGTCTTTACCACTACGACCCAACACTGATAGGCGCAGTAGTGTTTGTTCTTCTTTTCCTTGCTAGTAGTGTTGTCCACATATGGCAGTTGTATCGCTCTCGGTGTTGGTTTGCTATCCCGCTAATCGTGGGTGGCTTGTGTAAGATTTCCGCCCTACCACAGGCCTTTCAAGATCAATTCGCAGTTCTCGCTGACATGATTCATTTTTTCTCCGACTAGTTGAGGTCATTGGATATGCAGGGCGTTGCGTGTCGAGCAAAGAGAGTCCAAATTGGACTCTGGGTCCATACATCATCCAGGCAATCCTACTGCTAGTGGCCCCAGCCTTATTCGCAGCAACAATCTATATGGAATTAGGTCGAATTATGATCCTAGTCCGGGGCGAGGATAGAGCTGTGATTAGAAGAGCATGGCTTACAAAGGCGTTTGTCGGCGGTGACATAATCTCCTTTTTCTTGCAAGGCGGAGGTTGGTACTCGTGCCCTGCGAATTCGGAGGAGCTTATAAACTAACAAGAGATTTCCCTAGGTGGCGGATATCAAGCAAGCGGTACACTCGAGGCCCTGAAAACGGGGTCAGACATAATTATTGCCGGTTTATTTGTGCAGCTTCTATTCTTTGGAGTGTTTCTCGTCGTTTCTGTTCTTTTCCATCGCTCGATCGTCCGGATACCAACCAGCCACTCGGCAAACCCCAACGTCCCATGGAAGCGGCACCTCAAAGTTCTCTACCTAACCGGCACTTTGATCATGATCAGGTCCATCTTTCGAGCGGTCGAGTATCTACAGGGATTCAATGGATATCTGCTACGACACGAAGCATATCTCTATGTCTTCGACGCCGCTCTCATGCTTCTTGTCATGATTATATTCAACTTCATTCACCCCGGGGAGATAATGATGGCATATGGATATGATCAACCCAAATCTGATGGAGAGATTGAGCTCATTGGTCAGGGTCGTCACCAACGCCTGTACTCCAACGCGTAAACAGTCAATTGTCCGCAACCCGTCCTCAAGGCATGGCTGAAACTAGAAGGCCTTGGCGATTCTAAGGGGCGTTATTTAGAATGTTAGGTGGATCTCAAGTTTGGAGAAACTTGTGTACAAGATAGAAATCTACTAAAGAAACGAGATAGATTGTATGATATCCACAACCAATACGAAGAAGTCAGTATATTCAGCTACCTGACTCCATCATACGGCGGCTCCGTTCAGTCCACTGTTTCCAATAATCACCCAGAACCTCCTCAGCAGCACTAATAATATTCCTCCCCCAGCCGCTAAAACACCAAATGTGGTCCAGCGAGTTTAACATGGCGCCGAAGAATGTAAATAGCACAAGGGCCGGAGGCTGCCGTTGTTGCAACCGCTCAAAGTACTGCTCAGGCACGCAATGAATGAATACCAAGGGACCGGCCCACTGTCGGTTGTAGTTTGAATCATCTATGTCATCAATTCGTGCGCCTTGGAACTGCACCATGAACATTCTGCATTTCTTTAGAAGGTGCAGCACGAGCTCGTACATGGCGATGTCATCGCGCTGGCTTTGAGCCCACACCACCTCGATTCCATCAAAGTATTCAGAGGCAGCCATGTCATCGGGGTCCAGGCTATCCCAGTTGTTGATCTTGAATAGCTTTTCCAGGCGGCCAAAGCGAATATGTTCGAAAACTGTGCCAAGGACAGTGCCGACGCCGCGAACCATCGGGATCCATTCAGCACCAAGAAGAATAGCCCTGCGGCGTGATATGTCGTTGGCGTCTAGTTCGGGCTTTTTGTTTATGGCGAAGGTGTAGAAAACATTCAGAGTCGTGAACAAGACGAGCGCTTCACCATTACTTGCGTTGGCGGAGTAAAGAGTCTCATTGAAGCCCTGGAGAGCTTTCCCATGATGGCGGATAGCAGTGACAACATGGTGACTCTCGTGCTCTGGATTTGTCTCGGCTAGGTGGAGGCTTGTAATGCTGAATATGGCTTGGAGTAGAAATATATGCTGTAGGCCAACTTGGGGACACACTAACCCCCAGAGATGATCGTATTTGGGCGTTTGATAAATAGTCCGACTGGTAGTTGTGGTCCAATGGTGGAGAAGTGCCAAGTCTTCGAGGGAAAAGTGTGTAGGACAAAGAGCATAAGCTTCAGGGGAGGTCAGAAACGGCGAAGAATAAGAAGGCGAGTGAGCTTGTTCGGAGTGATGCCCGTCATCTGACAAGGAGGGCGACTGAGATTCTGTGGCTGAGAAGGTGTAGGACTGACGATCTCTGCTGGGGTAGACGCAAGTCGTAAGCCGACGGACGCAATTGCCACATGAAGGCTTGCCCTCGTTGCACTATCAAGTATCAGCCAGTGAAAGAGGGAGATGATGAGTGGCAAGAAGGGGATGTGTGCTCGTCGCGGAACAAAGCACCAGCGCGCTCGTTTGTCGTACTTACCTTGACTCGGCGTCTTTTGCATTCGAGACAGCCTAATCTCGATTTGACGTGGACCTTGCGTCGAATTGGGGCTGAAGCACCTGCAGCTCCGTCGTCATTCATCGCTTCGTATAGGTACCTCCCAAGCAAAGAAGATCCTTCTGGCTGGTTCGGGTGAGCGAGCGCCACGTCGAGAATGTAAAACGAAATCCGAAGATGACACCAAATGCAGGGTGCGAGTTTCTCTTATTCTGGAACAGCTTCCTCGAGTCGCCTACCGACCCTAACCCCCATTTTAGTTTGGATTTTGGGTGGGTACGGCATTGGCACGAGCTCATTAGTACGAAGTACGAGGCTTGTGGGGGAATGTACGAGGTAGTTACGAACTACGAGGCTTATTTCGAGCCTTGCTGAGAAGTAATTCGACCACTCCATCTCCACCTCGGAGACTAAAGACCCTAGAGAGTGGGCCAGCCCACACCTTTGACGTGCGAAAGTAGGGCCTTTATGACTCGTTCCGTCGGTAAACCCATATCATTAGGCTGGGAAAGGTCTGTTCCTGTCAGGGGAGTTGAATGAGGCTGTCAGGGATCTGGGCCAAACCGCTCTTGGATATTCCAGGTCGATTCTTTTAAAACAGCTCGTCCGCCTGTTGCAAAATCATATTGTATTTCGGTTGCACGAGTGTATTTTACCTGAACCAACAACGCCGGGAATAGTAGTACCCATCGACGATGAGCGACACAAGCCCGGCAGATGTGCCAGAGGTCTTCGATTTCAAACTCTACAGATACAATCCTTCCTTGCCTGCAGCGGTTACAGCCGTCATCGTTTTCACCATTCTCACAGTCTTGCATGTCTGGCGCTTGTACAAGGCTCGGGCGAGATACTTCATTGCTTTTACGCTTGGGGGGGCGTGTAAGTCGTCACTATCCTCTTCGACATCCTTTAACCGTACCATAACTGACATGTCCCAATCGCAGTTCAATCAGTCGGATACGCGGGCAGAATATGGAACCACTACGATGAGTCCTCTATTGGAGGCTTCGTGATGCAAGCTATTCTCATCCTCGTGGCGCCAGCGCTTTACGCCGCCTCGATATACATGATCCTTGGCCGTCTCATCCGAACACTACGAGCATCCGAATTATCTCTCGTCCCACCCAAATGGGTCACTCGCATATTTGTTGCGGGAGATGTTGTAGCCTTTTCCCTCCAAGCAGGAGGAGGCGGCGTCCAAGCAGCCGGCACATTGGAACTCTACAACATTGGCGAAAAGATCATCATCACGGGTCTATTTGTTCAGATAGCCTTCTTTGGCTTTTTCGTTCTTACTTCCATCTTATTTCATCATCGACTCAACTCCCGGCCTACCGAAATGGCATTGGAAGGAAGTGTGCCGTGGAGACGATACTTATACGTGCTATATGCAACCAGCCTGATAATTCTGGTTCGAAGCATCTTCAGGGTCGTGGAGTATCTACAAGGAAATTCCGGATATCTCATCTCACATGAGATCTTCCTCTACGTTTTTGATACTATCCTCATGGCAGCAGTGATGCTGATTTTTCTGGTGTGGTATGTGCAGCATCTGGAGCAACAGAAGGTTCTGGAGCATTTGGAGTTGAGCAGCTCGTAATTGCATCGGAGCTGGAGTTAGTATAGCCTATTTCTCTCGGCGCTGGACAAATACGACGCATGGATTCAAAGTATACTACGTCTCCGCCTCGCAAGTCGTGAGGCCAAGACATCTCACTCTCGCTATGTCCTTAAGCCGTTCAAGGGGTTGCTAGAATTAGCACTTCACATAAAAATCCACGTATTTTTTTTATTTAAGAACCTAGATTCATTATCATCGCCCTACTATTGAAAATTTCTTAGCAGTCATGTATTTAGTACATCCAGTCTCTCGGCCTAGCCAACACTATCTCCCTCTTTGTTATCCACCCTTCGAAGATAAGTGTTTAATATAAGATCAATCGCAGAATATTGGCACACAGAGAACAAATACAGTGTTGAATGTGCTTATGGCTCAACAGATAGAGCTATGTCTGATAGATGCTACCATCCGGAGGGAGCGTCCCATTAGCCAAAAAGTTGTCCAACACGGCTCTTGTATCCCCCAACAAGAAATGACTCAAGTGCCCAGACCCATTCCTGGTAATGCTCACGGAATTGGGAAGCTGCTGCCTGACACCATCTGCCCACACACTGCTACACGAAGGATCGTAGACGGAGTGTGCTATCAAAACCGTCGGCGCTCGCTGGGTGATGGTTGTATTCAGCAACACTTGCCCATTAGTAAGGGGAGCTGGCCAACCCAAACATCTGCTTTGATAGTAATATGTTTGAGAGGCTCCGGCAGTCAGGGGAGCAAATGGCTGAACTGCCTGTAATCTGAGTTCCAGATCTGTCGCTGATCTCGCCTGGTGGAGCCAGTCCTGGCAGCCGATAGCAAGATATGAGAATGGTGAACCCTCAATTGACGTGGCATTCTGTGTCAACGCTAAAGGAGTTGAAAGAGCGGTAGCATTTCCATTGGATGCGTCCTGTAACGCGACTCCGAGGCCGGTCCAGTTGGAGGCGTACGACAAGTCCACAAACTGGAGAAAGCTCTGGACATTGTATCTGATATCCTCGCCTGTTACATTCGGCTGGCATGTCCCGTTGCAGCTTGGGGCGGGTATCGGGGAAGCATCGGCCTTGAGTAGCAGGTCATTGAAAACTTGCCTAGTATTGTTGCCGTTCAGAGCGCAGGTGTTATTGGTGTCACCACTGAAAGAACTGGTTAAGCGTTACCTCATAGGTTGAGGATTCAGTCAACAAGGTAGAAGGTTCAGATTGTGAATGATCAACCGGTCCATCCAATGCCATTCGGCCGACGGTGTTGGGGAAGAGAGAGAGATACTGCTGGCCCAACAATGTTCCATAGGACAGGCCCAGGAGGTTAAACTTGGTGGCGTTCAACGCGCGTCGAACCAGCTCGTGGTCTTTGGCAACATGAACCGTGTCCAGGTTGTTGAGAAGAGGCCCAGTGAGATTGGCGCAGCTCTGTCCGAAACGGCGGTTGTAGCTAACTAGAGCTTGATAGCTAGCATTATCGCTCACGAAAGTACGTATGCGTTGGTTGTAGATGTTTGGGTCGCACTTTATGGGCGTGCTATAGCCCACTCCACGCGGGTCGAGGCCGATGATGGTGTATACTCTCCTCACAGCATCTGATACCCCAAAGTTGGGCACAAATTGTCCTGCCGCGACGAGGGTGCTAGCAGGCACACCGGGCCCGCCTGGGTTGAAGAATAAGGGATTTTGCGTGCCATTTCCAGTAGAATTTAACCGCGTCAGAAGAAGTGAGACGGTTTGGTTTCCGTCAGAAACGGTCGAGTTACCCGACTTATATGACAACGGGACCTGGATGGAGCCACAGTCCACGCCTGGGGGAATGCCAGAAGGGCAAGCGGACCATCTGATGGTAGGTGCTGTGCTATTATTGGTCGTATTCTGTGCAAATACAGTCCAGATATGGAGGAAAAGTGAATATATCAGGACACGTGAGAAATTGTGAAGGTTGAGAATTCCAGCCATCTTGCTGGGTGGCCGGGGAATGGTCGAATTACTGGTTATTCAGGCCGATGATAGACTTATAATGCTGTCCTTCTGAGCTGCTGATGATACCACAGTGGAGAAGAAGCATCAGTTCAATTATATTCATACGACATGCGGACGAATGTTTGAAGTAAAAAAATTAACGAAGTTAGGGGGTTTTCAAGATCTTGAATACAAGTTTCCCCAGATTTCAAAGGGCTGTGCCGCTTCCCGTTGAGATCAGCTAGCCGAAGCCACGAAATTCAAGTCAGCTAGAAGATGCAACAGGGGCCAATAAGATTCACGACTCTTTGGTCTTGGGGCGGATGGTTCGGACGCTATCGACATCGAGTGACATCATCACCCAGGATTTATATTGAACCACGCTGAGTTTATGACATAAAATGTGCATCAGCCAACGCAAGCCTGTGACGTGGACTTCGCTAACCCGTTGCTTCAGTGTTTTGGGCGCGTCGAAGACTAACGGTATCCGGAGATGAATCAATGACGGACCAGAACTCCATCACTTCACTGTGTGTGAAACGCATCAAACGAAACCTGACCGCCCCAGTCACATGGGTTTGGGTCGTTTAATTTCATGATAAAAGTTACATGGGAAATCTCGAAGTATTGCCTTGGGCTGGTTGTAATGGATGCTGTTCTGCTTCTTCATCCTTGTCAGGGATATGAGGAGTAGTGAGAACGCGGACCGGTTCATCGGCAACCAATTTGGACTTGAGGAAGGAGTTTATATCGCATGAATAAAGTGAGCTGATTCCACCGGATGTGGTTAATGACACCTGAAACCAGATGCAGATTCATACCCACGCGAATCAGTGAACTAATATGCCCTCACCGACAATATATCCAAATCCAAGCCCTGTCAAAAGCTCCACGTAAGCTCCATCAGATTCTGATCCGCCGACGCTGTGCCGCGCAAACTTTTCAGAGACTGCCATTATTACTGTCAATTACAGGGCGTGAGACCACAGAAAACAAGAGACTGGTAGAAAATACACATTATCAACGGAAGCGCCCTTTCCGGCTCATCTCCGACAGCATATGAAGACTTATAAATGCTTATCATATCACGGGCCCTTGGGGAAATCCCACCCGGTTATGCAGCAGGCGCAACTCAGGCCATTCCTCACAGGGATTGCTTGTACAACTTCCTATCTAACAAGGACCACGTAGACAGCACCGATGAAGAACGGCGGCTATTTCCTGTTTCAGGCCTCACATTGGAGCGTAGCCAGGCCCATAACTTGGTCGTGGGACCGTCTACCTCTCAGAATTCAGCCATGTTTAGCCACGGAACCCGCTGTATCTTACGAGGGCTGCGGTTCTAGAATTTAATGCATTGGAAATAGTCGTTACGAATATTCCCGGAATCTATAGCAAACCCCAAAAGTCTGGTGATGTTGAGAAAAACCGGCAAGCATATATTATGAGCCCTCGCCCTCTCTCCTCTTGCAATTCCGCCATGGAGGACTTCTAACCAAACAAACAAACAAAATTCATCTTGAAACAATTTAACGTCAACTTAACATTTTATACACTTTTTTACAAGATGCGCTTCTCACTTCCCATCTTCGCTGCTCTGGCTACGGCCACCTCCGCCCAGGTCATTCGAGCCACGACCTATTTGGATGCTAAGTGCAGCCGAATGAACGCCAACACCTATGTTTCCCCCACTTCACAATGTGCCACCTTAACCGTTGGTACCATGGCGGCTGTCGAAATGTCTACCTCTGACGAAGGAGTAACACTGGAGGGCTACTCGACTATCGGGTGCTCGGGGTCACCTGCCATCACTATTACCGAGAAGGATACCTGCATCGACCTTACTGGTTTGGGTATCTTGAGTTGGAAGGGTGTTTTCTAATAACCTCATCGGAAATGATCTTAAATGAGAGAGATACCAACAGAGGAAACCAAAGTGACAGTATCCAAAGCTGCGAGCTCTGTCTCAAGACCTTTCCAAGATTAGCACACATTGTATTGGAAAAGATATGGTGATAGCAATCAAAAGTGTTCTTTTTCTCAGGCTTGTCAGCAATCTTGTGTTTACAAAGTAAAGCAAACTATGTGCCCAACCGGAGACCCAATCATTCGAATCCAGAATACTGATGGCAGGGAACAACGTAATTTGGCTCATCTGAAGTGAAAATAGCCCAGAAGGGGGAATTACTTAAGCCAGAAACTCAAGGACAACGAGTCGGTGTTTTCCGGCCTGTACAAGACAAGACTGATACACTCTTTCGTCGTCAGATATATCATATACCATTCTAGAGAGCCCTAGTCAGCGCCCAATTACTCTCCCCCAAATCCCTTCACGGACCATCTCTTCAAGCTCTTTCCTTTTTTTGCCAGGGATTCATTGGATCTTGAAAATCAATAGACGAGGTTCACATTTATTTATCGGCTTCAATAGAAGGGGGGGGTAGATAAAAAAGTCAAAAAGATTGGACGAACAGGGAATCGAACCCTGGACCACTCCCAAGCTTTCCACAGGTGAAATCATGCTAAGGGAGTATTATACCACTAAACCATTCGCCCCAGACGAGTTTCTGATTCCTCAAAATGCGCCACTATGTAAAATAATTCTCATCCCAAAAATCGATCACTGTCCTCTATCCAATGAATTTTCAATTTTTGATAAACTGTTCAGGTACTTTGTTGATTAAGAGTTCCGTAACACTTGTCGCAGATAGTCGCAGATACATCCTCAAGACAGCTCGTTCTTTAGCTGATGTAGATTAGCCGTGTCTTGGGACAGTCCGTAACTTAATCCCTCCACCCTCCATATCATCATTTGGCACTCTTCCTACTCGCTTCATAGGCGTAGATCAAAACAGGCGAGAATCTAGATGATGATACAGTCTTCTTTAAACTCACGGAGAACACAGTAAAAGTTTGGGCAGATAGAAATTGTCACAAATCTAATAACAGCCAGGTGTTATGTCAACCCGCAATATGTATAAAACAGTGCAGATGCATTTCTCTCATGACCCAACATTAGCGCGCCCTTTCTTGTCCTCCATGACAGTTAAAGAAGCATTAGCGTGGAGTGGGAAGGATGAAATCTTTTCGCGTTTTCAACACTCATTCTTTTATCATCCGTAAAGTACAGTAGGCAACTTCGATGTATTGGGAACAACATTCATATTGCCCTCGGTATTGCTTAGGGAAGATGCCCGGTAGCTTTAAAGCGCAATACATCTATACGAAATAAATGATACAAATTAGGAAATAATATTTCATGGTTACATGGGGGCCAGCACACGCTTCTAATTTAACACTGGAACTTCTGTCGCACCCAAGCGCCACGTTGGCTCATCCTGCAGTGCTTCGGGGCGCAGAATCGCCCGAGATAGTGGCATGTAATAAACGGTCCCTTTACAGTTACTAATAATCTCCCGCATGCAGTGCATTTTAACAGGAGAAACTGAAGTTACCATGATATCTCAAAATCCCAGGAATAGCGTCCTGGCAAATCCTTAAGATCGTGTATGAAGACTAAAGGTAATTCGTTATTCAGTACCCCATTGGATATTTTAATATTTAGCCTAATACCCCGGGCATAATATTCTGTCCCCTGCGCCTTGTTAGCTCCTAAGCTGACTCAGGTTCGAGAAGGGTTCACCAGCATGGCACCTTACCATGCTGATACTTGGATGTTAACAGAAACAGGAATGATGTGCGATCCTAATGCTTGACAATAGGAACAGCAAGATTAGCCAGCTGAAGAAGCGTCAGAACTCGTTGACAGCTCGAGGTATAAAACCGTCAAGCTCGTCCTCGAGAACCAGAATACTAAATTACTACAGCAGTCACCAGAGTTGTGAATTCCATTCCTTACGAACCGACGTCATTCTTTTAGAGTAACCAACGAAATACTTTCTTCAAACATGCGGCCGTCAATTGCAGCCATACTCGCTGTGTGGGCTTGTTCCTCGGAGGCCAACATAGTGGGTGTTGGAGCGCCTGAAACGATTCAGCCTGGTTCCGCGGCCGATCTCAAGATCTGGACTGGCGGTGTATACCCAAGCTCCATTGATATCGCCGTCGCTTTCGGGTGGTCTCCTCGCGATTCTGCAGTCAAGGGGAACATTGGAAATATTCTGCGGTACACTTATATTGGACCCTGTAAGTTCCAACGCCTTTATTATCCATTGAGGAGTAAGTCGACATTACAATACAAATATACTCACAATTCCAATACACAGACGAGTCCAGTCTAGGCCTCTTCAATATATCAATCCCTGTACGGTTTCCGGCCGATATCCCCCAGGGTGAAGGTGTTATCTCAGCATCCATCTTTAGTTTGCTACACGATCAACATATTGCCAATTTGAGAAACTACCAGATCGATGTCACCTTCGGCGGACAGACCTCTTCTAACTACGTCTTTCAATGAGGCCATTTAAGTTGGGGGAATCTCACTTGACAGCTAGGTGACTTTTTGTAGCAGACCGCTCAAAATTGACGACGGCAATACTCCTCAATTGGCCAATAATGGTGATGTGTATTATTATGATCTCATTAATTGCTATGTCAATTAGTTCTTCATATCTCAAAATTGAATTATCTTCCATTGAGTTAGATTAGTATATATATATTCTATTTTCATACTCATTGTACTGAAGTATGCGGTGAATTGGACTTTCGCACTGGATCTAAAAAGCAGAAGCAAACCCATGAGTGAGGCGGGCTTCTGCATATACAGGACAGTTCCACCCGGGCTCGAATTAACCAACTTGTACGAGCCAAATACTCGGAAATATCCATCCGAAGCTCACACAAATGTGTATAATACAGTCAAGTCACAAGATGTGGTGCCATAAGGGGAAATTGGCAAATCCTCTGGCTGATTCTGCTACGCCACTGCCAAGTTGTTGTGGGAGCGGAGCCCATCGCACAGCCACTCGCAACAAGAGTCTTACCACACTGCCCGAGATAACGCCCATAAAAGAGCCCAATGCATTAAGAAAAGAACCAAGTTGAGTATTATGGTATTTAATGGCACAACATTCCATCTCTCAAGTTCAAACCCCTCGCTCTTCTATCGATCAGGCCTTCTTCTTGGGACCAAATACATCCTGCTTAGTCCCCACTGCGCCAGCCTTGAAATTTTAAGACTCATACGAGCAATTATGGAAGTTGAGCTCCCTCGAGACTTTCTGGTGGACGCGGACGACCAAGCCCAGAGTCCGCTTTTCCGGCTACCACTAGAAGTTCGGCGTACAATATACGAACTTTCATTCATTGAGCAGCCTTTTGAAGACGGCAACTACGTAAAAGGCATCAGTGAAGAAAGTTTAATGGTGGATCAGCACAAGTCTGGTCACGATGCTCTTGAATTTGACGGAACGTTGCCCAACTGGCTTCGCCCGGGGTGCACCACTCAGTTGAAAACAGAGACAGCCCTGCTCCGGACCTGCCAATCAGTGTACATCGAAGCGTCTTCGCTCCTCGTATCTACAATGGTGCATAGATGCTATCAAGGCTATGGCCCCAGAGTCAGGCCATACCAATATCTCAAGCGCTTAACCGATGCGCAGCGCTCAGGCGTGCATCGTCTCCATTTATTCACTCAAGTACGAGATTTCGACCGCCATGGTCCTTGGCTCCGACAACAGCTCCAGCCAGTTGCGGAAAGCCTTCAACACCTCACCATCACTCTACGTGATCTGGGGGGCTCGCCGGAAACCCCCATGCTCCTGAATCCATACCAAACGGGAGCGGCCAAAGGTCAGGCCATCAGCCAATTCATGGAAAAGGCGGAGAGGGGCGAGGAGTTAAACATCCCACCATCCAGCTGGGCCGGCAGCTTCGCATTTTTCCCAGCTCTGAAAACTCTCACAATGGAGCTAGAGGACCAAGAGGCGAGGGAGAGTGAGTTGGAGTCACTTGCACAGTGGGCAACAACTTGGAAGTTCCCGCTTGGGGGTGACCAGTTCATGAGCTCAAAAACCGCCGCCTCGAGTCGGGTATGGCAGCGCCCTCGGCCGCAATATGATGATGAGTTCCACGGTTCCTACAAACCGCCCCGGATAATCACCTGGACAGTCCGATGGCACGCGCCGCCTACCAGGACAGTTGCCGCCGATATCGCCCAAGAGAAAACAATTCCAACACCCACGGAGACTGATAATGAGTCCCGTATTGCACGTCCAGCCTACGATCCGCGCTTGGGGGGCCTTAACTCAATATTTGCAAATGCATCAGAGGAAAGTATTCGCGAACTGATAGCGTGGGGGGTCTTGTAGGAAACTGTCTTGAGACTCGGTATAGTATGTCTGTTTCACTCGATCTTCTTTCGCCTCCGAGATTCTCTCGGAGCGCATGTGTTGGTATTTCAGGTCTAGATATTATTGTAAATCCTAAGGGCGGAATACAAGTACAAGTACTACGAGCAACTTGAATTTTAAAATTCCATATACCGAAGAACCAGTCTTATTGAAAGAGGACTTAATCAGTTTACAAAATCGAGTGCAGGACTAGAAAGGCTACCGGATACAGTTTGTGTAGGAGATTCTCAAATCGCCAATGTAAACATCACGAGTGCACAAGATGCGAGTGCTGCCCTATCTCAGCCAGCGAACTAGGCTAGATGATAGCTAATCACTTGGACCTAGTAATATGTGTATCTATTCGAAACGGTTCTTCTAACCAACAGTGAAAAGTCGATGAGTGGAGCTAACCTCAAAGACCTCCGAAGCAAACTATTCTCCCAGGGAGCAAAATCAACTCAAAGCTCGGCAGTTTTACTCATAAAGGGACAAATCTCTGTCAAGAACATCACGCGAGTCACATCACTTTTATCAGAAGATACGAGGTTCTTCATCTCTCATCTGCAGCATTTCCAGGTCCGAAGTAGGCATTGTTCGCTAACCACAGGACATTTCTTTTTTGGAACAGAATTAGATGCTCTTATGGATAGAAAAGATTCATGGTCTATGGATGAAGAGCGTTACAACAAGAGAATTACTCTAGCGAAGGTAGAAATATCTTCCATGCAACCATGAGGAACTCTGCCGGTCCCATTTTCTACATCAAGTAAGCAAAAGCTTTATTACTATACTTTTCATCAATATCATATGCTTTACTGCCCATCTCTTCGGTGTTTCCTCGCACGGTGGGGATTATTCTATGCAGGTGAACGGGAGACGGGATGTTAGTAACTCGGCCACTACTATAACGACCCCGACTCAAGCTGTGTAAACAAATTGAGGTAACTCGAATATCTTGTTGGGACGGCTTCGGGTACTGACTCCGAGGGTCTGACTGGCTCGCGGTCCATCAAATCCCGGATAATGCCTTCCTTGATCTCGACAGCTAGACCTTCGATAACGCTCCTGTCGGTGTCCATAGCTAGGCCGTTCCGTCTTCCCACTTCACCTTGTAAAAAAGAGCTGAAAGCCTTCGAGCAGACAACCATCTCGATTACTTCGCCCACACAGAGAGTGACATCCTTGACTCTATCATGCTCCATGTTCATGGCGCGGAGGGTCCTAGTTTCCTGGTTCTGATCCTGCTCGAAGAAAGAAGGCACTGTGAACCAGCCAGAAAGCGAGAGGGTTTCAAGGGAGTAGGTGGTGGTGAGAGGGATGAGAATATCTGACCAAAAGCATCGCTGGGGTTGTAGGCCTTGTATAGGAGGGGGTCCGACAATTGCGCAATCTCTTAGTCCAAAATCTTCAAGGGTGTGTCCATGGAAGCCAAGGAAATCCAAGAAACCGGATGTCAAGAATTCAACCTGCGAGAAGCGGAGCCTTCGTATTTGATGCCATGTGTACTCTCTCGGCAGAATATAAGCTGAATGGGCGTAATAAATCCCAGTCCCAAAAAATGCACCTTTGATCTGGACTTCCAATTTTTCGAGATGGGGAGCTGAGCATAGTAAATTCTTGAGTCGGTTCTGGGACAGAATTCGGTCGGCCCTCTCCTTCTCAACGTCTTCACTTCCGGCCAAGATGCATAGTTTCAGCATGTGGAGATTCCGGGTGCTTTTCCTTATCTGGGAGTGGACCTCATCTTCCTCCTCAAAAACTTCGAGAGCGAGTGCATCGACTTGTAGAGTCTTCAGTTGAGACTCAGTAGTAGCGCCTAATAACGATGATAACAAGTAAGCACCAGGAAGGGCGATTTTGTGCGGAAAGGCGCTAAAATCGTAAACTGGCAAGACAGAACATTGTGCCAAAGTACCATGCCTTTGACGAAGAAATCGGTAAGCCTGGTTGCTGCGCAGATGGTCTGGCCGGAAGCCTCGGGCGTCTTGAATAACCAAATTCTGCAAATTAATGAAGCGCCGACAAGCAATCTGGATGTCTTGTGAAGTCCCCACGGCCTTGAAAGCTTCATCTTGGGCATCTAGCAGTGCATTGTAATGCAGCATGCTCTCGGTCCAGTCGTCCTCTGAAAGGCCGGCTATTTCCGGTCTATAATGCCCAAGGATCAACGGTCTTGTCATAGAATGCTTCCAAGTCCTAAAGTTACTGTAAGGATAAAACACGTTCATCAAGCAAACGATCGTAGATGTATGGCGCCTGAAAAAAGGATCTGAGGATATGTCGCGCAGTCGGTTAATGCTCTCGGGCAGCAGCGCAAAAGTCACTCTTTTGCCTAGGACAGGGAGCCCAATTTCGCCAAAAAGGCGGCAGACTAAGCGGAAATTCGACAGATCGGTGCTGCTCGCGAGACTTCTGCATATTTGCAGGAGGAGCTCGTTGGGCAGGGATGCCAGGGTGATTTCCATCGTGCCTGAGTAGGAGGATAGCTGTGGGCTTTAGAAGGCAGCACGGATACCGGCGATGGCTCGTAGACAACTTGCTGCACAATAGCATATAAAACAATCAGCGAGGTAGAGGGGAAATGTCCCTGCTGGCGAGCGTGGGCTGGGGGCTGGAATTGTGAGAGGTGTACGGATGCGATGGATGGATTATGGACGAGGGGCCATAACAACACTACTACCTTAGGCACCTACATGCATAGGTACCTACGCCTTCCAATTACAAAGGTCCCCAGGCTAATTGGCTGGATTTGGCAGTGTCCACCAAGTGCTGGTCGCCTCAGGTCAGCATCCAGACTCAGCCCTTCCTTCCCTTGATCACGCCGGTGGATGTTATCGTCTGAGAATGTTTATTTGCCACCAGGTACTATGACCTAGTAGAGTTCCACCTAAGGGAAATGGAGGCAAGGATTATCCAGGATTACTCAGGAGATGATAGCTGATTGTTGTTTAGATACTTGCATTATGAAGGGAAGTAAATAGTCCCGACGTGTTGCCCCGGGCTGTTTTCAGTGACAGATACTTGTTCTAGCTGCAATTAGTGTCTTGTAGCTTGTAAGGTCAGTATATGATTCTGCCCTAAGAAGAGGCAAATTTATGACCTGCCCCGGATGCATCCTGCCGAAGGTGACAACGTGAACCGGGAAGGGGAACGTCACTGCAAACCCAGAAATACAAAGACCTTCACTCATACACGCTAGGCAGTATTGGTTACAATAACGTATTTAAGTATCAAGGCAGTAATTCAATTCTAATATGTCTTCCCCAAGTATCTAGGCTCCAGAGTCGCTCTGGCTAGCAATCTGCTCTGTGGATCTGCCTTCACTAGCAATATTTTCCATCGAATGATCAACATTCGAAGTGAAGCCCTTCTGAATGAAATGCAATGGGATTTGTTCCTCATCAAGCTTATAGCAAGCACACTGCGGCAACGTCGCTGCCTCGCCAACCCAGAATGTAACCACAGCCCACACGTACAGTCTCCAGAGCGCGCTGACGAAGACGATATCGGCCACCAGGACTGCCATGATCAGGCTAGCGGGGTTCTTGAGCACCCTGACCTTACATAGATATGTGGTAGAAAGCACAGCCGGCTCAATAGCCAAGTCGACGCTGGGAAACTCCGATGGGTCAAAGGACTCGGTAGCAATACCGTCCATTCCCCATCTGAATGCTTCACTAAGGTTCTTGCGGGTAGACGCGAGGCTTTGGGTGAAGTCCTTTAGGAGAGATGGCCGGCTTAATATATTCGGCATAGAGGCGTCATCGCGCCCCAGGTCCGCCAGAACGGTAAAATATGTGGCTTTGGAAAGGGTGTTTGTTGACTCCCAAAAGTCCAAGTCGGGAACATCGTCGCCTCCAAGCGCAGCCAACGTAGTCATGTTCCTTCGCGAGTTACAAAAGTCGATGAAGGTTCGAGTATCTGGATCCTGCCTCCGGTTCAAGAAACAGTCAAGACGCAAGAAGTCTTTGTCCATAATGTCCTGCTCTGTAGCAGTCCGCTTCTCTGGTAGCAGGTCGACGAGGACAACCCCGTTGTACCAGCGACTGTCCCTTTTCTTGTTGCTTTCTGCAAACTTCCACATCATATCGGCCCAATAGGTTCGCATCATAGAGTGGCCCCAGTGAAGATTCGTCTGGTACGACTGGTTACTGTAGACAAAAGACCGGTAGAGTCGATAGGACGGGGCAACCGGATCGAAAAGACCATTGAGCTGGACGTAGGTTCGACCTTCTTCACTGTCAAAGTAGCACACAATTGTTGCAGTCACCGTCCCGCCGACGGGCAACATGGCCATTTGCGATGCTGATCGCGCTTGAATATCAAAATCGGAAGTGATGGAGGACACATTGCATTGCTGTAGAGGCTGGTTATGGTAGACTAGGGACCCAAGGTTCTCGGTCTGTTGGTAACCTGCAATCTTCCATACGCTCTCGATGGTGTAGGGGATGGCTGATTTATTTGTGTATATCTGGGCCTGGAGCGGGATAACGGTATCTTCACAGCTTGGGCGTGCTCCTACGAGAAACGTTGGCCAATTTGACAGCCAGTCCCTCTCAGAGCTTGTTTCATTTGGATTGACGGATGATCTTGGAGTTAGCTCGTATCCTTGGGCCGCAACGTTGAGAAGCGAGAACGCGATTATGGCAATTATCCCACCAACGACTAATACTGGCGTGAACCACCGGTAGGGATAGTGCCGTGTCAAGGAGTAGGAGTACCATGACTTGTACATGATGGAAAGAAGCCCGGCCCGCCAACCAAGATCAGCAGGTAAAGCTGAAAGAAGCCGAATGCGTCCTGATTATAATCCAATCCACTAGGCACTAGCACTTCATTGTTGGATGGAAAAGCGGTAACGGCGATAATAAGAGCAAAGTGGCAAGAATCTACATCTTTATCTCCCAGACACTACTGTAGAAATGTCGGCATCTTGGTATCCAAGTAGGGAATAGGGGGAGGCGCGATGGTAGTTGCAGGTGGGATTTTTTGCCCAGCCCCCAAAGTGAGGCAAAATAGTTGCCACATGCACGATGCGAGAACTGTCAGCATAACAAGCACTCCCTATACCTCCTAATCTTTAATTTGTATCGATCTACATGTACGATTCTTTGGCATCAGTATACGCAAAGTGTGCATCTCAAAACCAAACTAGCTGTTTCGCTGCTACTTTCTACTTTGGAGAGAGGGACTGTAAAGGGTTTCCAACATTGCGTTTGGCTCAAGGATGCATGACCCCTACTATTCAGCACGTAGCTAGATGCGAATATCGCAACGGCTCTTTATTTCTCCTTCCTTCTAACGTTAGGAAGCTTAAACTAAAGATCGACATATTCTAGATGGAGTTTCTGAGAGTCAATATCCCCTCTCTTGTTACGATTACTTTAGGGTAGGCACATGTAGGTAGCGCGCAAGGAATATCCAGCAGATGGCGACCTTCAATGATTTGAATGAAACCTGGTTGGCAGAGGATGATGTAATGTCTACTGACATGGAAGAAATTAAAGATTGAGCGCTTAGTTCGAGAATTTCACCCATGATTAAGTCCATAAATACGCGCAAATAGAAACCAAAGCATGCTTCCGCCAGAGCTCATTTCTGCTCTCACCTACAAACAGTTGATCTTACTAGGTACGAAACGCATCTCCTTAAATTCGCCAATCCCCTGCCATGGTCCAGATATGCAAAGATGCCTAAGAAACAGGCTGTGAATAAATTTTTACATGCTGATGGCTATGATGCCTCGTATAGATATTTTGATGTTTGCCGTTCTTCTTGTTGCGGTGCCTGTTGAGGCTTGGTTAGCGACCTAGCCGCCAACATGGGACTTCGCCAAGGCTCACTTCTTCAGCTTGCTCTCGAGACAGTTGGCGACGATGGCACCAGCGGTTGCGCTTGCAAGGCTACCAAGAAAGCCAGCTTCGGCCTTGTGAGTAGTCCAACCCGCAGGAGACGTAGGCCGGTTGCTGGGCATACATACTGGGCCTAAAGCATTGGTATTACCGTGTTAAATAATGAGGTCTTAAATGGTGATCATCTTCTAGTAGTGGACCTGATAACTTTAATTGTACATAGCTAAATAAAAGAGTATCTATTGGGAATTATCCTTGCTGGCACTCTTGCCTTGATCTGTGGTGTGGACCGCCGCTAAAGCTTTCAACTCTATTGAATTCTCATCGCTTGAAGACCGCTCACTGACAACCCTCACTTCTTGGGTTTTCATGACACCGCCCAAGTTAGAAGATCCCTTCGATCGAAGAGCGTCCTGAAGAGCCTCTTGAGACTCCTGCCAACCGGCCGTCGACATGATCATGACAGAATTTCGGCCGTATTTCGACGGAGGACCATAGCGACTAGGTCTCTTGGATTTCGATGCAGAATCTACCCCTGTGCTTGGTCCTCCCTGCGGGTTCGTTTGGGACTTGTTCCTAAAGTAGCTTCTTTGGCTGGATTTCAACTCCTGGTATAGCATTCTCCTGCTCCAAATTAGCGAGTGTGAAATATAGGAGGCAGGAAGCCTCGGAAATACGTACAGGACGGGAATGCAAACTGCCATGATGGAGGCCGCGGGCTCCGTGAGGGTCCAAATTGTTAGATCGACACGGTCATAAGTGATGTCTGGACTTGTCATGTTCACAACCAATACGGCCTTGACGATTCCACAAATTCCAGCTCTGCCTCATCGTTAGCGGCGTCCAAACTCGAGTGTCAGAATCTTAGGGAAATCATACATAGCACCCAAACTCATTGCGAGAGCGACTCCAAGCTTCTCTCGGCGCCTCATCGTCAGCCCCATTAGAATCTTCCAGGGCAGGAAGGCCAGGACGAAATCCAAGATGGCCGAGTAATCTGTTCAGGCAGCATGTTAGATTGACTCAGGATAGAGATGACCCTCTGCTTGTAACTCACAGGCCGCAAACAGTTGGTACTTTGTAAGGTTTTGCTTGTTCCAGCATGTCCCAGGCACGCTCCCGTCCCAAACCTTCTCCGGAGGGCTACATTTCGCGAAGCCAAATATCCAGACCAGGTTCATGGAGATGTTGATCGATACAATAACGAAAATGAGAAAGTATTTCATCCAGTTGTTCGTAGCGATTCGGTATAGCGTAAGAGCGAAAGAGGTCTTGCTGGTCGTCGTCGCGATGATCCCGAAAGTCGCAACAAGAATCGTGTAAAGGTTGATGGTCTTCAAATTCTCGGTACTGATCGTTGCCATGTGGCGGCCGAACCCAAGGGTGACGATATAGGAATTGATAGACACTGCAATAGCAAGGGATATCTAAATCGAGAAGCATTCCGTGCGTCAGAGATGCTGCATGGCATATACAGGGGCAAATAGACTCGATCAACATACCCAGGAAATGATCAGCAGGTGGTCGTCCCACCACAGACCTCTGCTGCGCCATAACTTGCAGTATACACGCAAGAACAGCAATATGGCACTCGCAATGGTCAACGACCAGCATGAGGCGAGAAGCCTAGTGCCTCGTTCGTCAGTCATTGGGGAGCTTGGTGCAGATCCGTTGTGCTGCAAAATCTGGGGCGACGATGATTCAAAAAGGAGAACTCGGGGGTGGGCGACGACAAGGACGAGCGTATTTCAAGGGCAATCCTTGGAAATTCGATCTTTTGGCACCTCTTACGGGATGCCTTAGCCTCCGAATAGTAAAACTCAATCCATTGGTCAGGGGTCGATGACATAGCAAGGTCACTACGACATAAGGGGGCTCCGTCACCTTACCTCAGGCGAAAAGGATCGGCACCACTACTAGCGATCGTTCGAAAAGGCGTGCTGAGGTGGTTGCACGAAGTAAAATAAATACTCAGGTTCAGGGATAGGCTTGACTAACACCTGACTCAGATGTACCTGAATCCCCCTAAGGGGCTATTCTCTTTCGATTTCTCAAATGATCATTGTCATCGCATTGGGGATGGAAATTACAAGAGACCCGAGCATCCACTCCAGCCCTCTCGCTTGTCCATCTAATTGTTACGGCAGATGGCGCGAGCGAGCGGCTCGCATATACAATTTCGGCTAGGCAGGGCGGATGAGGGTTCCGCGACTCGTTAGCCTCAGTTCAGCTGGTTTGACGATGCCCCGGAACACGAAGACCCTAATGGGGCAGTAGCCAACTTAGCCTAGATCTAGGGCAGCTCGAGCAGGGCAATGATTCTTCTGCCGAGATTTAAGCTTTCGAAATTAATCAACCTCTCGGTAGTAAAGGGCAGCAGACTATTCGGCCTTTCCGGGACGGCATAGAATCATGATATATTCAGGTCAAAAGCTCTCTTAATATACTTCTTTTAAGGAACTCCATGGACGAGTTTAGGAGAGTAAGTTGCACCGCCGTGGAAAGGGAGTTCGGTCGGTGGCGATACAAGCTGCTAAAAATAATAAAGAGGTCCCATCCAAATGCTAGCCATAATTCTCTCCTTCTATTTTTTCTTACAGGGCAGACGCCAAGTCAAGATGATCCCTGGCAGTAGTACGATATATAAGAACAAATACATAGTAAGGCTCGCGAGGCTGCTCATGCTAGAGCATACTGATTGTTAGATGTAGCAGACATTCTGTTTACCTATCGGATCGGGGAACGTAGCCCGGGAAAACTCTGGATGTGATGCATGGTGGTGTGATGGTGGCCGGCTAACAACGCAGGAGGCAAGATTTGCTTTCGGCTGGTAGGGATGACCTTCTCGTCTATGAATTCGGTACTAGCTTTACAATAGAAACGCCGGGGTCTAGGTCAAACAGCAACTACTTTCAGCTTTGCTGGGTCGCCTTGGAAATGCGGGTTTAGCCTGCGTGAGAAATGGAAAGTGCCCAAGAGTGACATACAAAACTGGAGCATCTAGCCCATCACGACATAGTCCTGGGGCTCCAGTCAACGCTAACGTGACGTTGGGCTAAACATCCGGGCTCAATGCCGGGAGAACGCCGCTTAGAGATACTGGTGGGTATATTCTGCATATCGGTAGCAGCATGAGGCAACCGAAACGACGGCTCGGGCCAGATGAACGCTCTAGGAAGCTCCTGCTCCATGGCTAATTTCAGGGGATGTGTTCAGCATGACAGCACCAAGAGCCCAACTTCGTCAGGCACAAAAGAAGGTGCTTCTAATGTCCCGAGGGACCGGGACTATACCTCGACATGTCCATTTCAGTGTAGGTGATCGACAATCCGGAAGTCTCCAGGACTTTAAGTGTTTAGCGTGGTGTGGCATGATAGGTATGGTAGGGATCAACAAAACAGGAGAGGCCTGCGGTGACCGTCCCAACCCTCGGAGGGAAGATTGGCTAATTGCACGGAAATTTCCAGTCGTGGGTACGAGGCAATTACCGTGAGTATTCGTAATACCGGCAGGCCACTTTTCCAACAGATTTAAAACAGCTTCTACGATCAGCAAAAAGGCCGGTTCTGCAACCCGTCCCTCCTTTGCATTAGCTTGCCCCTGGAAGCAGCGTGTTCATTGTTGAAAGAGTCCAGTCCAAGATGCCTTCCAGCATGCTAAGTACTCTGTTGTTTGCTCTTTCCGGCCTGGCCTTGTGTGAGCCTTCAAAGCACCACTCGGGGCCTGGTCACCATGACACACACCCGGCTACCCCTTCCGCACATCTCTCAAACGGCACCTATCAAGGGGTGTACAGTAGGGAGTATGAGCAAGACTACTTCCTCGGTATCCCATACGCCCAGCCTCCCATTGGCTCTCTGCGCTTTGCGCCACCCCAAGCTCTTACAGAATCGTTTAACGAGCCTCGTTCAGCCACCGAGTATGGACTGATGTGTATCGGCTATGGATCCGATACCGCCAACCTGGGGAATCCCATCTCTGAGGACTGTTTGACCCTCAATGTTGTGCGTCCAGCCGGTGTTGAGGCAGGCGATGACCTTCCAGTTGGCGTCTGGGTACATGGTGGTGTGAGTTCCTTCTTGATCCTTTGATACATGACTTCGTGTTGCTGACTCTTTTTGTGGACAGAGCTATGTGATGGGCGGCTCGCGCGATCCTCGATACAACCTGAGCTATATCGTTGAACAATCCGTATCAGAGAACAAGCCTATAGTTGCTGTGTCAATCAACTATCGTCTCTCATACTGGGGCTTCTTGTTTGGCAAGGAAATGAACCAGGCCGGAGCTGGCAATATTGCTTTCAGGGATCAACGCATGGCACTGCAATGGGTTCAAGACAACATCGCCGAATTTGGTGGCAATCCTGATAAGGTCACAGTCTGGGGAGAGTCTGCCGGTGCCCGTTCCCTGGGAATGCAGCTCGTTGCATATGATGGGAATAATGGCGGCTTATTCCACAGTGCCATTCTTGAGAGTGGCAGCCCCGTAGCCAAGTTTGGTGATGCTGACGTCTGGCAACCATATTTCGACGCTGTTGTCCAAAAGACTGGATGCGGTGCAGCCTCTGATCGACTGGGATGCCTGAGAGGGCTTCCGTGGCAAACTCTTAATGACGTATTCAACAAGACCACGCCCCTGAATGTCACGTCGCCTACTCTCACTGCTGTGGTTGATGGTGACTTCATCACAGCCCAAGGATCCCGGCTCTTAAAGGACGGCAAGTTTGCCCACGTACCACTTCTCCTAGGGAACAATTTCGATGAGGGTACGGCATACGGCAAGCAGGGTATCAACACTGATGCGCAGTTCGAGGCCTACCTCGCATCGTTTGGCTTTGACGAGGATCAGGTTGCAAAACTCACGGAGCTATACCCTGACGACCCATCCCTGGGCATCCCAGCCTCCTTCCTTGGCCGACCTACAGATTCGTTTGGCAGCCAGTGGAAACGCGTGGCAGCTTTTGCCGGAGACTATCAGCAACACAGTGGTAGAAGACTCCTAGCTGAGTCTTTCGCCAGTGCCAACCTTCCTGTGTACTCTTACATGTGGAATGTCTACGTTAACGGACTTGGAGCAATCTATGGCGCCACTCATTTCCAGGAGGTTGCATTTGTCTTCAACAACATCTACGGACGTGGCTACGCAACCAATCCATTTGAGAACAAGCCAATAACATACATCCAGCTGGCAGATCTGATGAGCAAAATGTGGGTATCATTTATCCATGATAATGATCCCAACGTGCGCAAAAATCACCGCCACAAGGGTGTCGCTTGGCCAAAATACACGATTGATCAGCCTGACAATCTCGTCTTCGACACTAATATTCTTGGTCTACGGTACACCGCAAAGGATGATTACCGAAAGACCGCAATCGCTTACCTCTTGGAATCTGTTTTTGAGTAATCTCATGTACCTTCGACAGGTCTCTTGATGAAAGAGGACTGTGGTTAGTTAATATTATTACAAGCTTTTAATGCCCCAGCATGGTGACTATTTAACGAACCCAAGAGTCGGGCTTGGTGCGGCTTGTAAATCAGCAAGCGTTCGGCTGGGCTTTTTTTTTTTATTACACATAGATGATTAGATTATTATGAATACAGAGGTCAATAAAATATCAATACTCTCAACAGATCGCAAGCAGTTGATTCAGTGTGTTTTGGCAACGCAATTTTACTCCGGTGTCTCAGTCTTTAAGCTATTCGCGAATTTCCCCAGGACCACGATCACCTAGGCAGATTTTAGCCGGGTTGAATATTTTGCTCATAAGACCGAGGTCTCAGAAGAGGAACAATATGCAAAAATGTTTCCCAGCGACCATAGCCCGGATCAGCCCGGATCAACGCAGTGGAAGATGCGGTGACTAACAGCGCGTCTAAAATGCCAACAGCTGGGTCGAATATGATCTCATTTCAGTTCATCAAAGTACGAGACCGTCTCTCAAGGGAAATTCCTGGCACTCTATTGTTTCTTGTATCGCACGCGTTATTTAGCTCAGTAGCTCAAAGCCTGTCTGCCATGAGCCCCTGGATGGGTCCAGCTCTTTGACCGTGGTTCCGGTCGCAGTCAGGAGTAACATGACTCAAAATGGCGCAAACAGTCAAATTCTAACAAGAAAAAGTGTTTGTAATCGGCAGAGAAAGGCTTCCTGTTTGATCACAGCTGGTATCCAGTTCTTCTCTCACTCTCACTATTCACCGTAGCCTCAATGTTGCGAAACGGCTAGGTTAGTAGATCCGGACCAAACGGACCGTTAGGGAGATATCGAATACTAATAAGCCTTGTGCTAGGGTGTTTCAGGTCAGGTCCAAATGTTGTAGCTATGACCGCCCGTTACGCACATTAAAGCTTAACACAGCTGGATGATTCAAGCTATGATCGATCCTTCAAAAGAATAAGGTAATTACGCCTACATTAATGTCGATGCTGCATGAGTTTGAAGTGGCAATAGTTTTCCGTTCCTACCATACGTATTGTTATTGTCTTTGGACCAATCGGTTGCCCTTGTAATTTCAAGCAACGGGCTGGCATTCCATCACAGGAGGGGGGTCGGACACACAATTACAAATGTTTGCAAAGCACGATTGAGATATTATTCTTACCAATAAGCCGTCAACATTAAAATAGACTTCAATTGCCGAAGGTTGGCAGCAGAATTGCCGGATTGAGGTAGTCTGATGTGAAGAATGGAAATCGCTGGACTTTGCCCTTCTCAAGCCGGCAAGTATCAGCCCCTATCACCCATTTCGAACCTAGTTCGAAACTTCTTTTCATGTGTGGATGACCAGCATTCCAGGGCCGGCGGACACGGTCTTTTCGTCCTCCCCGTCCGTGTTTGTTTATGAATTAGACAAGCTGCTAGACAGCTATGAGTGCAAATTTTCTCACGACATCAATTTCACAGACCATCTCTCACGTCCTGGTGCCCAATTCTGGGCCTCCCCTAGGGGACCTCATCTACTGCAGTAACGATGACCGAATGGTATCCTCCACCGGGCTCCGACGGGATTCTGCTCTTGAAGATTAACACCGCCTTCATTGCTGTTTCTACTGTCATTGTAGCGACTCGCCTGATAATAAGAGCGTTTGTAATTCGCAATCTCGGCATCGATGACCTGGTCTCTACCATTGGGCTTGTAAGTAGATTGTGGGATGTCCTAGATGCCCGCTTGATCACTAATATACATCACAAGGCCTTTCTGGTCACTTTCTCGTCAATGGAAATTCAAGGTTGGGGTCTCCTTTCCGAGCACGTTTGGGTAGTCTCTAACCGCCTTAGCCGTCTTCAATGGGTCAGGAACACGAATGGAGGAGGTCCCGCCAGACAAGCGTATAAAGTTCTTCAATGTTGGTCAGCCTCTCTTCGCTTTCTAGACTCATACAAGACTAACAGGCAGTAGATGCTCCCGATAGAGAGATTACTCTACTTCTGGGCGATAGGTTTTGTGCGGCTCTCCGTGGTTGCCTTCTATCCTCGCCTTAAATGCAACGACAGTCTGTTCCCCCTCCCGCCGATCAATCTAGCTATACCCTAACATGAGTATATCTAGGGTGGTTCGCTTGGAGTATCTACATCATTGTCTTTGTCATTGCGGCCAGCACAATTATTCCCTTCTTCTTCTTCCTGGTCGACTGTAAGCACATCCCGTAAGTCAGCCTTGTTTTTTACGGTTTTATTGCCTATCTCACAGCTATTGAGATCGAACCCTAACCCATGCTACTGGATAGTGATTTGTGGGATTATGCGGCGCCACACAGAGAATGTCGCGATATCTGGCCACAGCTATGGATGCTATGGGCAACCTGTGCCGTAGGGATCGCCCTTGATATGTGTCTACTCGCTGTCCCAATTGTGGTGATTTGGAAATCGATGAAGTTTTCCAATAAACTACCTCAAGTACTCCTTGTGTTCTCCGTTGGCATTTTTGCCATGATTACTTCGGTGGTCCGCTTGGTTATAATGTCCACTACCAACTACGAAATAGATACGTAAGTGAAAAAGACCCGTTTTGGAACAAACATCGCTCCTATATGTCAAAGAAGACACATTCTGATGTATTCTATGTTACCTTAGGACCTATAAGATGATTACCATTGGTCTCTGGACAAGTCTTGAAGGCCACGTTGGGCTCTGGAGTGCATGCTTTCCAGCTCTGCAGCCTCTTCTCCGAGACATTGGGCATTTCTGGTTCAGCTTACTTGGTAAAGGCGGATCTCTCAGGAAGAGTACTGAAGCCAGAAAAAACCTCGCCGAGAGCTCTGAAGCGAACAGCCGCAATATCTCTGCTATCTGATAGAACTGATTCCTTGGAGCTAGGCTGTTCGATTTTCGAAGCCCTAGCCTTCAATTATAGAAAAGTGTAGGCAGATATTATGCTTTGAGGTCCCCTCGTCGGTCTCGTTCAAGAATCTGCCTTTTATACCTCGGATGAGCACGCCAGTCTTTTCTCCGTCTAACAAGCACCATCTAAAATAGATCCTCAGAGAGTTTCATCGGCCACAGAAAGAATTGGCGGTACTCTAAGCTCCTTTCACCCCATACACCAAATACTTAAAGCCCTTGCCCCGAAAGAATCAACGGCTTACAACGAGAAAACCAGTAGCGAACACAGCCCACAAAGAAAGGAAGGGACCCCTTGGCACAATAAATCTCGAAATTCTGATACTAAGCAGTGACTGGGGCCATGTTGGCTACTAATAAGCCTATATTCGTACTTCCAGCTGATATTTCGAGGCGGGCGGATGTAGGTAGGTGAAGTCACGCGATTCCAAACAATAGGACGGAGAAGACGATCACAAGTAATTTAGGGATTGACCAATATGACTTCTCTAAAAGAAAAGCCACTGTTGCCCTTTCGAATAGGCATAAAAAACACTCCAAGACTATAAACACCTCAATAAATGATATCGGAGGTGTAATTAGCCAATACTCCTTTATACGCAGGAGCGTGAGACAACCGTTCTCAAGCAGTTGTTAAGCTACATATCACCGGTCTTAGATACATTATTAGTAGAAATGAAACATTTACACACTCCAGGCAGTTAGTCTCAACTAATGGGATCATCTCATCTCATAAATTTTCAGCCTTCATTCATACAGCTGTGTTATCGCTGTGTCTACATGCAGTTCCAAAGCACAGGCCTAAAAGTAATGCTATCCGAGAGGAGCACAGGTCCCACCCATTATGACTTTTTAAATTACTGAATAGGCCAGTTTCCAAGCTCGCACTGGTACTTGGCAGTGCTGGTAGGTCCCTTGGATTGGTCACCGTCCCACCAAGAGAGCTTGTAGTCAAGGTGAACTTGCTCGTCACGGGCAACACCAGCCTTGAGGAAGACCTCGTCCTGCTTGCAGAAGGCCAGGGGCTTGTTAGAGTCGCAATCCGTGGCGACAAAAATCGCCTTACCACCGGCCGTGCCGGACTTGGTCTTGTAAGCGCGGGTGACGCACATGTCGCCATCCACACGGTTGGCGCACCACTTATTGATGATGTTCTTGTGGATGTCCGCCTTGGCGCTTCTACCGCAAGAACTGGAGATATTTCCATCAGCTACTCACGTATACCACGTATGAAGGTGAGATAACTTACGTCACCATGTAAGGGACAAATGTCCAGTAGCCGCAGTTGTCTTTCAGGTCGTCGGGCTTGCTGTGGGAGATGCCGTTGGCAGTAGACTTGGAGTCTGAGAAGGAGAATGAAGCTCCAAGGCTAAAGGCACTGTGGCTGATACCAAAGTTCCAGCTTGTAGTCTCGGTGATGGTTACGGACTGAGTGATGGAAAGGGAGCAGTCGCTGCCGGCTCGGCAGCTGGCGTTGTCGAAGGGCTGTTCCTTTCCGTAGGTCCACGATAGGTTCTGCTCGCAGTAGGACTCGCACTTGACAGGCTGTTAGCAAACAGAGAAAGAAGATAACGATGGAAATGGGTGGTGCTAACACTATTGCCGATCTTGATAGGACAGTACCAGTCTCCCTGTTCACCCTGCTTGAGCTCGTTCTTCTTAGGACAGCTTTCGTCCTTCTTGTGCTCCTCGACGTTCTCGGGGGTGAAGCAGTTGTCATTGATCCAGGGCGATTCGGGCTGGTCTACACGACCTTCAAGCTCTCCATTAAGGCGGGCGATCTCACGATCCATCATGGCAGGGTCGATATCAGCTACCGGTACAGCCGCTGCCAGGGCGGTGGGCAGAAGGAAGAGCCCTTCGAGGATGAACGAGTAACGCATGGTGCAGGTGTATTTCTCCAAAGGAATGTAATTAAAGAATGACTAAAGCGAGTATAGCTGAAAAACAAGACCGAGCTCCTCAAGACAAGAACAAAATTCTAGAAGCGGCTTTGAAGATTTTATACTCTTCTGGAAAATATTGCCGGGAACAGGCACCAGTTTAGAATTTCGTTCTCGGGCCAATGTCATTGTGCCACTGCAACCATATTGCAGGGTTCGTTCTCATCGATCGGCACTGACAAGGCACGGCATATTTGCACGGTAGTTCATACCCTGTCCCCGAGCAAGGAGCACGAGACCATGATTTGTCTAGCTTGACTCTATATTTATCCTCCTGGTAAAACCGTCCGCCCAGCTGCCCTTATCATTGCTCATTGGTGGGGCTTGCCCCATGACAGCGAAAGTAAGGAGGTTCAGCCAGCATGGGCTGAGCTTGTTGGCTTGGCAAAGGCTGACGAAGTTTCAGGACCACTGGGTCGGTCTAATCCGAGAATGTAAGGCGAGCAAAAGGGGTTTCTCTCTTGGGAAGTTCAGATCCTAGAAGAAAGATGGGGCACGCATGTACCCAAGCTAGAAACTTCCAAAAGATTTCCATTGGGTCTCTCTTCAAGGTCTCCCCAGAAGAAACATCAGATGCTTGTTTGTAAGTGGCGAAAAGGATGGGAAAAGCTAGCATTATAGCCTTTTTTTCACTGCAGCAACAGTCAGAAATTCCCTCTTGGTTCGATGCATCTCCTCCTAAGAAAAGCGGTCGGGCCACGATATGGCCCTCAATAAAGCTCATATCACTGGATAAATTTTGAGCAGCTCTTCATTATTCAATGAATCAAATCAAGCAAATCAATTGCTTCTGGTTCATAATGTATGACCGTAACGCGTGAGAATATCTCTGTTAGTCAACGATCTCTGAATGTAGGTAAACTCATGACCCTTTATGTGTGTTCTCTTCTCAAACTAACGAAACTATTTCACGGGCGAGCGTACAAAAACAGTGTCATACCTAGAAAACTACCGGCCTTCAAAATTGGAGAAGGATGGGGTTTGAGCTACGAACGGCTGTGACACGTGTAGCTGGTCGTGCAAGGACCAGACGCTGTTAGAGCTGGGTGTTTTTGGAAGGTCGTCAGCTCAGAAAAGAGGAGAGGCAAGAAACAAATACCCTGGAATCATCAGTCCACAGGAGATACGTAAAATGGCAATAACTTGGATTCATAATTAAATAGATACTACTTCTATCTATCTATTCAAAAATTCAATTGATTTAAGCGAACGTTCGCTGTCTAGAGAATGCAACGGCAGTCGTCGGCCCTTCCAGCGAAAAAGAGCCCATGAAACACGTTTCCTAACCTCGTCATCGCAGCCTTGATTCTTCCATAGAGGCGCCGAAGCGGGTCTCTGCCCTTGTATGATTAAGGCCGGTGTTCGGCTGTTCATGTGTAAGCGGCAAAGTGACGTGGAGGTACAGGGATCTGAGGAAATTAAAGTTGCCCGCGAAAGGTTGAAACGCGCACACTCAATCCTACGGAACTCTCCAGTAATCAACATCATGTGTTTAGTAGGCCGACTTTCCTCAGAGGCATCATCCAAATTCCTTTTTCTAGAATGATACTCTCATGTATGTGGTTTATTTTTACGCAAGTAAACACTGTGGTGGATGGGCCTATGACACAACACCCCATGGAACTGGCTATCAAGGGACTAAAGCACGATGTCTTATCCATGGCAATGGAAAACAATTCTCACACGACTGTTTTCTGGTGTTGCTCGGGAAAATCTTCGGTCAAGACACATGGAGTCTCGTAAGGCATGTTGTGGTCAATATGAAGAAGCCGCGAACGGAATTAGGCATCATGAATTTTGAAAATAAAAACGGCTTGCGAGCAAATGACAGGAGAACACACGACTCTTCCCATCAAAATAAGGAAATTGAGTGCCACTAAAAACTTCCAAACAAGGTCCCCTTTGCCGGGCGTATAGCATCTTCGCTCTAGTAGCGAGATCTGGTTCTGATCGAGTCCCCTTCTTCTCAAGGTTAGCAAGCCATAAGGGATGTGAAGTCAAGAAGCTATACAGGGTACTCACGTTGGTGCCGAGGGACAGATCTTCCATCAGCAATGGCATCAAAAAGCTCTGCCTCATTGCTTGCCATTGGAGCCGATACTCGGACGTAGCCCCTGCTACCTTGAATATTGTAGCTAGTTCTGCTTTCATTTCTATCTCGAGTAACTTCCACCTCAGTATCAGGTGGAACGACCACAGACGTCTCGCGTGGCTCCCGATGGGCTATTCTGTAATCTTCTCGTTCACCTCTTCTATCTGACCTGTCGACTCTATCTGGCCTGTCGACTCGATCTGGCTCGGGCGCGTCACAAGGCGGAAGTTCATCCTGATGAACAGTCCGTCGACCAGTAATGGAATGGAACCAACTTCGGTGAGGCTGCCTTTGACGCGGCGGTTCGTTAATAGGGCCGCTCTCAATCATGCGATTGTAGCTACCATTGTCACCGATAAGACGTTGATGTTCCTTGTGCTCATGCCCTTTTGGCTGGTGTACTGCCATACTAAGCTGGGCTAGCCGAGCAGCATGGGAACTGTTCGGGGGGGAGACGGCCGAGAAGGAGGCGCGATTCTGATTGTTGGCGCTCGCGTAGTAGACACCATCGCCACGCGGCTCTTCCTGCCCGAAGTTTGAGGCTCGTCTAGGCATTTTGAGATGTATGAGTGAATGTTGATGGGAAGAGAGATGATTCTGGATGTCAATGCTGCGGCTCGGTCAGGTTATCCTAGCGCGGAATATCCCACTCCTCAATGAGCAGGGAAACCTGGGAATCTCTCGCATTTACAGTGTCTCTTTTTTGGTCATCTCAATGCATATCAGGCCGCATGAGTCTAAAGACGTATGGCTAGCGTCATAAAAGAACAGCTGGCACATAAGCCTTCGCTTGCGTAGAATTGCACTTTGGGTGGCGGCTGACAGGCAACAGCTCAACAATAGTGCAAAATGGAAGCCAATGAACTATCAACACGTACTTTTAGTTACATTTCCTGTCGTATTTTGAATCTCACGGCTTAAGCGAGCTCTAGATACACACAACAGATCATGTATCGGTACTTTCGAGCGATCGTTCGTACCCACCCATCTCCTCGTCATCGATTTGCAGGCCTTAACAGAGCAGGGAGAGTAGCCGAAAGAATACTTACAGCTAATTGTGTCCAAAGATCCCTCTGTGAGGTCTAAAACATCTTTTACTGGAACCTCTTCACGGAGTGATCCTCTGTTGTCCATCATCACCTTCTAAATACTACTCAATCAACCCTCAATTCACATACAACTCACCCATAAACTCACAATGGGCCTTCGTGACTGGTTCAGGAGATTTGTGAGCAAAGTCAAAGAGGTTTTCGGAATATACGACAAATATACAGACTTTACAGCAACAGCCTACTTCTGCGATGGTGCCCAAATGACATTCACTGGAAGGCCATGGGGCAACGAATTCGAACTTTTCAAATATAACGCCGACACTTATGCATATGCCGTATCAATGAATATGTCGGGAAGCTTTTGGAGGTTTACCTAGGCAGATTGAGGAAGATGGAGGGTGGGGAGGATATGGCCGCTTGAATTAACTCAAATGGAATTTCGTATAATCATGAGAGAAATTCTTCCAAATATAACCACCACAAGTTCAATTCCTTAATCGTCTTTACTCAATGGCATCTGAAGATTAAATGAGACTTCATACTTGACATGGGGTGAAAATGTCTTTCCAAGTACCCTACTACTACTGCTGCCATACTAACGTAGACCATATCATCGTCAGGACCCAAGACCGAATACATGAAGATCTCCCAGTCCACACGTTTTGTGGAGACGAGCTTCCTTGTGGGCTGTGATACGCGCCAACTTTAGAACGCAAGTGAGAGGGTTATCGTGACAGATCCTGAAATTGTTTCGTCAGACAAAGCCAAGCGCACTAGATTATTACAGAACTCACATCGATATGATGCAATTCGATCAGCGATGTCCAAAGCTCTGCTTGTCATTGGGCTCCCGTCTGGACCAGAATAGGTGAGACTAGCTCGGGAATTCTGGACTTGGAACGTGACCGGCTGGCGAGGAGCAACCTGGCCGACGGCTGAGGCATTGTTCTTGTAAGCAACAATGCCGCCGCTGCCTTGGCTTACAATGTCCCACTGAGGCATGTTGCTGGATTCGGCTTTGGTTTGATGAGAAGTTAAGCAAGTAGCAGAATGAAACTTAAGGGTAAATAGATGAAAATATTCAAGCTGGGAAATGGTAGTAGTATATCTATCAGGTGGGCTTTAATCCGCACGCGGGGAATATACCCCATGTTCTATGAATGTGTTGGCATGTTTTGCCAGCTCAGGATGCTGACACAGCTAGATCAACCTACGGAAAGCATGAAGAATTGCACTTTACCAAATATTGCTACCTCTGTCAGCTCACCGCGATTTTCCAACCTTACCGAATACTTTCTTTTTCTAGATGAACCAGACCTATGACGTGTCTATCAACACTATTGTTTCTCCAGTGTCCAGTAGAATTGCAGATGCGGACTGATCGGCATCAGCCCCAAGAACGCCTCATACCCTTAGCTCTCCCGCAACGCACAATTGTGCGCAGTTTTAACACTTGTATCGATACATCCTCTGATCAGGCCGCAATCACTAGTCCGGGATCGTCTAATGTCTCGTTCATCCAGTTAGAGCATGGGTCATGGTACCAGTCCATCTTTCCCAATCCAGATATTGACGAGGGCGACATACTCCTTGACCATTCACCATCCACCATGGAGATAAGACGTGGGCCTGTGTTTGGTTCGGAGAGGTTGAACCAGCCGTCTCATTGCATTAAGCATGAATACGAGATGGATCACACTAAGGTATGCCGCTTACGGCGCGGGGATATCGCTCAGAGTATCATTTATGATCATAGAGTATCACTTTTATATTCCCTCATCCCCACCTACCAGCTGTATTACACACTTACTGGACGGAATATGATCTGTAGCAAACACAATTACCTCTTTCCCTCTCTTCCATTCGTTATTCCTTATCTTACGTACGTAGCCGTATCCCGTTTTGGAAAGTCTGGTGCATGTGCATTAAGCGGCATTTCCCGATATTCCAACCGAGTCAACATAGTCCAGGCAGCAGCTCTCAAATCCCTAACACTCTTCTTGCTTTGTGAAAGCCCGATTATGTTAAGTCATTGCTAATGTTCATAAAGATGCTCTATACTAGTACACTTGCCATAGAAATGTTCATAACACTGATTTGAGAGAGGGGGGATATGCTCTTCCTAAATGTCTGTCCTGTTACGCCCAAAATACACCAACTACTTTAAAAAAGAATCCTTTTTTCTCCTCCTTAAAAGAGGAAAAATATGTGTTGAGGGGAGATATCGACCTGTTTTAACCCCAACTCCCTCGTCTCGCAAGCCCCTGAAGAGCCCCTGAAGAAGTTTGCGTGTCCACCTTTCCCATTATCTTCATTCTTCTCCTACTTTATTTCAATCTTCGGATTCCATAGCTCATTTTATTCAGCGGCGGCGGCTTCTGTTTCAGAGCCCTTCCACCAACGCCAGATAGCCTTACACCAGAACCAAGTCTCAATTGTGCCGAAAATAGAGATGATTCCCAGGACAAGAATTTTCATGTTTTTGCTAAGGCCAAGGCTATTAAGGCTGAAGCTCGGCATCTCAATGTCACTGTTGTTGTTTTTGCTACCGTCGGCTTGCTTCTGACTACCATTTTGGGCGTTGAGGCGCGCGGCGTAGGTAGAGAGCAGCCGGTGTTGGATTGGTGTGCGCTTGCCGATGATTCTGTTGGAGTTGCGTAGCGTGGCGCGGGTGAGGGAAATGGGGTTACGGTTCATCTTGGAGGTTATATCGCCTGATCAGAAGAACGCGCCAATTGATAGAAAGAGCAGTGAGCGGGGAGGGAATAAGCAGCAGCAGAATGAAAATCCCGATGAGGTAAGGTGAGACGGAGAGCCTGAGGCACTTAAGGAATAAAGCCTGAAGTCCCAAAAATCCAATCTGGCAGATCAGTGAGATGAGATTGATTGAGGCTGAGCAGAGGAACCCTGGTTGGTTGGCCTGCTGAATTGGATACCTCCACGACAAAGCCTCAGCCCAGCAATACTCAAAATTGACCTACCGAAGATGTTTTCTCGTCCCATATTCTGTTTCTAATTTACGGTAGGTCTATAACGGTGTCAAATTGGGAAGGTCCACGGTCATATTTACCGCGTAAAAGCTTCAGATCTTCTCTTCCTTGTGTACCCCTGCCTTTAGCAGAGTCGTGCTTATGTACAGGGCCTCAAGTGGCCCGCTTAAATACACGAGCCTTGCATGATGAGCAGGGCTACATTCCCGAAAACACGAAGCTCATCGATGACTGCCGACATGTATGGAGTCAAATCCCAGCCTTAAGGTGGCGCTTAAAATGAACCAAAGGCTTGTTTCATTGGATACGACCCAGGCAGAATCGCTGCTAACTCGCTAATATCATTTCAAGTCGATGATTTAGGGCATGACCATCAGCCTTGGCAAGGCAAATACATGGGGCAGATACATTGCGACCGATTGCCGGTAGTTGGGGCAGGGTAATGACTCCCATATGTCACTCCTCTATATCTGTAGGATTCGAGCTGAGCTTCGCTTAAAAACCATAAGATCGTCTAGTTAATAGTAGGACCGCTACTCCTCAATGGACAGGGAATGAAAAGCAGTAAGCAAGTAATGAGTTCATTTACTTAATTGGGAGAAGCTTCCCTGCACTGTGCTAGAAATACAATTTGGGTAAGAGTTGCGACTATGGAAAGACACAACCCCAAGCTTCAACTTAACCAGAATGCTTGATCCAGTAGGCCTGTGGGTTGCACCACCCCTTGAGCCCAAGCTCACCCCATTCCATCCCAAGGCCGCTTTCCTTGTGACCTCCGAATGGCACATTGGGTGCGAGTTCGAAGGCGGTATTGACCCAGATGCTGCCCGCCTCGAGCTGCTCGGCCATGCGTCTCGCTCGCTCGACATCCTTGCTCCAAACCGATCCCCCAAGACCGAATCTGGTAGCATTAGCACGAGCAATCACGTCGTCTTCATCTTTCCACTTGAGAACAGGAGCGATAGGTCCAAAAGGCTCTTCGGTGACAATCCTGGAATCCTCGGGAGGGTTATCGATGATTGTGGCAGGGATGTAGAAGCCCTTGCTCTCCCCATTGTTTGATTCTGGCACGCCACCTAACGCTGCCTTCCAGTTATCCTTCTCAATATGAGAGTAAAAGTTCTGCAGCTTCTCATACTGCATGCGATTTTGAATAGGGCCAAAGAAAGCCCGAGGTTCAGTATGGTCGCCCTTGGGAAACTTCTTGGTGGCCTCCACGAGAGCTGCGAGGAACTTGTCATAAATATTCTCGTGAACATAGATTCGCTTGACGTTCATGCAGATCTGCCCCACGTGAACAAATGTGAGAAATGCAATCTGTATTGGAACCAGTTAGCTTCCCTGATTGCGGGATGAAGGAAAGAAGAGAACAAACCTTGGGGACCACAACATCAATGTCTACATCGTCACAGACGATCGCAGCATCGTTGCCGCCCAGCTCCAGAGTGACACGCTTCAACGTGGACGCACATGCCGCCATGATCCTCTTTCCCGTTTCCACAGATCCAGTAAAGCCAATCTTGGCAATATCCGGGTGGGCAGTGAAGTGTGGTCCCAGACTCTCGTCTCCGCTGAGCGCTTGAAGGACTCCAGGCGGAAGAATCCTAGCACCAAGTTCGGCAATTTTGAGAGCAGAATAAGGACTAAAAGGGGACGGCTTCCAGATGAAGGCGTTTCCAGCGAGGAGAGCCGGAAACAGCTTTCCAACGCCGATGGCAAGAGGAAAATTCCATGGAATAATACCAGCAACTACGCCAAGGGGGACATATCGCACGATAGCAGTTCGCTGGAGCATATCAACATCAGTTTGGCACGCATTAGTGTTAGTAAGGTGCGTGCCGACTTACGTCTTCATCGTCGATTGGCTTCTCTTCATTGAGACGCATCTTGGGAGTTTCACGGGCCAGGCCCATTGTCAGGTCAAATTCGAAGCCGGCGGCTTGAGGAGGCTTGCCGAGCTCTTTGCCGAGAAGCTCGATGATCTGAGACTTGTTCGCCTCAATAGCGTCTGCAAATTTGTTCAGATATTGGGCACGCTCATCAATTGACAGCTTGCCCCAGGTAGAATAGGCAGCTTTGGCGAAATTGACGGCACGGTCAAGATCCTCTTTGGTCGAGACGGGGACTTCCCAGAGAGGTTCCTCGTTCGAGGGGCAAATAGCGTGGCGTGTAGCAGATGTTGAAGTCAACTCATTGTTGATGACATTTTGGTATTTCTACCGGGTATCCAAACACATCAGCTGAAGCTCTCCACAAACGATTGCAGCGCTTACCTCAAAATCAAGTACGTAGCTAGCCATGATTGAGAACTAGACCTTAGATCAAGATTGTAGGTGGTGAAGCTTGGGTACGAGGAATACCAAGCAGATAAGGAGAAACCGAACAGGCTGCTTGATATAGGAATCAAATATTTCGGTTAGATTAACAGAGCTCAAAGACTTTGGTTTGTGACCGGCTGTAGTTCGAGAAGACGAAGGGTCCTCTGCCCTTTTTAAACAGCTATCCAAGCATCGGGAGGGGTAAGTCGGTACATTATGCACTCCATGGGACCTACACGAAAGATGCAGATCGTAGTGTGAATTCCCCGGACCACCGTGCGTACCAATTGGTTTCAGAGCTCATCCATGCATAGAGACGTGCACTGAGTAACCTCACGGACCAACCGTGATGTTCTATTATGCCGGTACCAGCGCCCAAATAGGTCTGCTGACCACCCACTTAGAGGAGTTGCATCCTTGTAAGTTTTTGCGCCAGCGTAGCATTTGCACATCGTAGGGGCATGAAATTGCAGATGCAAGTCATATATCCGATCCACAAGGTTGAAGACCATTGTTTGTCTTGGCCCTTAGAGAGGCGTTCCAGGCCTGGCAGCCAAGACTGATCTGCTGTTGCAAGGGTAGACTATAAGTGGACCGGCAACTGGTTCAGCCTTGCAGTTAAGTTCGTCTAGACCTTGTCCATGGCTGGGTAGCATTTGGAGGTAGAGTTTGGGTGGGCTAGGTTGTCATCAATACCTCAATGTAGGTAGCATTTCACAATCCCACCCAGACTATGTCATCCAGAGGTGAGGATAATCGCCGCTCAGCAATCCCAAATTTACTATTAAAATTATTAAAGGCACATATGCAGATAAAATACTACCCAGTTCGATAAAGAGAAGTTGCCCTTCTCTTGATCCAACGGACGCCGTGGTCACTCTGTGATCGGCGAATCCCCATACAGAGCTCCTTTGGAGGAATAAGGATGCAAAGCCCGTCCTCTGCAGGCAAATGATTGAATGAAAATCCCACGCTCAAAACACACATTAGAGCTCCTCGCAAGTCTATGGCAGCAGTGAATTGCATTCAGTACCGTACAAGGCCTCTCGAAAACTAATCGAGGGACAAAAGGCGCCAGCACCCATAATCTGAATTCCTCTAAGTAATCTACATTTTAAATAACCCTTCCATCCAAACGTTCTCATCCTCTTCTATTCATCGTTCATACCAATAAAGGAAACCTCCAACAGCCGCAACCGCATATTGCGTCAATGTAAGTGCTTGGTCTATCAGGTTGGCTGTGCTTCCAGTACCAGTTTACTTCCTTTTGGATTTTGGCTTAGCCTTTGACTTGGGAACAGCCGTAGCCTTGGGCTTTGGTTTTTGAGCAGCCTTGGTCCTCCTAGCTTTCGCTGGGGGCTGACTCTGGTCATCAGCCTCATCTTCAGCTGCAGCCGCCGCCTCCTCTTCTCTCTTTACCTTCAAAGTGGCCACTCGCTGGCTCCTTCGGGGAGCTTCAACTGGAGCAATAACCCTTTTCCTTTTTCTCGGCCGAGGCGGATCCTCGCTCGCCAACCCAGGTTGCAGTGGTGCCGCAGTCAGAGAAGCAACAGGGGTCTCGTTTTCCACTGTGTGGCTGTCCGTAAGAATTTCCACTTGAACCCCCTGGTCACGAGTGGTACGGTCCAAACTGGGGTTTTGAGGGGCGACAGGGCTGGCTTCTACTGACGGCACTCGTGAGTCTTGATTGTTTCCGGATGTCACAGGATTCGATGGGGCATCTCTTCCAGTCTGGTCCGTGGCTGCGGGAGTCTTGTCGGTAGCTGCAGTAGTCTTGTCGGTAGCTACAGGACATGGAGTCTGGTCGATAGCTGCAGGAGTCTTATCGGCAGCTACAGGAGTCTTGTCGGCAGCTTCAGGAGCCTGGTCAGTAGCAGCGGGAGCCTTTTCGGTAGTTACAGGAGTCTGGCCGGCAGCTATAGGAGTCTGGTCGATAGCCGCAGGAGTCTTGTCGGTGGCTGCAGGAGTCTTGTCGGTGGCTACAGGAGTCTGGTCGGTGGCTGCGTGATTCCTGTCTCGAGCTCTGCATTTTCTGCAGTCCTTTCTGCCCTCCAACTCAGCGCGTACCAAGGGAATCTGGTCCCGGGCCCATACAATCAGCCTCTCGTAGCAGAACACCTTTCTGGCGGCGACACACCAAGGCTGGTCAGCCTCGTATGGGCCGCAGGTGAGCTCCCAACACTTTGCAGCCAGATCTCGATCGCGCTGCTCGTTATTCTCATATCTCTCGTCGAGTGATCGGATCTCCTCTTGAATTCCTCCTTTAGCTTCTTCGTCCGCGGTCTCTAGTTTCTCAAGCAGCACTTCCTTCTGCTGCTGCATGCTCCTACGCACATCATCTATCTCCAGAGCTGGCCCCCGCACCCAGGCGTCAAACAGCATCGACTGCACCTCTTTGAGCGTTGTTCCCTCGGGCACATGCCCGCTGGAGCGCAGATTAGCCAAGAACTCCTCGCCGTTGAGCCTGTTTTCAATCATCTCTTGAGTCGCCCACCCCAGATGCAGATACATGAAGCCAACATATTCCTGCCACGTCACCAGCTGATCTTGGTCTCCCGTACGAAGCTGGAGCGCAGACGGTTGTGAGATGCCGTACTGTCCGAGAATGATCGAGATGGCCCTCTCGTACCTTTGAAAAGCCCCAAACTCCCTCTTTTTATACCATTCCATAGTCGAAGCTGCCAGGGTTTTCTCGCCTACGGCCACCTCTAGTTTTTTACTAGGACTGGGACCGTGGTTACGATTGATGCGCTGCCACAGTCGAAATCTGGTCCAGTGGTCGTGCTGTTTTCGGAACACCCTGGCATCAGCGTAGTTGTCCTCGAATATCGAGTCCTCATAATACATCCAAGGAGATGTAACATGGTACTTCATCTCTGGGTTTTTGGCAACTGCATCGAGGTCGTCAATATGATAACCCGGTCGGCCGCCCTCTTTCAGCAATTTGTCGTAGTGCCATCTCTCCCACTCCTTTTCCTCTTCGGATAGGGCCGTTGGGCCCCTGAATTCCTTGGTTTGGTCATGGTGATGGATACGATCGAGCCCAATAATGTCGGAGTCGAGAACCACGCGCTCCATGGCGTTGTCGAAACGATTGCAGTCGAACTGTCTTATACGATCTGCGGCTTGTCTGGATTGGTCAGTATTGTGATTAGAGGACTAATAAGCCAAGAATCGTGATCACCATGGGGCTCACTCACCGAAACTTCTGAACAATGTTCTGTTGCTGATCGGTTGTTAGATCCTCCGCCCATGCTGAGGAAGTGGTCACTGTGCACGTCCCAGAATGTTTGAGGTGGTCCAGGGCGAAAAGGAGAAACTCGTCCTCGCTCATAGCCGCGATGGCGGCCAGCCTCTCCTTAGTCGCCGGAGGTCTTCGTGGGCGTACCATTTTGTAACTTTCGTTGTTTACGACTAGCGATGTTTACGATGAGTGATGATGACTTCCATGAATGCCGAAGAATTTATGTAAATAAGTAAGAGACATCATGGTCACAACGATAAATTGGACAGACAGACTATGAACAAACCGCTCAGTTTCTTTGTTTTGTATTACAAAAGAAAAGGCTTCAGAGTGTTTCTGGAGGCAAGTTGAACATATAGAGTGGTTAGCATTGCCCAATGCATTGTCACGTATCTATTAGACATTGTTCTCAAAGAGAGAAATTTTTCCAGGAAGGAGTAGGCGAACGAGATTCAACAATGCGCCTCGGACTAGAAACCAAGTAGCGAGCTGGTGCAAGTCAAAAAACAAGAGGTTAGCTGTTCACGGTGCACATCGCAGACAATCCTGAGTATCCAGCAACTGTTAATCACTAGTGACACGAGAAATGGCCCACATTCAGGTCGATCATCCTCGGAGATTTTGGGATCTGAATTGCGGGCACTCCAGCTGATCGGTTCTCGCTCGGGTCAGGTCGGAGGCAGCAAATACCCTCACAAATTATCCGGTTTAATTTACTACAGGCCAGTAGCATTGATCTTATTGTCCCAGGGAGAAGGGTCGGGCTGCGCCCCAGGTCGATAACCAAACCCTCCAATCAGGCCAGTACAAGACGTGTCCAAGCAGCAGGGGCTTCGGCTTGGAGTCAGCTTCGTCACCGCCTGGGGAAGCAGACCGCTCTGCACGGAGGTACAAGCGCGTGCTGGCCCAGTGCCATGGTAACACCGGCAGGCTTCAGCCCTACCTCTCCCGGTCAGCCACCGGAGAGGGTACAAATCCAGGCAGGAGTGCGAAGAACTGGGTATCATCACCGAGAGTGCTCGAGGCGGAGCCCGTGAGCTCGCGTGCGCAGTGGATTAGGAGCGGCCGACCTCCATTCCCCGGCCAGGTGGTGGGGGGGGAGATGCGTGAGTAGAGGTGACAATTTATGAGTCAAACGGCCACCATTGTCGCACGCAGAGGTAAGCGGATTGCGCACTTGGGAACAGCAAGCTCCCGCCAAGATGGCTTTGGTGGTGATGGGCCATGGCTGAAGGAGGGGAGAAGCAGAATACGATATCAGCTTGGCTTGGCGTTGTCACCTGACTAGTGTTGCTACATGCGCTGTCTCAGAAGCAAAGAAAAGCAAACACGAAAGGGAAAAGAACGATCGATAGGAAATGGTTAACGCGAGAACAAGGGTGTGGGAAGTGCCGCCGTGCTATTTTGGAGTTGAAAGCTTAATGACGATGCTGGACGATGCCAAGCAGCCACAATTTCCAGGCAGAAACGACGGAACCACCCAGAAGACGCAGCGCTACACCCACTGAGACACCCGCTGGGGCATCCACTGGGACGCCTCGGGGAGCCTGAGCTGCAGTGGCCTGTCAGGGCACGCAACCACTGTGGGTCAGCCCCCCATGGCGCAGCCACTGCCGTTTTCCTCATTGGGCTTCGGGCACCGCCAGCTGAAAACCGGCAGTCGTCACAATGAGTCCATCCGTGATTGTGATTGTGATTGCAGCCGTCGGGCAAATCACCCTCCCCCTCGACGAGATGCCTGGCGCAGGGCGTGCATGTTCTCACAACTCACAATCCCAAATACGACATCCCGCGGCTTCAGACGTGCCGGATTGGCCCCAGTATCTTCCGCCCGGCGAAGCATAAGGTATCCAGTGCCCCTCCTCCTCCCGACAGTAGCTCGCTTCTTTTCTATTTCAAAGTGATGCCTCCCCCGCTCTATCTCGAGTGCTAGCCAGTTTGATCGTCCCATTTCTGTTCACTCTCTCTCTTTCAATCTCTGGCCTCTCTCTATACTATTCACACATCAGCATCAGCGACATAGAACGGGCGCCCACAATGAGCAGATCCGCAGGCTCAGACAAAGACGCGGGCTTCAAGCGTGCAAACGAAATCAGCAGCTCCATGTTGGGCATGCCGGGATATGCTGATGACTCCATGCTATTCGTCGTCCGGTTTGCCAATAAGCTCAAGGTAAACATCTACTTGCTCAACTACTTCCCCGCAGAATGGGTGGTTGCCGCCCTCTTCGTCCAGACTAACGCCTCTACCGCAGACTCGGCTCAGCCAGAAAGACCACGACCAGTTCTGGAAGTCCCTCGACGCTATGAACAAGGCGAGCGCCAGGCCCGCCGAGGAATTCGGTGGTCTTGAGGGCCGCGCCCAACACGTCTCGGCGCTGCGCCAGGCCACCCTCGAGTCCGTCAAGGATTACCCAGACCTCGTCCAGGAGTTCGACCACTTCTGCAACGTGTCGAGGGCGCAATTCAAGAAGTTCAGGGGAGAGGCCCCCTCGGCATCCTCCTCCTCAACACCAGCGACGTCGGAGGCGAGCTGACGGTGGAGCGTATCACGATGGCCCCTCGATCTACCCAGCAGGCTGGATCTCAAGCTTCGTCATGGTCTCGTGATACAATCGCAGAGGTGCGAGTGACAATGTGATGGTTATGATGATAATGATTTTTGGTGTTTGGTCTTGGATCTCCGCTTCGTGATACCATGTGTACGTAATCTGCAATCTACTGGAATACATTCATCTTCTCTCTCTGCATGTCGGCTCGCCTTGCCTGCTCTCTACGTCTGCCCACACATTTAAGGGCTGCCGATCTCACGAACCAGGCTCCGGCAAAGTGCAATTCGCATTCAATGCGAGATGGGGCATTACCCCCTCAGCTGAGACAATAAGATCAACACAGCCTCAAAAATTGCACAAGGGAGCAGGCCAAAGTTCCGTTATACTGCGCTGAGCACGCCATGGCCGCTTTTGGTCTTGTCCAGAGAGTGCATCCAAGAGACCGACCCTGGTAGAGGTCGAGTCTGTAGATTGAGCCGATGTTGCATTTTGCCGACTGCCTCAGAAACAAGGCTGCATCGCGACCGTTCCCTCGGGAGCCACTTACCCTAGACTGCGATCTGGCCAACTGGCCGCCTGCTGACGTCGATGTGGCCAGAAGCTCCGTCGCTCTGCGTTGTCTTACCTAACGGCCAATCCACCGCCAAGCTGCAAGCTGCAGCAACAGTCGCTCACCGTCGGCCCTCAAAAGTCCAATCTGTCCACCAGCTGGCCGAGCCCATCACTGCGAACGAGGGCGTCCCCCACCGCCTACCCAACCCTTCTCTTCATCCTTTGTAATTTGATAATCGGCCTCCTCTTTTTCTCCCGCCATTGTCCTTTCCGACTCCCCTCCCCCACCCGAAAGAGGTTACTCGACAAACCACCCCTGACGAAGTCCAAAACCGCCCACGAACTCCTCCCACCATGTCGAATTACTATCCCCAGCAGCAACAGCAGCAGCAGGGCCCCTACGCCCCCTCGGGTCCCCAGAACCTCCAATTCTACCCGTCGAGCTACTCCCCAGCACCAGGCGGCGGCGCCCAGGGTGGCTATGGATATGGCGGTCCAAATGCCGGTGCCAATGCGCCCGGAGGCTTCACATCTCCTGGCTTCGGAGGCCCCAGTGTGTCAGTGTCGGGCAGGATGGGCGATCAGGGTGGGCTGAGCACAGGCTGGCTGGCCGCTTTCTCCACGGAAGGCTATGATGGCGAACCTGCGCTGCTGGAAGAATTGGGCGTCGACTTCAGGTTGATGACAGAAAAGGTACAGATCTATCAAGCGGATAAGAGGTTTCTTCCAAGCTACTCTTCGCAAACGATGTGCTAATACTTCTTGTTTCCTCAGACTCTTGCTGTTCTCAACCCCTTCCGACCGATCAACCAACACATCATGGACGACTCAGATATAGCCGGACCGCTCCTCTTCTTCTTCTTGTAGGTCCAAGCCCAGCTCGACAACCCAACCCCGTCGCAGCCGCACACTGACACTCCAACGCCCACAGATTCGGAACGTTCCTCCTCTTCTCCGGCAAAGTCCACTTCGGCTACATATACGGCCTCGCCCTCCTCGGCTCCTCCTCCCTCCACATCATCCTCTCCCTCATGTCCCCGACCGAGGTCCAGCAGCAGCAGCAGGAGCCCCAGCAGTACCCCGACCACGGCGGCGGCGTGCCCGGCTCCCACGGCGGGCACTTCTCCTCGACCCTCACCTTCGGCCGCTCCGCCAGCGTCCTCGGGTACTGCCTCCTGCCCCTCGTCGTGACCTCCCTCATCGGCGTCGTCATGCCCATGAACACCCTCTTCGGGCACCTCATCACGTCCGCCTCCATCCTGTGGTGCACGTACAGCGCGAGCGGCATGTTCTGCGCCGTCGGGCGCATGCGTGGGATGCGCGTCCTGGTGGCCTACCCCCTGGCGCTCTTCTACATTGGATTCGGGCTCATGTCCATCTTCAGCAGCAGAGGCGTTGGATCTCCACTACAGGCGAGCCCCTAAGTCTTGAACCGAACCGGCAGGATCTTACATGGGAGTGGTAGGAAGAGATTGGTGTACAGCATACAGGGAAGGGAGGTGTAAAAATTGGAAGGACTTCGTCCGGGGGGCGCGGTGACGGCCTGGGGAATCCGCGAGGGACTTCTCTCGAGTCTACCAGGCCTGGTTTATATATGCGGACAGAGATTTAGTTACGAGCCATCTACTTCTCGTCAAAAAGAGGATTAGGGGCAGCTTGGGAGCACTGGCGTCAAGGCTGCTGGGACATAAAGGGTGACACTTTGGTTGTAGTTTATCATATACTCGCGCACAATGAAGCGATTAATGAAGACAGCATGTCATTTCGTACCTGTTGAAGCTACCTATGTAGGAGCGGGAAAGCTCGCGAGTAAACTAAGCTACGGCAAACCCGGCCCAGCAATTCCACAACTGAAAGGCAATCCAGCAAAACAATCATGTGTTCTAACGTAGCTAGGAAATCAGTCGTTCAATTGTCCCGCCTCAGATTTAAGTCGTTGAAGCAAAAGAATCCATGCGATGCATAAGCCCTCAGGCAATCAGCCAGGCCACTCTCTCGAAGATTGACGGCAGAAAGGTCTACCAAACCAGAACCATATTGAACCACGCTACCTCAGCAGTTGTTAGAGTGATCTTGGATAGAACGGTCATGTGTTGAATGAACTCCGGGCAGTTTTACGTGATGAGATTCGATAAATGCCACGAGTTCTTCGGAGCTTTAGGTGAGATCCAGCTGGCACTCGTGGGTCCCAAGCTTCTGGCCTTTGAAATGGACTGTAAAGACCGTGGACGCTCCGGATGGCACCATGTCCACTTCGTAGTTCATCTTCTTACACTTCTCATCTTCTGCGGATATGAAAATCTCAAAATCTTTGGCCAGATGACTTGTTTGACAATGAATCGAACCCATCTTAGTGACCGATCCGTCGCGTCGGTTGGGCGGGTTGTCCAGGCCGCATTGTAGAAATGTAAGGGTGATGCCGTCCTTGTATGATTCGTTCTCGAAAAGGCAGTAGAAGAGGTGTCTGATAGGTTCAGCCGCCATGACCACATCCCCCTAGGTCCATATAAGTAAAATTATCAAGATACGGATAGGTAAACTTTGCATAGACGAACCTTCTTCAAGTACCATCGCATCTGGCGCTGTGCCCTCCATTCACCTTGAAGAGGCGCCCAAATCTTGTCCTCTTCACGGTGGACGCCTTTTATGAATTTCTCATTCATTTCAATACCCAGGCTAAGCCTAGCGATAGTCGAAACCACAGACATATGCGCCCGGGCGGAAAGGCCGCTGGGGTTTCCGTTAAGTCTGTCCATAAAGCCCTTATAGACGGCTCCTCGGCAGATCGCGCTGCGTCTATTACAGGAAGAAGGAATGTCAGAGGGAATTCATAACTCATCGGCATTGGCCGTCGAGAAAGATAAGCCTGGGACCAACTTACGGTTTCGTGCCACCTGCTTGCAAGACCTCTGGCTTACCCTTGTACTTGTCAGATAAATGCTCATAAAGGTAAGGGCTTGAACCAAGCCCTCCAACGAGAATGATAGCCGTCACGGGGTAAGGGGCAGATTTCGAGATTTGCTGAGAAACGAGATCCGCAATCTTCGCAAACGATTCTTCAAACGCCTTCTGAATGTCCGAACTAAATGGTGCAACTGTATCAGTACTGTAAGCTTAGTAGTCGGGGTGGAAACCTACACAGAGAAGTAAATTCGTCCGTCTATAATCTTCGGTTCTCTAGATTGATCATTCATGTCCTTCTTTGTGGCAAACGCCTCGGCCGGGACGCTTATGATGTGTTTCTTCTTCTCATTCTTCGAAGAAAAGATTGTCTTGATGCCATGTTCCCACTGGGACTGCATGATTTCACCGATGCCTTTCAGGGTTAGGTTGAACCAATGACGTCCGAGCCGAGCTTTGCAAATGAGACGAAACTTCTCATCGATGAACATTCCGCCGCAAATTCCCGCTGGGCCATAGTGTTAGTCATTCCGGGCAGGTATGAAGAACGAGTTATAACTAACCTTCACCTCCAGCAGCCTCGTGTAGCTCAATTGGATCCAAGCTCCCAACCTTGTAGGTAATAATGTCCTTTACAAGAGAATTAGCAAACTGTAAAATACTGATAAGTAGTGGTGCAGTCTCTACTTACGACAGTGCCGCCACCTGCATCACAGATCATGTAAACGTCATCCGCCTTCAAGCGACGCTCTTTTTCCCAGATCGTGGCGAGCGCCGCGGCTTCTGGCTCCATGGCAAATGAAAGTACAGTCTCTCCAGAAGGGCGATCTGAAGTTATGCCGGCACGTTTCGCTGCATCCTTCATGGCGCGCCTTGCATAGTCTTTCCAGCTGGCGGGAACAGTGAGGACAACGTGGAACCTGAGCGCGTCCAAAAGAGTTGACGACCGCGCCTTGGCAATCGTTTGGAGGGTGTGCTCCCAAAGCTTCCTCAGATAGTCAGCGATTACTTCGACAGGTGTCTTGCCGAGTTTCTCTAGGAGCATTCGGGCTTGTAAGAGAGGTTCGGATTCTTTGATTTCTTTGGGGAGATCTTCATCGCGGAGAAGCAAAAGCTTGAACCAGGAGAGGCGGTCTCTGTCTTCAAAGGGAACTTGGTAGCCCCAGGACTGAGTCCCCTCAGGTCTGTAGACCAAGGTGGTAGGGACTTTTGCTTCTTCCAAGTCGGCATCGGGCCAAACGGTAATGAAATTGATTTGGTCGTTTCCGAAGTCTTCCGCTGTAGCCCAGGCAACACCAGAGTAGCTAGATGAAGCGTTAAATGGTATTCTAATAATGGGAAAAGCTTTGTATATTTTACTCACGTCGTTCCAAAATCGATACCGATGACCAAGAACTCCTCTAGCGCCGTATCTCTTGTTATTTTGAACTTCTTGGTGACCGCCTTTGGGTCCCAAGAATCATGAGTAGCATTCCTTTTTCGCGGCATAGTGGCGCAAGATGCAGGCTGTATTCAGCACCTAAGCTTAGCGATGATTGATGTGATGTTGGCTGGCTGCAGTATGGGTTGAGGTGAGTTGATAGATAGAGGTTGTTGGGAGAAAGTTAGTAGGCAGATGTTGTTGGGAGGAGGGTTGGGAGGAGAGGAGGTGGAGGATTGGAGAAGAAGAAGAGTGCAATATGAAGGTGAGTTTCTGCGGGATGAACGATGGCGCCTTATATGGGCAGGTCAGCTGCCCCTGAGAGATGTGTGATGTTGTGTGAGTTTGTGCATTCTTGCCTGATGGGCAAACCAACTCCGCCGAACCTGGCATTTCTCACCTGTACTTCAGATTCCGTTTTAATTTATTCATCCTGCCATCTTGTTTCTTCTACCGGCCATTCAATAGTAAGGTACCTTTGCATTCATTTGCTGCAGTCACAAGACACTGTTTGTGAGGTTTCTCTCACCTATGTTTCATTTTTCCTACACTTCATGCTCACACATCCACAGCCTTTCCCTTTGTTTTCGATCCACTTGTCTCTTCCCACTCGCTCACATTCACACAAACTAACCCTCACATTCACACAAACTGCTTTTCACATTCATACAAACTAACGCACACGTAGCCTGGAAGAGCTCAATTTCCGTTCCGGCAAAAAGCCCGAGAAATGGGTTCCCAAATCCCGGCTTCGGGCCAAATCAAAGCGCCAAACAAGAACACCGTTAACGTGGATCCTAACCCTTCCTTCGACGCGCTCCAGGGGTGGATGCCAACGGCAACCCTTAGCGAACTTGAGGAATCCTTCGACCAGCAGATACAGCAGAGTTGGTTGGAACGTGAACCAACCCCAGAAAGGAGCCCTCCACCGAATCAAACCCCTAAGGGAACTTCTACAGCATCACAACGCCGAACAGTGCCTGCTCGGAAAAGGGGAATCCGGAGGCACAATTTGCTCTTGGACAAGCTGGGTCGCAAGAAAACAAAGCGTCAGCGGAGAGAATGGAAGATATTATCACTGCTACAAAAAGTTTCAAAGGAATGCCGCATTACGAAGTTGGCCCTGGAAACAAACCAAGAGCAGATGCAAGCACTTCGCCAGGGAGAAGCCTACGCCCAGGCCCAAGCAGCCAAGTTTGAAAAAGCGCTTGAATGTGAGAGACACTTGCAAGCTGAAATCAAGTCTGAGCTCTCTGCTGTCAAGCAAGAAGCATCAGCATTTTGTCAGGCAGCAGCCTGCGCCCATGCTCAAGCAGGCGAGTTCGAAAAAGCGCTTGAATATGAGAGACGCTTGCACACTGAAACCAAGTCTGAGCTCTCTGCTGCCAAGCATGAAGCATCAGCATTTTACGAGACAGCAGCCGGTGCCCATGCTCAAGCAGGCGAGTTCGAAAAAAAGCTTGCTTGTGAGAGACACTGGCACACTAAAACCAAGTCTGAGCTCTCTGCTTCGCAGCAAGAAGTATCAACACTTCTCCAGGGCCAATCGCAAGCCGGTCATGACCGGAACATGATGAGAAGGAAGATGAAAGATCAACAAGCCATGCTTGACGATGCAGTAAAGGAACTCAACAAGTCAAAGGAAACGGCCGCAACGGCTCGTCAAGGGCAACTGAAGGCTATTTCCGAGCTGAACAAAGCTATGCGGCTGAACCAAGGATCCGACCAGTCGACCGACACGCAGTTGGTCCAGAAGATGGTTGAGCTCCGTAATAACATTCGCACTTGGTCGTTGACCTATTTTATCACTGAATTCGAAAACACCCCCAGGCTGTGCAGACAGGACATGGAGATCCTGTACGAACTTGGACTTGATTCCGTTATGCGCAAAGATTGCTTTGAGAGATCCCTGCAAGACACAACAATACGCCCAACAGTTGCTCGTTCAGTTCTCTGGGCGGTACTTCAAAGGGACCTTTTCCGACAGTATCTATGGGTGATTAGACCATTTGGCAGGTGGGTGAGAGACACACACAAGTTCCTCTGTACGTATGCTTAGCTCAGGCTCTGCTCCGCTCTCCCATATTAGATGTGCCCGGGCGTGGACTAACATAATGTTTAGCATCGAAGATGATGATGAAGTATTCCCAAGATTTTGATGAGAAATCCCACAAGTTCAACATTTGGCGGGCAAATGGAAATGGCATGTTCTCTCAGGCACCGAGGCCAGGCCAGAAACGCATGTGTAGAAATCGCACAATCACCCAATTGGTAACATCAACCATGCGCTTGTTGAAACCCCTCCTCGCAAGTCAAGATCAGAAGGATGCCGAGGGCGAGCTGTATCAAATCATAGATCAAGCCTTGGCTTTGGATGAAGAGCTGTGCCAGCAGGTTGCAGATCTCTCGGTCCGGTACCTAGAAGACTCTTCAGGCTTGGTGGGAGCTCGCTTCAATCCGCGGGCAATGACTACGGAGATTGGTAGCAAGGATGCTACAGCAGAAGATGTCGTCTCTGTGGTTCTCGCCCCTGCCTTGATCAAGCGAGGCAACTCAGCCGGCAACGATTTCAACAAACAGGTTATATTGGTGCCGATGGAGGTTATTTGCGAGCCTGCGGAGCCGAACCCAACCTCACGCGCAAATCCAATCCCAATCCCAACTCCAACTCCAAGCCCAAGGGTCTAGGATAGTTTTCAAGGCCTGGGTTGTTCAGTCAACTGAGGAAGGGAGAAAGCAGAGGGAGTCATGAGGAAAATATTTGGTGCAATTGGCTGTCAATCAGTTGCACCCTGAACGATGGTGGGTTGCTCGCCTTTAACAATAAAAGCGGAGGCTGGAAGCCTAGCGTGCGGGGAGAGTGATTCTAAAGACGGTTCTGGACGCGCAAGGAAACTAAAAATCGACAGGAGAAATGGCTTTGATAGGGTGGTCGCGTGGTCAATATTCAGTCAGAGCTCAATCATCAAAAGTTGCTTCGTTCTACGGTGGTTTCGTAGTGAGATAGTGCCAGGGTCCAGGACAGGACGGGTAGCGGGGGCTAGTGCGGCAGTAGAGCAAATAATACACAGACTATTAGCTGTGCTCAGTGAATGGTCTGGTGCTGATTCGGGGCTCATTTTACGCGGGCGGGTGCAAGTGGGTGTGGGCGCTTCGTATAGAGAAGCCGTTTGATTCGCCGCATGTTTTGGCTAGCGGTGGACGGCTGAGCAAATCGCAGGTATCCGGTGGCATCCCAGCTTGTCAAAGTCAGGGGCAAGGGGGAAAAGCTTGTCGCTGGCTGGAGGTAAGGGAGATATTCTTAGATAATACTTGCCGTCCCGCGTGTCTCTCCCTCTGCCTGCCCCCCAACGGACGTCACATACCTACCATCTAAAGTAATCACAGCAGACTGGACACCAGACTGGACACATCAACCGCCAGAATGCTGCTGAAAAAGGCCCGCGTCATGGCCGTCGGCCTGGCCCTCCTGCTGTGCCTGCTCGTCTACTGGCACCGCCAATGGACCGTCGAGGAGGACGAGTTCCCCGTCGTCGCCCAGCTGCCGCCGCTGGAGATGCCGCCGTGGCCCATCGCCGAGGAGCTGTGGCGGGCGCCTGGCAACAGCACCTGGAAGCCAACCTTCCCCGTCTCCAAGATGGCGAGGCCGCCCATGGCCGAGACGGAGCCGCTGCCCCAGGTCCAGGCGACGTTTGACATCGAGTCCATGCAGGCCCAGGCCACCCGCCTCGAGCGCCAGAACGCCGTGCGCGCCGCCTTCCTGGCCTCGTGGCACGCCTACAAGAAGCACGCCTGGATGGCCGACGAGCTGCGGCCCATGTCGGGCGAGAAGCACAACGCCCTGGGCGGCTGGGCCGCCACCGTCGTCGACTCGCTCGACACCCTCTGGATCATGGGCCTGCACGACGAGTTCGCCAAGGCCGTCGCCGCCCTCGACGGCATCTCCTTCAACCGCACCCGCCTGGCCGAGGTCAACACCTTCAAGACCACCGTCCACTACCTGGGCGGCTTCCTGTCCGCCTTTGAGCTCAGCGGCGACGTCCGCCTCCTGCGCAAGGCCGCCGAGGTCGGCGACATGATGTACAAGGCCTTCGACACCCCCAGCCACATGCCCGTCACCCGCTGGAACGCCCACGCCGCCACCACCGGGCTCAACCAGACCGCCGCCGCCAACGCCGAGGCCGCCGAGGTGGTCGGCCTGTCCATAGAGTTCACGCGCCTGTCCCAGATCACCGGCGACCCCAAGTGGTTCGACGCCGTCCAGCGCGTCAACGAGGCCTTCGCCGCCGCCCAGGACGACACCGCGCTGCCCGGCATGTGGCCCAAGAGCATCGACGCCAGGCAGGTCCGCCTCACCTCGGGCACCGTCTTCTCCCTCGGCTCCAGCGGCGACTCCATGTACGAGCACCTCCCCAAGATGGCCGTCCTCACCGGCGGCCAGCTGCCCGTCTACCAGTCCATGTACGAGAAGGCCATCAACACCTCGCGCCGCACCAACTTCTTCCGCCCCATGATCCCCGACATGCAGGACGTCCTCGTCGCCGACACCGTCCACGTCAAGGAGGTCGACGGCGAGCGCCGCATCAACTACGAGTACCGCGCCCAGCACGGCGCCTGCTTCGCCGGCGCCATGCTCGCCCTCGGCAGCCGCCTCTTCGGCCGCCCCAAGGACCTCGCCCTCGCCTCCAAGCTCACCGACGGCTGCGTCCTCGCGTCCCAGGCGTTCCCCTTCGGCATCATGCCCGAGTCCGCCGCCGTCGCCCCCTGCATGTCCGCCAGCACCTGCAAGTGGGACGACGACCAGTGGCGCCGCGAGGTCCTCATGGCCCACGACATGAGCCCCGCCAACTTCTCCCTCGCCCAGCCCATCATCGACGCCGCCAGCCTGCCCAAGGGCTACACCCGCGTCCACGACTCCCGCTACACCCTCCGCTCCGAGGCCGTCGAGAGCGTCTTCGTCCTCTACCGCGTCACCGCCCGCCCCGACCTCCCCGACGCCGCCTGGGACATGTTCACCGCCATCGACGCCGTCACCAGGGCCGACATGGGCCACACCGCCGTCTCCGACGTCACTAACCCCAAGCGCGACCCGGACGGCATGAACTCCATGGGTACCGTCTGGATGGGCTCCACCCTCAAGTACTTCTACCTCATGTTCTGCGACCCCCAGATGCTCAGCCTCGACGAGTACGTCTTCAACACCGAGGGCCACCCCATGAAGCGCCTGAGGCGCGCCGCCGTCGAGCCATAGGTGAGACGAGAAGGAGGAAGGGGCGCTGGCTGGCCCAGCGGTGTAATTTTTAGGCTATTTTCGGTTTTTCCTTGGGCTTCTTATTTGGGAGAGGAATAATCTTTACCTCGTTTAAGGGAGCGATGGACTATGGGGGGGGGAAACTATGATCTCGGCAATGTTTAATGAAAAAGGGGACGGAAAGGGCGAGGCTACTTCTTGGATATGCATTCATTCCTCTTTTAACCCATTTACTGGTATTTGTTATATTTTTCTGCTCTTCGGGTTTAGTTCATAGCACAGGACATCATTACGGTTACATTATTAGAGAAGGCAATTTTATCACATCACTCTGCAAAGCATCTGGCCTTGATGAATCTGGATTAAGTAAGTGGGTAGCTGAGTCCCCTTGCTGACATGATGCCATTCATTACGCTGTCTGCCCACAACTTCACTACCCAGCCGAGCCTCATGTGAAGCCAATAATCTTAAACATGCGTACTCAAAGATCCAAATGCATCTCTCTATCGATATGTTACATGCCTCCGTCGCCTCTGACCGAGGCAAGGGGCGGAAAATGAAAAATCAGAAACGTGATAAAAAAGTCAAAATAGCCGCTGCGCCATCGAACGTGCATCCTCGTCGCTGTCATTCTCTCCGTTCAATCCTCGTTCGACAAGTAATTAAGCCCGCCTCGCTCGCCTGTATTTTTAAACCCCGGAGCCGAATGTGCAAGAACCCTCGATGCATCGAAATGAAAACATGGAATTCGCAACAAAAAAATAAATAAGTAAAAAATGCACGGGACCAGATCCGGTGGGGGCTGCGCTTGTCTGAGGCCAGCCTTCAGCAGCAGAATCCAGGCCATGTCCGTAACAGAATCTCGCCAGCTATGTGACCAGGACAGAATAGCTGCCAGAACATGCTTAGTGGCCGTTGACACCGTTGGTCTTGGGAGCATCGTCAGGGACGCCCCAGAGAACCGAATACTGACCACCAGCGCCGGCGCCGATGATCTTCTTTCCGCGGATGGCAGTGTTGTCGATAAGAGTGGGCTTCTCGATGTCATCGATAGTGCCCTGGCCAGTCTGGTAGTTGCTTGAGAAACCCCAAGAGTAGACCTGGCCATCCTTTGACACGGCAAAGCTGTTGTCAGTGCCGGCATTAACGGCAATGATTCCTGAGACATCTAGACACTGTTAGCAAGGAACCAAAAAAGAAATTGACATTGTTTGGCTGAAGCTTACCTGGGACAACGGTGGGCACGAAAAGGATACGGGGAGTATCGCGATCATCAAAGATGGCGTTCTCCTTGGTCAGAGTGCTGGGATCAATGCCGACCTGGCTACCATCGACACGGCCCCATGTGAGCAGCTCGCCCTTGGCAGAGCAGGCAAGAGAGTGATGGCCACCACCATCAATCTCGGTGACCTTGTATTCCTCAAGAGCCTCGATCTTGGCAGGCTTCAGGATAACGGCAGCATCCTCACCAGCATTGCCCTCAACACCGACCTCGCCGAAGTTATTCAGACCCCAGCCCCAAACATTGTTATTCTTGTCGATGGCGAAGCTGTGGTAAGAACCGCAGGCAACTTGTGTGATCTTGCCGCGGGGAAGGCCGACGCCCTGGGGAATGAGAGAGGAGAGCTTGTTGCGTTCGATGATACGGCGACCGAGCTGGTTCTGCTGTCCGCAGCCCCAGGCAACGACATTGCCCTTGGCGTCGAGGGCAAGGATGTGGTTGGCACCAGCGGCCATAGACTTGATGTTCTTCAACTCGGGGAGGAGCACGGGGGTCTGCTGAATCTTAATCGTGGGAGTAAAGCCGAGAATGCCATCGCTGGATCGGAATGTGCCCCAGCCGTAAACACGACCATCCTCGGTCAAGGCGAAACTGGCACTGTCACAAGCAATGACTTGGACAAACTTGGTGTTCTCGGCAAAATACTCCTCGGAGACCTCACGCGGTGTACTCTCCATAGGGTTGATACCCGTGTCATCGTCATCGTCCTCAGAATCGGAGTCTTCGGCCTTGTCCATATCGCGTAGCCCACCGTCCCAGTTGGTGTCGCGTCCCAGGGCGCCCTGGTCATTGACACCCCAGGTCAGAATCTTGTTGTTGCGAGTGAGGGCGATAACGTGCATGCCGCCGGCAGATATCTGGACGATGCCGGCATCCTTGGTAGACAGGTTGTCGTTGAGACGAGGGCGCTTGACATCGATGGGCTTCTTGCCGTTCACGCGTTTGCTTCCCAGGCCGAGCTCGCCAGAGGTTCCCTCCCCAAAGACGTAGATATCAAGGACCTGAGTAGGTGCATCGTTGATCTTCTTTCCGATCGCGACATGGGGTCTTGTGGACTTCTTGGGGGCTTCGGTCTTCTTGGGGGCGGGTTTAGCGGGGGCAGGCTCGTCGGCAGGCTCGGCAGACTCGGCCTTGGTCTTGGACTTCTTTGCTACGGACTTCTGGGAGTCTTCTTCGGGTTCGTCCTCAGCCTTGCGCTTCTTCGACGCGCCGTTGGTAGCGGGCTTGGGCTCGGCCTTCTTGGTGGCAGCAGCCTTCTTGGGTGCGGCCTTGGGGGCAGCAGCGGTCTTTGAGGCGGCGGCCTTGGTGGTCTTCGCGGTAACCTTGGGGGCGGCCTCCTTTGCGGCGGCCTTCTTGGGTGCAGCCTTTGCAACGGCAGCCTTCTTGGGGGCGGCCTCCTTTACGGCGGCCTTCTTCGTCGTCGTGGCAGGCTTCGCAGCCGCAGCTTTAGCTCGGGGTGCCATGGCAAGAACGCGACTGAGCGATTGTGATTAGGGAAAGGGGGTTGTGTGATGGGAAATCCGCGCGCTGGGTCACTTGGGTATATGAATCTGATGAAACTACCATGCAAATGGATGGAAGTAAAGACAAACCGCGACGTGGAGGTGGACAGAGATGGGTAAAAACAGCGCGGCGCGGTGCGAGGGAGGATTTTTTGGGCTGCAAACTGAGTACCCGCCTGCTATTGTTATCGAGTGGACTTTTTTTGTTGGTGGTGCCACACCCACGTATCTGGTCCAGTGCACGCGCCGCGCCCACCGCGTTCCCCAGAACAATCGATTTGTCCGGCAGAAACCTGCAATTGAGTAGGCGGTGAGACGTGGTGCCCCATTGTTCAGGTGTTCATCAGCATTCAGCTCCACTAAAATCCGATCCACACAAGCTCTTAGGGCCAAACAGCCCCTGTAGCTCCCTAGAAAACGCTCGAGCTTTGTTCGCTAACTCAGATCTCGAGGAACCACGAGCGTGGGAATGAGGACAAGGGTCTGTCTCTGGCAGCAGTGGCAGCTATTGAGCATTGTGCAATGCATCCTCACCGATTCACGGCTCGACCGACAATACATTAGCGAAGTGGATTCGATTGGACCGCTCACAGGCCGCCACGCTTTTCCCTTCCCAATTCGAACAGCCTGCAATGGTGTCTCGCAATTCGTGATTGTTGCTCTTTTAGTCATCCGCCACAATCAAATGCAGGTCAACACATAGCGCATCACTCTAACTCGGCTCCCTCTCTGATTGTATTTATTTCGTCTATTGTCTTTGGTGAGGCCGGTTTGCGAACCGGGTCAATGTAGGAACAATACACAAGTTCCTTTTTCTGGAGACATCTTCTCATCGTAGTAGTACAATCAATCGTGCCTCCCACCACCCCGCGCCCGAATTCCCATAAACCTAGCAGGGAGCAAACAGCAAGCCCTGAAAAAAGCAATGGCGGCCAAAAGGTCACCCCATCAATCATTACGTATCGCAGTCAATGCAAAAGCCCATGCCCCAAACTCCAAGTTCCAATGCCGATCACCACTCCACAAAACCACTGCTCTGACCGATGCAGATGTCGGCTCATTTGGTGGTGAAGTCAATCTCGTTGGCCGGGTTGAACCCGCCGTCAGCGGCCTTCTCACAGGTGCAAGCCCCTACACGGTTGCGGTCAGCCATGATTCGCCACAATGAACAAAGAATTTGCCTAGGAGTCGCAGGGAGGCGGCTCGGTTCCACATTGGCTTACCTGAGGGTCGGCTGCCACAGGCACAGGTGGAATTGCCCAGAGAGGCGTTCTCCGTGTTGGATCTGTCACAGGTGCATTGGCCAGCTGGGCGAGCACGGCACGAGCATCGGGGGCCGGCGACTTCGTTCTCGGCTGCTGCCTTGGCGCAGCTGCAGTGAAGAGCTGATTTCTCGCCGCAAGAGCAGGTTGCCTTTTGGGCTATAGAGAGCACGTCAGTACAAATTGTAATGGTGAGCTTTTGCATTCGGGGAGTGCGTACCACAGGTGCACTCGGCGCCGGAGCCTTGGCAGGTGGTGGGCTTGACAGTCATGTTGATGGTTGTAGGTTGTGTAGACAGAAGAGACGTCGTAGCAATTTTCTTGAAGGTCGTAAAGGGGGATCTTTTCGTATTAAAGCTGAAATGATTGATGAGACTGGAATATAACTGATTTGGAAACTCAGATTGACCGTCGATGAGCTGGTCTTTTGTACCTGATGATGGTTTCGGATGCCCACTAAAAATGGCTGGACTCGGGCATAATTGGAGAGACGCTGATTGGCTGGACCAAATCATCAGCCAATCAGACACCACATATTTCCAACCACGCAGTAATCTAGCCTGATGTTGAGTTCTAGCCTTTTCTCTGAATCCAACTTGGTACGTCATGACAGACCATCGCGCTCTTCTCCGGCGCTTATTTGCCTTCGATTACACATCGCGGACGTTTCCGTTCTACCGCATATTTGAATTGGCAAAGGGGTTTTTATGAGTCTATATTTGTGATGGTTAATTTGCCCAATTGAGAGGAAAGTCCAAGTGGTCATCTTGGGTTGTATGAACACAGACACTGATTTCTCAACCGTGATCTCTTATCACTTCTACTTTGCGACTTCCATACTTATCTATCCTTAAATTTTATTTTCTAATATTATCACCACAATGAATTATTATCTATTCATCTCAGAATTCACACCATCCCATCGATGCTAGTTCTGGTTCGCTCTGGTCCCGGGTAGGCAAAATGACAACATCCACAACAGCTACTGCCATCAAAGTCAAGGTGGTTCATCGCTGTTTCGGCTCTCCCTAGTCTTGAGAACTTGTCTCGCCTCCGCGGCGGCCTGCAATTTCGTCCACCAGCTGTCTCAATGCCTCTTCGTCCGGTTCGTAGACATCCTTCTGCGCTGAAGGCGCAGCCTCGTCATTCCAAAATGTGCCATCGCACTCGGAATAACAAAGCTGGACCTCCTGTCCCTCGTACCTCGAGAACCGACCCGAGCAGAACCGGGGATCTGAATCGTCCAGCGCACCGCGGCGGACCGACTCCTCCTCGCCCTCCTCGTAGTCTTCAGTCTCAAGCTGCGACATCACGTCGAAGATCTCGAGGGAGTGCATGGATTCTCGGAAACGCTGGAAGATTCCAGACCACCGGAGCTGGAAAAATATCTCGACCATGCCTGTCCCTTCTCCGTGGTATGCCTTCATGATGTCGTTGCGGGGGTAATCGGCATTCGAGACCTCGATGTCGTTCCCCTGCGCGTCCTGCCCGACGACGGTCGAGGGCCCAGGCAGCGGGCCTGGAATGTTGCCGCGGTGGAGTACAGAGCAACGGTCGAGATACAGCTTCTTCAGACCCCCGCTTTCCCTGCCTTGGTTTATGATCCAGTCAATCTGCCACTCGTGGCTGAGGACGTAATTGCCGAGAGCCAGCGCCTCCAGCTTGGGGAACCCGCCCTGTGAATGGTTGACTGCGCGGAAGTCCATCTTGGGGTTCCACCCCCACGGGTCCATGCAGTAGAGGGAGAGCACCTTCAAGCTGGCCGCAAGGGAGGGGGAGAGCCAAGTCTGCTGGAGGGTGTCGAAAAAGTCGTACTGTTGCTTGAACACCTCATCTTCATGCTCCTCGACGACGACGTAGAGCTTGAGGCCAGTGATGGTGCCAGAATCGATGACTGCGCGAAAAGCCTGCGAGGTTGTGAGTCGCTCATCGTTGAACCCTTCCAGGTTGTGCACTTCGAGCAGCTTGATGGGAATGGCTGGCATCCGAGTGTCTTCGGGCTCGTCCTCGCCATCTTCTTCGCCATTCGCGTTGTCAAAATCCCAGTCCAGGTTCGCTTCTTCGTCAATCTCCAGCTGGCGCTCTGCGGTCCACGTACCAGCGAGGCACTCAAAGACGGTCTGCAAGACGCGGTAGCGGAAATCATGCGTCTCCTCTATGGACACCCAGGTGCGGTCCTCGTAGTCTTCCCCGCCGCAGTGCTCACTAAAATCAACACTGAGAGCCTTGAGGTTGGAGAAGAAGCGTAGATGCGGCAATGCCCTCATGAAAGGTGCCGGGATATCATACGACGCATTGTGATGGTATTCAAAGTCACCCCCCACGTTTGTGTCAATGATGATCTCCTGTACGTGGCAGCGAAGCGATTCATCCCGCGCCACCTGGAGGAAGCGGTCTTCCTCACCCTCAGCAGCGGAAAGCCGAAGACGACGGAAGAGCGACGGCGTTGCTACGGAGCAGGCTGAATGGCTGAGGAGTCTGCAATTGCGTAGTGTTGGCTGGTCAGTATGAGAGAAGACGAAATATAGAATGTCAGCCGAAAGCTTGACATTTGAGTTTGGATCATTAGGCAACATAGTGAGAGTGTCGGTGAACGCTCGCTTTGTGTTGCGTGAATCTTGGCGAGAGAGGGTCAAATAAACAATAAGGAAGTGGGTAGCACCACTCCTCTTTGGGGTTTTATTGTAGCATATTACTTAAGCTAAATTAGATTGGAATTTAAGCTTGGAAAAGAAAACCATCCTAGGAGCAACCCCTGCCGTAACTAAAGCCTCAAGTGGGTGGCTCATGATGAGACATAGGTAGGATTCACTCGCGATATCTTTCCCGAGAAGGCCGAAAAGGGAAGCTGATGAAACCACAAGGAGGTTCTTCCACTTATAATAAGATTTGTACGGGATTACTTTCTCTTTGCTAACTGGACAGTTTCCGTTATTATCACATCGAACAGCGTTTAAATCTTTAGTTTATGTTCTTGGAGACTTCCAGCTACGCACATATACTGACGCGACCCCTGTTCTAACAACCATTATTTCTTTACTTTCTGGATTTCAGTCCATGGTTAGGATTAGACACTAACATAGCTGAGACCGTCTCTTCTTCTAAAGGGAACCTACAACATTAAGATTTACAAGCAACAAACACAACTCTCTATCTAAGTCCTATTGTAGGAACGTTATATTTATCGTCATATTCGAGAAGTAGTTGGTAAGCCAACACTAAAGCCATCTCGGGGCTTCATGTAGCAAATAAAATCAACTCATTAAAGTGTTTACTAGTTACAATAGTTTGGTCTGCTTCTATACCGGCCTGGTGTATACGATAGTATTCGGACATCGAAACAAGAAAAAATCACAAAGTTCAATTTTATTTTGCACTTATGTTATGACTATGAATTTGTAAACTAATGCATACATACGAATATTGCACTGCGGATAGCATCTACTGTCTCTCCGTGGTCTGGTCCGGTGCTGCGAGATCTGACCATACTGTGGTAACTACCAAGAGATGAGACTACCAAATTGCGCCTGGGCTATGGGTCGGCGTTTCCTATTTTATTCCCTCATCTGTGAGAACAAGCCTTTTACGGATCTGCTAAATGAAGCATATGATACATCACACGTAATGATACAGTACACCGCTGAATATTAGCTAGAGTGCATGGTTTCCTTCTTGTTGTCCTGACCGACAACCCCATTTTTTGACTTGAATACTTTACAAGCTCGATTGGCAGGATGACTAGGTCAAGATCAACAGGTACATACGGGTGTCAGACAAATCCCCGAAGATGTCAGGAAATGGCCCAAACACGCTGCTAGACGTTTGCCTACCACTCAGCATCGGTCGATCAAAAACGGGCCCAAGTTTCTCGGGAAACTCTAATAATGGGAGGCCCCAGTGCGGGGTGTGATGGGGGGCGCAGCTTTCTCTACAACATGGCACCTCTGGCTGCATTCACATGCATGTGCTACTGGGCGAGGGGTGACGTATTCATTCGTCGGATACCCGTAATGTGCCAACTTCTCAGCTGATGGCTTGAACTATCGGTCAGGAAATGCAGTATCCCTACCCCTCACGAAATAGGTAGACATCGCATTCTGTGTTGCAATACGAGCAGAGTGAAACAATGAGACAGCTAAAGGGGAGAGACAAATATGAAACATGCCAGGTGCTGATACCGCAGAACGCGACCCAGAAAAGAGGCTGGGAGAGGCAGCAAGAATCGACCCCTCTACTATTAGCACCTATTCAGGGAGACTTTGCGTGCTTTGGCTTGGGCGGCTGAACGTTGGTGGTGGGTAAGCCCAGACGCCAGACTTGATCGGTTGGACCGACGATTGTCGACTGCGTTTCTGCCTTTTTTTTTGATCTTCCTGTTTCACGGGGTAGGCGGTCATTCATCCCGACTCTCAGGTTAAATATAGCACCTGCACAAGCAAACTCTGCTACTGTGGTGATATATGAGCGGACGCATCGCTAGCTGCAGGCTATGCCGCCATTGACGCAAGTGCGTGAAGACACATGCCCAGCTTATTCATTGTTCTGCCAAGCCAGCGTGAACTACGTATGTGATCTATTGGGAGGCGCCGACGGACAGAGTCTAGCCTGGGTGCTGCCTTGATCCGGAGTCATCGCCATGGCTTTGCGACTAAGGCAAGGACGAGGCTTTCTCGACCGCTACGAAAATAAACTCACCCGCTAGACATGGCCGTGGTCCAATCCAGGTTCTGTGTCTGTGGGGAGCCCATCAGCTGCTACGTGGCGGTCTGACCGGAGCTGAAAACCCAAAGGCAACTAAGACGAGCTAGATGTGCCACTTCTGGATCTTGCCGGCGGGCGTGCATTGAGGCATTGAGGCATTGACTGTCTACCACTGCCAAGGGAGATGACTCCTCGGCGACGACTGTGGGAGAGAAGGAAGACAAGGGCGACTCCCGCTGATCCATGACCCGGCGGGATGGATATGATATGGGATGGTTGGCTCACAACTGCCGCGGAGGATGCAGGGATGAGGCAGTGCGCGAGGTGGTGGTCAGTCCGGAACAGCCACCGACTTGCCAAGCCGCCCTCGCCCGTTTCCTACTCGTCCAAGCTTTGACTGAGGTCCCCGACCGATAGCCGGTAGGGCTAGATCCAAGCCCGCTCCATCGTCTTGAACATGCAGCTAGGCCTGGCGTGGCTTAACGCGGACTGCCTGCGGTATGTGACTGAATGGCTACATGGCGGCCTAGAACATGCATCGCCCTGTCTCTGTTGCAAGTAATAGGACTCAGCTGCCTGGCTAGGCACCTTACTGGCAAGCCACTCAGGTATCAATGGCCAGTGACGGAGCTGGGCTGGGCTGCATCTGAAAATAAAACATCTCGCCGTCTCCAGTTCTTCACCACGATTCTCTATCGCTCCTCAGAGTCAGGAGCTTGCTTATATCTTCTCATTCCAAGCCGCATTCTCGCCTCTGACGACTGAAAGCATCAGGCCGACCCCCAATATCAAGCAAGCATGCGTTTCTCGGGCGCCCTCATCTTGGGGCTTGCCATCAGAGGCAGTCTCCAGCAAACCCCGACATCAGCAGCAGTTGCGCCGACCAGTGCGGCAGTGGCACCAACATCTGCAGCAGTAGCACCGACATCTGCTGTGGTGGCCCCCTCGAGTGCTCCTCAAGCTTCGAGTGCTGCCCAACCTTCAAGGCAATCCAGTGCCCAGGCCCCGGCATCCTCTGCCGCTGCACCCAGCGTGGCCCCTTCGGCGAGCGGCCAATCTTCTGCGGCCGGAGCTTCGTCCCAGGCCCAGGCATCTTCATCCGCGGCGGCACCCACGTCGGCGGGAGGACAAACATCACGAGCGGCCACCTCTGGCGCCCAGGCCACATCTGCGGTAATTGCACCATCCTCACAAGCACCTGCCACCTCACAAGCACCTCCGTCCTCACAAGCACCTCCATCCTCACAAGCACCTCCGTCCTCGCAAGCACCTCCGTCTTCACAAGCACCTGCATCCTCGCAGCTACCTCCATCCTCACACCCACCTCCCACCTCCGTCCCGAGAGCAACGTCGACTAACTCCCAGGAGGCCACCCAAGGTTCTTCCGCTTCTAGAGGCTCCGGCACCACACTGGCCACGGCCACTTCTGGAGGATCCCAGACCGTTGGAGGAAGCGCAACTAGCCGCTCTGGATCTGCCGCCACGACGACGACCACCTCGTCCGCCACTGCGTCGGTATCCTCTGCCAAGCTGGACTCGGCGACCGTGGGACAGAATGCCGCGGTGACGCAGGTCTCAGGAAAGCCTGCAGTGTAAGTCCAAAACATCAGCGTCAATCTCCATCAAGTTTTCATGTTTCATGAGGTTAACTTGAAATCACCTAGTGCCATGAACGCACCAGCCAACGGCAAGTCATCCTTCACCGTCGAGGCCAAGGAACCCGACGACGTCAAGCCCGGCGAGAGCATCAGGGTCCTCGCCACCATCATAGTCGGCGCCCCAAACAGCGGCAAGCGATCCTTCCTCGACCGCCGGCAGTCCGGCGGCGTGTGCCAGCTGCAGATGCAGATCGACGGCACCTCCGTGTACGACGCCCAGGTGTCGGCCGCCGGGGCCGGGGGCGCCACGATGGACATCGCCACCAACGGCGCGCAGGCGGCCACGGACATGCCCAAGATCAACGTCACGCAGATCTGCGGGTCGATGCCCGTCGAGGTCACCGTCACCAACATGTTCGTGACCAGTGTCAACGGCGGCGTGATGAACCCGGACGTCAACCCCAGCTCGACGGGCTCAGGAGGTAACAACGGCGGCAGCAGTACCTCGGGAACCAAAACTGGCTCGTCCACTACCAGCACTCAAAGTGCGACTGGGGGAGGTAGCAACAACAACGGTGCTGGCTATTCTGCTCTTGACGCTGCTCGGTCCTCCGTCTGGGCTCTCTGCCTGGTGGTTCCCGCCGTCGTTTTCGCCATCTGAGATGGACCGCAATGTCCCCTCGCCTGGCTCACAGGCTTAATGATGATGAAGTACGTATTCGACACGACTCAATGACGGTCTTGTCACTCCACACTCCCTTGGAAGGATCAGCACATGGCAGCGGTGATTTTATTCCGGTTCTGTTCTCTCTCTAGCGCGTCGGCGTATCTTTCTTGGCTTGGATTTCTTTTTTGGTTCGTTTTTCTGTTGACTGCATCATCTTTCCTTAACATAGGCACCTGGCTTAGAGCCCGTTAGAAGAAGAAGAATATACTCAATGTTTCCGCCACGGGCAGCGGACCTCCAACACCATGTTGCAATCTCGTGATCCCAGCGCCGTGATGTGATACTGTGTCAGCCACCCATTGGGCCAGATGTGCTGATGGCCCAGCCAGGAGCCAGTCCATTTGGAGAAGGTTCTCCGTTATCTTGGGGCATGCCATGCGCATGGATTGATCTCGGAAAGGGTTGCATTCTGATCTGCTACCCCGCTCCAGCGTCTGGAAGCCGATGCGACGAGACAAGCCTCACGCTCACCAATTGGAATGAGGATACCCGGTCTGCAGAGTGAAGAGTCAGAAAAGCGTCGAGATGTGCCGCCGGAAAGGAGCCGGAAGGGAGCTGGGGCAGCCGCTCCAGTGTGGAGGTGGAGCACTAAACTACACGGCCTACAGGGGCCCGCGACAGCGCTTACAGGGGGCCTGCAGCGGGCCTCTCCCCAGATCCATCAACCCTGCATAAGCGGACGCGGCCATCTCACAGCAAAGGACGGATCTTCGCCCGCTGTCCCTGCTGTCCAGCTTGCCAGTGCTTCGGAATGTGGTTACATTCGCGAATGTATTTCCTGGGATGCGCTCAATCCAGGAGGTCTTTTTGGTTTCTAGGCTTCGGTTGACCGGGCTGGCGTGTGGTATGTAAAGGGCGAGCTGTGCTGTCCTTCTCACCGCCCGGTCCAGTCCCCCTACACAGGCCGCGTCAGATCACAACCAGGGCTCCGAGACAGAAAAAAAATATCCAGCTCAACCACAGCTCACCATCCCTCGTGGGAGCCACCTCCATCATAAGAAAGGCTGGACACACCCGGTCAAACCCACATTCCATTCCATTCCTTTGCAGCTTTTAGTCGTCAGAAGCAAAGATGGATAAGGGCGAGGTCGCCGATTCGGTCACCTTCAAACATGTGGACGATCCGTCCCAGAATCCTGACAGCGGAGTAGCTGCGACTGATAGGTGAGTTGGACTTCTGTTTTGTGTTTCTTTTCCCCTTGGCTCCAGGTTTCTAATATTTGCTGTTTGCAGGTACGGCCATGCATTGGTAGAATATGACCCAGCGACCGAGAGACGTCTTCGCAACAAGATCGACCTCTACATCGTGCCAATCGTAGCCCTGCTCTATCTTTTCTGCTTCATTGACCGTGCAAACATCGGTAAGTGATCATACTGTCTGTTGCATAGACTTGCAAACTAACCCATCGTGATAGGCAATGCCAAAATCGCCGGTCTCGAGAAGGACCTCGGAATGACGGGCTACGACTACAACGGCGTCGTCTCCGTCTTCTACGTCTCCTACATCCTCTTCGAGATCCCCCTCAACCTGCTCTGCAAGTGGATGGGCCCCGGCTGGTTCATCCCCATCACCACCCTCCTCTTCGGCATCGTCTCGCTGGGCACCGCCTTCGCCACCACGCTCGCCCAGCTCTCGGGGGTCCGCTTCCTCCTCGGCATCTTCGAGGCTGGGATGATGCCCGGCATCGCCTACTACCTCTCCCGATGGTACCGCCGCTCCGAGCTGGCCTTCCGCCTGGCCCTGTACCTGGTCATGAGCCCCCTCGCGGGCGCCTTCGGCGGCCTCCTCGCCTCCGGCATCCTCACCCTCGACAGGTTCGGCTCCCTGCACTCCTGGCGCATGATCTTCGCCATCGAGGGCATCATCACCATCGGCCTCGGCCTAATAGGCCTCGTCCTCCTCACCGACCGCCCCGAGACCGCCCGCTGGCTCACCCCGGAGGAGAAGCGCCTCGCCGTCCTGCGCGTCAAGTCGGAGCGCGTCGGCACCACCACCGTCCTCGACAAGATGGACAAGCGCAAGCTCATCCTCGGCATCACCTGCCCCGTCACCCTCAGCACCGCCGTCGCCTTCATGCTCAACAACATCACCGTCCAGGGCCTCGCCTTCTTCCTCCCCACCATCGTCGGCGGCATCTACCCCCAGGCCTCCACCGTCCGCAAGCAGCTCTACACCGTGCCCCCCTACATCGTCGGCGCCTTCTTCGTCCTCTTCCTGCCCCTCGTCAGCTGGAGGATCGACCGCCGCCAGATCCTCCTCATCGGCTCCGCGCCCCTCGTCATGGTCGGCTACTGCATGTTCCTCGGCTCCCAGGACCAGGCCGTCCGCTACGGCGCCACCTTCCTCATCACCAGCTCCCTCTTCGCCGTCGGGCCCCTCTCCAACGCCCAGGTCTCCGCCAACGTCGTCAGCGACACGGCTCGCAGCTCCGCCATCGGCACCAACGTCATGATGGGCAACATCGGCGGGCTCGTCAGCGGCTGGTCCTTCCTTCCCTGGGACGGCCCGGACTACCACATCGGCAACGGGCTGAACCTGGCGGCGACGGGCACGGTGCTGATCGTCTGCTCCTTGACCCTGGTGTGGATGGGCCGGGACAACAAGAGGCGCGATGAGATCGACGTGGATGCCGAGTTGAGCGGGCTGAGCGAGCAGCAGATCGAGGACCTGGACTGGAAGCACCCGGCCTTCAGGTGGCGGCCATAGGTCGTTCGTGGTATAGAAATGCAGGCCCAGAGTGGTTGTTGAGGTTGGCAAAGGAGTGTTTAATCCACCGTCTAGTTATTATCAGAGTCTAGGGCCCAAATGGAGTAAACAGGCTGCGAGGTTGCTTCGCACGTCGACTTGTCATATTTCTTTCCATGTACCATGTGCCAGTAATATCTTGTGTAGGTTGCACAGCCCTTGCCGAGAACAGGCAGGGAACGGCCGACTCTCGCAACTTCCCATCATCTCCTCGGCCAAGAGGGCAGGAAAGAGACCAGGATTACCCTCTCCACAGCTTCGCGTGAAGCGACACTGCAGTGAGAGAAAAGTGATAACTTTCGTTACCGAGTCCACACAATTCACTCCGGCGTGAAGCGACAGACAGCGAGCCGTCTCTCACATCAGACCAGAGGCAATACCCTTAAGGGTATTGTTGCCTTGGAAGACAGACAAAACCTATGGGTGGCATTGCCCAGCTCATCCAATTGGAAGAATAGGGCGCACCAAGTCAGTATCGGCCACAAGCCGAGATATCCTAGAGATAAGCTGCACAGCATAGAAATCGAGAAGAAAACATGGAGACAAAGAAAAAAGGGGGGAAAGTATGCTTCAAATTTTATGTTAGTTAGTACCCGACAGATGTGCCGAGGCCTCCGATTGCAACAGGGAGCAGCGGCACGCTTCGCCGGTCTGGAACTCCCGAATGAAAATTCATCGTAATATACACATCTTATTCGACCCTTTCAGCCACTCGTTCGTTCGTATCGAGTCCGTCCAATCCTATATCGTGACCGTCCGCAACGCCGAAAAAAGTCAAAGTGGTATCATCGTACATTATCGTCATGAAAATAGAAGAAAATCAACATGGGCAAGACGCATTATATCGAGAAAGACAAGAGAAAGAGTCCGAGCTTAATCCGAGCAGGGACCGATAGTCTTCTCGTGCGTATGTCGGAGAAAGTCTCTTTGCTTTCGGAAGGATGAGTAGTTGCCCTCTAAAATCACATCAAGGATACCACCAGTGGCTCGACCCTTGCCGATCGACCTGATTCTTTCATTGAGAAGTGAGTAGGCTTCGTCGAACCTAGCTACGATAGAACGCGTGTTGGAGGAACCGCCCGAGATGTCGTTGGACGCATTGTTTGGGTCGATGATGGAAAAGCGCCCGCTATTTCTGTAGGTCAAGCTCGACACGTCCGACTGGAGATGAAGGTTAGTTAGCCATGAGGGACACCAATAAGACTCGGATGGAATGGGACAACATACCTTGCGGATATAGCCAATACGCCTGCCTGTTAAAGAAATTGCGTTTTTCTCGTACTCAAAGTTGCGACCATAGAGCTGGAAAAACTCGAGCAACATCTCTCCGAGGTGGTGTTCGGGCACCAAGTTTCGACTCTGCACTTGAGGTATGAGTTGCAACATACTGACGACCAGACAGATGACGGAAAATCCTCCAATGCCTCCGTTCACAGGCTCATTGAGGCCTCGCATGAGGAGGAAATGCTTGATGACAGTAACAAGAATTGGCATGGCGGGATAAGCTGCCTTCCAGGCCAGGAAGGTGTCTACTGCCTCAACACCGCCGAGATTCTCGAAAGAAACATCAACCTTGAGGCCAGTGGCTTTATCAACGAACTTGACCAAGGGAATGCGAGCGTGGGCAATGACCTCGATCGCATCGTCCTCTGCGACCTTCTGCGCAGTCAAGAGCTTCCTGAATTTGTAGAGCCAATTTTTGGCGCTCAAGTAAGTAGGTGGACCACCACGCGAGAAACTGGCCGAGCAAATAACAAGATCCATGTCAGCTGTTGGCAGGTAGAGTTCCGACATGAAAGAGCCAAATGGATGAACAGTGGCACTAGCAAAGTTCCTACCATCACGGCGCATAGCTCGTCTCAGGTTTTCGACTAGGTTTTCGCGAATCTTCTGCTCAAACTTTCGTGGGCGAACGAAGTTGTAAAAATCCATCACTTCTTGATGTAGACTATTGATAGGCATGTGTTAGCAAGACAGTTTTTTTGGAACAGCGGGTATCATCCAGCATATCGCTTGCTTTGGGATGGAAAACTCACCGGAAAGCTGGGTTAGCTGTGTCGGAGTGATCATCCGTGGCCCAAGGGCACGGTATTTCACCATTCACGATAGCCCAATCCTCAACGATAGCACCGTTGGCCGGCCGCATGTTGGCTTTCTTGAGCTGCCCGTAATCCGGCGGCTTGATCTCGTCGTCTGCTGTACGTTTTCGGGACCCTAGATCGTTTCGGGAGTCGACGTTGTAGACATTGGGGCGCTGGCTTTTTGGTCCGGTTGGAGGAGGGGGAACGGAACTTGGGGCAGCTGGTAATGACGAGCCTTTCACTTTGAAGTCTGCCTGGCGGGGTTGTGTAGGTGGCGGAGGAGGAGGTGAGACGCGGGGGGGAGGAGGCGGAGGCGGGGGCTCGTCCTCACCTTCCGCTTCACCTTCGTCGCTACTCGAGTCAAACGCAATAAAGTCTTCTACGTCTGGAGGAGCAGCCAGGTTCTGTGCAGCGTCGTTTCTCGCTTTCCGGATCAGCGCAACCACGTCCTTCTTCTTGCCCTGCGTCTCATCAGGGCATGGGAGAGCAGTGTAAGGGTCAGGGTTAGACCACTTCGGTGTAGAGTTTGGCATCTCGCCGTTCGTGGCGGCGGAGGTCTTGACACGCTTCTTTGCAGGCTCTTGGGAATCGGAGTCGTAATCGAGGTCGTCGGCTTCAGAATCGGAAGAAATGTCCATACCTTGCTCTTCGTCTTCGTCAGTGAGATCATCGAGGTTCCGGAATTTTGCCGCAGCGTCGTTATCGATGAGGCTTTCTTCCGGAAGGTTGTGCATGGAGTTGGAGAGGAGGGCACGCTCGGACAAATGAGGGGGTGCCCAGCGTCGTCCCCCTCGTCCACGCCCCCGTCCCCCTCGCCCATCCCGTCCGTCTCGGCCATCTCGACGAGGTCCTCTATTATCCTTACGATGGCTGTTAAACGAGGGAGGGGGGAGCTCAGCTACGCCAGCTGGCTTATCGAAGCGGAAAGTGAAGTCGCCCTGGGGAGGCTTGAATGAACCGTTGTCTGCACGGTCGAAGAAATCGGAGATACGACGCTGCTCGCCTTGTCGCCCATTGATTGGGCGCCAACTGTCGCCTCCGATCATTCTACCATCCCCATAGCGGTCGCGTCCGGATGGGCTTGACGGGCGTCGTCGCGGGGATGGCGACCGAGGAGAGCGCCTTCTAGAGCCCTCTCCTCGAGGTCGCGCGTCGCCTTTTCGAGGCCTACCGCGGGCCATGGCGACAAATACAGCAGAATCACTGTGTGCGGATACAGGGAGATGCCAACTGCGGACTATGCGACTACGGCTCAGATATAATCAACAAGTTTACAAACCAAAGAGGGGATGCGGATGCAAGGTAGAGCAGCGCGACAGGCGCGTTGATGAGCAGAAAATTCAATTTACGAAGAAAATATATGGAGAATTGCCGGAAATACTTTAGCGTGCTTGAGTGGTACCTTCCCAACTTCCCTTGCTTCCCCTCTACCGCTGTCCGGAAGGAGCCTAGCTGGAACTTCTGATTACATCAGCGATGCCATCCGGTTAAGTCCCGGCTAAACATCACTGTAGGGTAGGTGCACTCTCCAGCTGCAAGACCAGTGACACGCTCCTCCTCCTCCTGTCCTCAGCACCAGCCAGAACTCAACCAGCTGTTCAAGGGTCATGGGCAACGACCTCCAGCTCCACATTCATGTCAGGAACACCCAGCTGCTTGACACCAATCTGAGTCCAGATAGGCTTGTGATCAGGCATCCATTTGCGGAAGTTCTCTGTCATGAGAGCCGAGACTTCAGGCGTTATCTCTGTGTGATAGGAATTGATACGGAAGACCTGCGACCAGCCCTTGCCGCCTGCATCACGCAGGGTCAGGTCGACGTTCTTGAACGCCTGAGCGATCTCGTCGGCGAGTTTCTCTGGAAAACTGATCCCTGACTCCACTTCCACGGCCCAACCACCTAGGTGGAGATTATTGCATTAATAAAAGAATTCGGCCACTCGAGAAAGTAATTGGGCTAACATACCTTGACCTGAGCACTCGATACGATCACCAATGCGGAGGGCCTGGCTGTACCCGAGATTGTCTCGTACATACTCCCCGAACCCAGGATAGACGCTGTACTTGAGATGAGACATGTTGTGTGTATATTCTTGAGGTTAGCCCTGTGAAGGTGGTTTCTTCGCGGTGTATCGTGTGAAGTGATGATGTTCGGCCGGGATGGTTGTTTATGATGGTACGAGTTGGAACATTGTCAAAAGATGCACAGCAAGAGCTCGCTTTTATAGATATTGATCCTGAGCCCGTCATGGCGATATTTGATGGCTTACGGTTGTTGGCTTACGGTGGTGGAGAGGGCGCTGATAAATCGCAGCAGATTCATAATGCAGAGGACTAGACTGATTGGCGCCAAGAGGAAGCGATCGCCAAGCCAAGTTGATCCGTCGCCGTCTCAGAGCCGGACGAATTCGGGAGATAAATCTTTTGGTGATGCCCTCAAGAATCAACTACCCTAGACCGCAACACATTTTACTGCTCTCCATTAATCTCTCCCCCCATTGTAGGCCAAATATCTGTCATTACGCGTCAATTGAAAAGATCTATCATAAAGAGCGGTCATAAAAATCTCGGCTGATAAATGCGTGCTGTGGCTGAATTCCATTCTCTCATTTGGGCCACCGGGCGGCTCAATGCAAGCTTGCTCCCGCGTATACCATGAACTGGGCATTCTGAACGGATGGATCCCGCCGGATGCTTGCCGGCGTTGCCGTCCTCTTGAATCAACGGCTTGGTGTAGCTAATGAGCAATGCAAGGCAGATTGTAGGGATGCACTCTGCCATCAACAAAACCAAGTGCTGCTTACTGAGAATCCCGGCCAGACTAGCACAACAAAGCGGCTGAGCCAACATCCAACGGCTTGATGCAGGCTGTGCAACATCTCCAACACTGAGCGCGTATGAATGAGAATGAGTCATCCGCCCAAGCGCGAACAGGGAGCGCGAAAGGGGCGGCGCATTCGAAGTAAACGGCGGACAGCTGCAGCCACCTGCAAAGACGCGATGATGGCCTTGAATGGAATGACTCAGTTGGCCGAGAGCAGCGCCATGGCTGTATTCATAAAGACCAGAACTCCCACGCAAACCACGACAGAGATAACCACCGGACTCAACCAAAATGGCCTCCGATTTCGACGAAGACGAGCTGATTCAGCTCGCGTTCCTCCGTGACGAGGAGACTGATGCCCTCATCTCCGCAGGCTTGCTGAGCGAGGACTTGCGTCTCACCTCTCCTCTCGACAACGAGGTCGTCTTCTCATTTGAGGAACTTGTCCTCACCGTCACTTCTCATGTCCACTATCCTGTACGAGATATCGATTACCAGGTGGAAAACATGAGCCTTCCTCGCGAGGTCGTGGACGTGCTCCGCCGCCAATTGAAGCAAATCATGACCAGTGCCCAGGAAACCAACAACCTGAAGAATTGGCAAGACCGAGAAAACGGAAATGCCTACGGCGTATTCGAGCCCGTAATGGCCATCCTGCAACTCGCGCAGACAACAGCGCACTACCTCGCCGAATACCGTTCACTCAAGCTCACCAAGGACGCCCCGGCCGACGACACACCAGACGAACACCTCTGGTCCCTTCGTCAACTACAGAGCTCGCCTACCGCCTCCTGCACACCTCTCCCAAGCAGGTCGCCGCCCACATCCCCAGCGCATTCCGCGTCGTCCACGTCGAGCAGGTCCTCCGAACAGACCTCGCCCGCGACTTCGAGCAGTTCCAGGGCAGCCTGCGCAGAAAACTGTCCCGCCTCCCCCACGACCAGCTCCGGCGCCACATCCCCGTCGAGCTCCGCAGCCGCCGCGTCGAAGACATGGTCGACCACCTCGTCAAGCCCCGCCTGACCTTCCACGGCACCCAGCGCCAGAACGTGCCCAGCATCGTCCGCCACGGCTTTGTGGCTCCCGGCGCGCGCAACCCGGAGCTCGGAGAAACGCAGGAGGTGCGCTGTGGGTCTACCTACGGCCGCGGGATTTACTCGTCGCCCAGTGCCGGTTTCTCGCTCAGCTATAGTGACGGCAAGTTGGTGCGGGACTCGGACAAGGAGTTCTCTGGGCTCAAGCTGATCGCTTGCGCAACAATCATGGGTCGGTCGCGTGTGATGTTCCGAGATGATGAGTGGCGGACCGAGGACAAGGCGTGGGAGGGTGCCGACTCGCATCTAGCCAATGGAGGAATGGAGTACATTGTCTTTGATGCAGCTCAGATCATCCCCGTTTATGTTATTCACCTGGACTGGGGAGCCGATAACCCAGAGCACCTCCTCCCTGGTGCGGATAGTTGGGGCAGTTCGTCGGATCGGTGGAAGGGGCTTGTCCGCAAGGCCGAAATGGCCCCCGGAGACAGGCAGCGAGCGAAAGAGGCCAGCTTTGCGCGGGCAGCAAAGTATTTCCCCTACGGCTACGGCCCTGCATCCGGAAAGAGGTTTGTTGTGGAGGAGGTGGGAGAAATATCTGACGACGAGGAGAACTACGGAGATTACCAGAACCTTGAAGGAGATGAGACCGCCGAGAACACCGAGTTTTGGTCTTGGGTTAAGGCGGGGGAGATGGAGGACGACGACCCTTTGATGGAGGGCATGCACAATGCGGATGAGTACTTGGAGAAGCGCCACGCTCTGGTGATACCACAGGGTTTTGCGCGCACTGCTGAGGCCTGGGATAGCCTCGAGGCACCAAACTCGAAGAAGAATGAGTCTGGTAAGACGGACGGTGAGGATGTGGATGATGATGATCTCTGTCTCGATTTGTTGATGATGGATTCGAATGACGCGACAAAAATTGACGATGCCGATGATACCCCAAGCGAAGAGGAGCTCCAGCCCTCGATGAACAAGAATCTGTAGACTAGTGTTATTAATACAATGATTATTGTATCTGCCTGTTTGAAGATTGAAACGGCTGATCCGGTGGTTGCTAAAGCGGGCTTATCAGTCGCAACAACACTGACCAAATTGACAGAGTCGACACGTTTCGCCTGCTTTGTCTAACCACACTAGAGCAAGGCACTGACTCTGCAATGGTTGATTGGCTCATTGTGAGTTCTTCCGGACTGCAACATGGGCTAGATATGTAATTTGGAGGTTAGGAAGTGAGAGCCAGTGGGCTGCCTTGACGGTAACATAACCGGTTTATGCACTGAAAGACTAACATCGGCGATGAAAAATAGTTGAGGAATGAATTGGAATTGTTTCTGCCGCAAATAAATAACATCCTTAGGACCAAGTCCCTTCGGTGGCCTTTGATTCTGATATTGCTTCTTTCCGACTTAGTGTCAGAAATGCACTGCGTGTCTATGCACATGCTTGAGCAAAACCTCGCTCGTCTTGATGCAGCCAACATGAAAGCCTAGTAATCACCCGTCCAAGTGGAAGTTCCCAGAAGAATTCCTTCCCATCATCGTAGTCGCTGCGCGAGGAATAGGTTCGACCCATTTCGGGACCCGAGCACTTGATCAATCTCAAAAGGCCATTTCTTCGCTCTCGGCCTGCTAACATGCGACATCCCTCCAAGAAAACAATCAATAGATGACGATGGCATGCTTCTGCATGCCTTTGCATAATCTTGTCCGTGACTCTCCCATCCGAGAAGATACTTTTGCGCCCCTGCCCTGGAACTAGGCCTTCAACGATGCTCCAAACTAAACGCCGAGTGAAACTCAAACTTGAATTCCTGACCATTCGACTACTAAACAAGCAGTGAAAATCAAATGCAAAAGTCCCTGGGTCTTTTGTAATTTGCAAAGAGCCCGGGTGCCGAAACGTCCTTTCATCAGCGGCGGTAGCCGACCCTGCCAAACGCCCACATGGTGTCCATCATACCGCCATAATCCGGCCCAGGATATCCATAAGGATCTCCTCTCACGCCCCGACCATGAGCCCCATCCCACATGTCTGGATGCATGTACCCGGGTTCCGGCCGTCTAGGAGGCGGAATGACCCTCCCGTAGGCACCTACACCCTCTGGTGGATACTGCATTGCAGGCGAGACAGGCAATTCGGTAATCATCCGTCCGGGAAGCGTGTCTTGGACGAGTGCCACCCTGGAATTCACCATGGAGGACAGTGCGGTTTCCTGGCTGCTTGTGCTGCGTCGAGCGATGGCGGCGTCAACCAACGCCTCGATATCTGATTTCAAGTCTGGAGACTTGTTGCTCGTCTTGTCTTTCTCCTCAACGTCCGTTTGGGTCCCCGAGTCTCGGTACTCAACCTTCGCCAAGCAGCCCTCATCGACCATTCTGGGCCTTTTGGGCCTGGGCATCCCGATGCGGCTGCCTTGTCTTTTGCCCTGGGTTGAAGCCGGCCGTAAGAGGTCGCGCTGAAGAGGCGTGGCGTGCCTCGCGGGCTCGGTTTTGGGGCGCACGATGGGCTGCGGAGCAGGCGCCGCACGAGGCTCAGAATCATCGACTTCGGCCTTCTCATGTTTGGAGACGTCGCTCAGAGCCCACTCAACCGGCTCGATCTTCAGCTTTGGCGACGCCTTTGCACTCTCCTCCTCGGTCGGCTTGGGGGAGCCTTGGCTCTCAGCAGCCATTGCACGCAGCTGCTCCTCGGCCCACTCATCCAGATATCTTCTGGATGCGTGCTGGGCATAAAGGTCACCATCGCGATGGCCCAAGACCGCTCTCGCGGCTTTTGCTGCGAGATATGACGCCAAGTCTGGTTTCTCTTCCTCTTCCGTCGTGTCGAAGAACCTTTGGAACCGCTTGCTCATACCATAGGCCGACCAAGTTCGCGCAGAGCTAGGCTTATAGCGTTCTAGATTTTGAACGATTTGGTTGTAAAGAGGGTGGAACTTCTTCGCCTTGGGATGGATGTTATCGATAATAGTTTGGTTAAAGTCTTGGTTGGCTTGTTCTGCCGTAAGAGGGGAGTCTTCAGGTTCCTGCGACATGTTTAATTGAGCCGAGATCGCTTGTCTGAAGTGCTGCGTTTGAAGGAGTGGGGATAGAGGGGCTGGGAGCTTTCAAGTTGACGAGAGGTGCACGAAGGAGGTGAGGTGGTGGATGAGTCGGGGTTGTGAGGGGTCTGAGATTAAATACACGCTCTCAGAGAGGAGCGGCTAGCGAGCAAAAGGGCAGGAAAGAGGGTGGTTATGCACATATTTGTCTGACTTTGGGTGTTCAATGTGTGACTTTTGTGCACAGGGTGTGTATTGGGGTGGTTGTTGGGCTCTCTTTTGCGTAGGCCTGTCTGGTTTTGGGGCCTAGATGTGAACATTTTGCGAGGAAGATCACGCAAAAATCGCCTATCATTTTACCCACGGCCGTGAATTTCACCAATATCAGAAGTGTCAGAGAGAATTGAGTCTATTTGATGGCTATGCCGTTTGGGAGGGCACGTAGTTATCGTGGGTTTATCAAAAGCGCAAGGACTGGTTCTCTAGAAACCGAGAGCCTAGCAGTTGAAGGACAGTCTGCCATAATGACACAAGCTTGCAAAGAGCAGCTGCTTTGGGTCTCAAAGTTCCCACCGGAGAGGAAGAGCCCAGTAGCCATGTTTCTCCACGAAGCCTTAGCGAAATGGCTGGAAGGATGGCCAATGCAGCGAGGGTGGTGTACGACATCAGGCCCGCCGTGGTAAGTTATTATGGGCCATTTTAGCGTGTATCGGTTAGCAATTAGCAATAAATCACACAGAGAAAAGAGAGTAGATGAGTCGTCTGACTGTCGTGATGGTTGGTGGCCGGGTCACGGACATGATGTGTTGGCGCCGCTGGCCGGAGACGAGAAGAGGGTTATCACGTGATCATTAATGAGTGCCACGCCCTTTGTTCCCTCCCAATGTCGACAAGCCACACACCAGCCACAGTCGAGACTGTGGCGGGGCATCGGACCCAGAACCCACCTCGCAGCGTGTCGTTTTCAAACTACCCCCGCCATTCCTTCGAAAGAATCGACGTACCTCCTGCAGCCTTCCCGTCTAGAACCGTACCTACTGACGTGAGGTTGCAACACAGATCCGGACATGTCCAGCCTACTCTCGGGAATGTGAGTCCTGCCCTCCCGTGCACCCAGGCCGCCTGCCGCACCTGCACCGCCGCTCCAGGGCGCTTTGGGCCTCGCTGACTCCTTTTCTCTCAGCAATGCTCGCTTCAGGGGCGCGGGGCGCACTGGCAGAAGCCCCGGTCCTGGGCCAGAGGGGCCTTCTCAACCGCCCGCTCCGCCGCCTCCAGGCCCAGCGACCACGGCGTCGTCATCCATTGACGGCCCAGTCTCGAGCTGGCCCAGGCCTCTGCCCGCCTGGCTGAACCGTGCTTCGGCCAAGCACATTGTCAAGGGTAACTTCATGACCCTCAGCGCTCGGCCGAAGACGGTTGAGCCAGGCGAGTGGATCGCTCATCAAGGTTCGTCAATCCCACTGCTCACTGTCTACTTGCTTGGCCGCGTGCTGACAGAAGCTGTCTCTATCTAGTGGTTGAACACTATCGTGTGCTCTGGAACTTTGTCCGTGTCATCCACGAGAAGGACGATGACGGCAAGACCATCTGCAACCGCACAACCTGCCCCAAGATGTCCGCAGGAAAGTGAGTTCTCCTCCTTTGTCGGATTGAGATTCGTCGTGAAACGTCTGTCGTTATTGCATCGAGGTCTCTAACAGGCAAGCAGGAATCACTCGTACACCTGGTTGAACAAGAACCACGAAGCCGTTGAGCTCCCAGCCTACGAGTACATCACTCTCATGCAGCGATGGATCGCCGGTAAGGTCGACGACATCAATGTCTTCCCCACCGACCCGGCCGGTGTTTCCTACGCCGCAGAGTCTGCACCCGCCGAGGATGACTGGGTCGGTCGACGCTCCGGTTTCCCTAAGGAGTTCCTCGGCATCTGCCGCACCATCTTCCTCCAAATGTTCCGGGTGTACGCCCACCTGTTCTGGGACCACTTCCTGGAGCCATTCTATCACCTCAACCTCGAGAAGTCCCTCAACAGCTGCTTTAGCCACTTCATCCTCACCGCCACCACCCTTGACCTCTTGAAGCTGGAGGACATCGAGCCCATGAAGCCTCTCATCGACCTCTGGGCTGCCGATGGCACCTTCCCCCCCGAGTCCAAGGCGTACACCTACGCTGATGTCGAGCAGGGCAAGGAGCTTATGGAGCTCAGCGCCGCCGCTTAGCTCACTGCTTTCATGGGCAATGCAAGGGCCCTGAAAAGTCTGATGGTATTATATAAGGTACTTGGCCAGATGGATGCCTTGAAGAGGGCACCTTTTGGATACGATACTCACGATCATAGCGCTGCTACCAAATTCATAGCCAAATTCAATTTTCCATTTGCAATTAACACTCGCTACTAATGACGTGCCCCAACCACCGTGAGACTATTGCAGCCGGCGCCGCCTCCGGGGAGGTGCCTCTTCCTCGCCTTCATCATCCTCGTCCCGAGAACGCCTTCTGCTCTGCGTGCTCGCCGCCCGCTCCTGCATCTTCTTCTGCATCGCCTTATACCGTTTATCGACCCAATCAAAGACCCAGGTTTGTCCCGGTTCAAGTTTGGAGCGCGCTCTTTCAAACTCCTTGATCAGCTGCCTATAATTTGGCAGTTGATCAAAGCGCAGCCTTCGCGCATGTTCCAGAAGAAACTTGACCGCCGGCAAGCCGCCACAGAGTTTGTCCAGCGTGAGCTTCTCCCGCAGGTCCAGGCGCTTGGATCTTCTCACACTCTCCCACGGCAGCTTACTCTCAGCTAGCTCGACAAGACTGAGGCCCAGGGACTCGAGGTCGTCTCGGTATGATCTCGCTACGGAAAATTTGTCAGCATGTTCCCCCCCTTACGTTCTCGCCCTCTCATTAGACGTTCTCAGCGCCGGGGGTCATACTTCTTCTGTCCCGTATAGCTTCCAGAGGTGCGTAGTGCTCCGTTCCCACCAGCCCCCCGGAGTCCCTCTCTTTGTGCTGGATATCTGAGAATGTCGAGGCAAGCCCATAATCGATGATGTATAGGAAGTTCCCCTTCTTGCCAGACCCCATGGCCAAGTTGCCCGGCTTGATATCATTGTGGATGATGCCCTTTTTGTGAATACCTTCCAGGCGATTGAGTGCCTGGATGGCGACATTGCATACTGTGTCCATAGAGAAAGGATGCCTACAGTACTCAAACAAGTTCCATAATGACGGGCCAAGCAGGTCAGTCACCAGGGCGTCGTAGAATCCGCCTTTGGTCGTACCCGTCCAAAGCAGCTTGGGGGAGCTGTTGCGGGGGAGCCTCGGGTATAGCCGCCCTTCGAGCTCTACCGTCCGGTCCCTGCGGGGCAATAATATGACCTCCTCAAGTTTGATAGCCACTTGCTTGTTGGTTGTCTTGTCGGTGCCTTGGATTTGCGTGTCATTTTCTATCACTTGGAAAGTCCTACGTGCGTAGACGTGGTGCGAGGCGGTCTACTCACCTACGTACACGCGGCTGAAGCCTCCGTCGGCAATCTTGTAGTCTATACGGAACCTCCCGTCGGCAATTGTTATTTCCTGGTTTTCCTGGGTTGACGACTGGGATTAGACTGAGCTCATCGAAGGAAGCTGATGATGGAATGGGCCAGGATACTTGCCGCCATTGTTTAAGCAGGCCGTTTAGTAATATCTTAATGCCTTGGCTGTCGCGATTAGTTGAATTAGCAGTTCGTCGTGGGAACACTTGGGGAGTCATGAGTAGCTAGACTTTGACATGTACTAGATATTAATTATTTATAGTCAATCCGTTTGCTTCTCTGGCAATTGACAATATCATCTTCTCCACGATCAACCACTCGCTGGTGGATATCTGAAAGTGCTCAGTTCCCATACACAAAGGCGCCTTGTTCCTCGTAACGATCTTTGTTGACCTTTGTGTGTGCGAAAAGCACAAACAAGCGGCTCTTTCTTCAATCAAGGTTATAATTAAGATTGGAAACATACAAGACGTGGACGGACTGTGACGAACAAAGCTGGACTCAACTGGACTCGACATTTATTCTCGACGTCTCTGTTCAACATTCATGTTCGATATCTACTTTCGCTGTCTATTTTCGACTTTACGAGGAGCTAATGCATCCTTACTCTATGATCCGGGTCTTTATCATGGCGACGTCGCCCAGCTCTTCTCGGATGATACTCCCATATTATCTTTCAATTATCATCCCACCCATACTCCGTTGTCAGGTAGATAGAGGCAACTACTGTGAATAATCCCCAAAAGACGGAATACATAAACCCAAAGACACAGATACAACTCTCCACGATGGCGACTCTGACAGTCGACGAGGTAGAGCTCACCCCTGAGGTCCTGGAGCGCTTTGAACCGCAATTGCGAACCAGGAAATGGGACGACTTCGAACTACCAGACGGTCCCTTGCCCACCCTCCAAAGGTTTGCAAGACATGGAGGTCCGGATCTCAGCGATCTGCGATTTGTAAGTGGCAGCCCCTTACCGTCACACCACCTTCACGCTCTGCCTTCGTCCTCATCACTAACATGCCATCCGCCCACAGGACAACTACGCCCCCAACTCTCGGGAGAAGGCTCCAATCGGCAGAGCTGGACCATCCAGCGTTCGCTTCGAGGGCTTCCTCACGGAGCACAACATCCTGCCGCTAGGGGAGGATCCCGAGGGCGAGCCGCTGAAGACCCACGATCTGGACATGATGGAGACTTGGGTCAAAGACACCCTGACCAAGACCGTTGTGCCTGACATCACAGTATCCAGGGAAGGCTTCCTCCTCTTCCGGCAGCTCGGCGCAAACCTGCTGCCACTCAACGTCTGGCAGGGCGTCTCCCACCACCTCTGCCTCCCAAGATTCGCCGACAACCAGCCATCCCTCCAGACGGCCGAGCGCCTCCAGTTCAGCCCCGGGGCGTCAATGACGGACCAGCAGACGGACCCCCTGGAGGCGAGGTTCTGCGACGGCACCAGCTTCAGCTACCTGGCCCTCGGCGTCCACCGCCAGCTCGGCGCCCTCATCGACCCGAGCACCAACCTCGAGGGCCCCATCGCCCCCAACTTCTTCCTCGAGACGCAGACCCCCTCGGAGCGGCCGGCGATCCTCAGGAACAAGGCCCGGCTCGCGGGCGCGTACGGCGCGAGGGCCATCTACACCCTGCGCAGGCACGTCGGCGATGACCGTGACGATTCCTTCCGGGACGGCAACGAGCTGCTCGCCTTCACGGCCACCTTCGCGGACAACGCGCTCAAGCTGTACGGGCACACGGCGGAGTCGCTGGACAGCGGCAGGCTGCTGTTCCGCATGCGCCTCATCGCGTCCTTCGCCACGGACTCGGACGTCGAGACGCTGCAGAAGGCGTTCCAGTTCGTTTGGAGGCTCAGGGTCGAGGCCACGAGGCTGCGGATGGCGGCGATCGACCCCGTCAACAGGCGGGACAGGGACGACGATATCAATAGACATTCTTTTTTCTACTTTGGGTACGATGGGCTAAACGATGATGACGACCAGGCGCCTTGAGATGGTTTGGTAGATGCATGTGTGTGTTGGTGATGGTGTTCTCATCATCTTTTGTTTGGCCTTGTCCAAGTTTTCTTCCATGTTTGTATTTGCGTAGAACAGTGCACTGTGTATATTGACATGTTCTCATTTGTGTTGTGTATCCAGGTATTTCACGATCATGCTCCCACCCCAGCTCACTGATTCATTCCAACATGGCCTAACCTCTCCCAACAGTGAGCATGGGAGGCGGACGCTAGGCAAATTAAAGAGGGGGATCCTGGCTGCAAGCTCGACCCATCCCTGTTCCTTATCGCGAAGTGGGCTGTTGTCAAATTCCGACAGCTCTTTTATCGCCCGAAAATGACGCCATCACCAGATCTTCATGTGATCAGATCCGACCTTCCGTTATTTGTCGGTGTGAGTCTTTCAACACAGATTGCCATTGCTTTCGTGGTGTAAATGCCTGTATCATCTCTACATTCTACATATATACAGAATTGTCCCAAATATAGAAACAGGTAGGCAGATGAGACAATCGAGAGAACTAGCAAGAGGGAGAGAGCACAAACCAAAAAAAGTCCCAGAAACAAAAAGAAAATGCTGAACAAAAAAATACTACGCAAAAAGTGGTTCGCCATAGTCACATGCAACGCGATTGTCCTTTCTCCCCCTTGCTACCTAACAATTGCTCCCCATCCGCATCATTGACCCTTTTCGCCATTGTTCCATCTCTTTCATTCAGTCAATCATTCATGCCTCTTACCACTTGTTGACCTTCAACATGCTGCCCTGCTCCTGGAGGGCCTTGTGCAGGTCGAAGCTGTTGAAGAGGAGGTGGGGCTCGTGGCCCATGCCCTTGCGCAGGCACTCGCTCTCAGCCTTCTCGTAGTAGTGGGTGAGGATGGGCTCGTACAGAGGGTGGGCGCACTTCTTGATGATCTCGCGGGCGCGCTGGCGGGGAGCCAGGCCACGGACATCGGCGAGACCGTTCTCGGTCACGATGACGTCGAGGTCGTGCTCGGTCTGGTCGACGTGGGTGCACATGGGCACGATGCACGAGACGCCGTGGGGGTCGGTCTTGGAGGGGCGGGTGGAGGGAGTGTGCATGATGGAGTACTTGGAGGAGCGGAGGAAGTCGGCGGAGCCACCGAGACCGTTGAGCATGCGCGAGCCGTTGACGCAGGTAGAGTTGGCGTGGGCGTAGATGTCGACCTCGACGGGAGTGTTCATGCCGATGATACCGAGACGGCGGATGACCTCGGGGGAGTTGGAGACCTCCTGGTTACGGAGGAGGATCTTGGAGTGGTACTTGTCCCAGTTGTCGTAGAAGCGCTTGAAGCCGTCGGGGGAGAAGCGGACCGAGGTGGCAGTGGCGAAGTCGAGCTTGCCAGAGTCGAAGAGGTCCAGGAAGGTGTCCTGAATGACCTCGGTCCAGACGGTGAGGTTCTTGAAGTTGGACTTGTCAAGACCACCAATGATGGCGTTGGCGACGTTGCCAATGCCGGACTGGAGAGGCAGCAGGTTCTCGGGGAGACGGCCGTGCTTGACCTCGTGCTCGAAGAACTCAATCAGGTGGTCGGCAATGCGGACCGAGGTCTCGTCGGCATCCGTGTTGGGGCCGGTCATGTCGCGGTAGTCAGCCTCGACGATACCAATGATCTTCTCAGGAGGGATGGGCAGAGAAGTAGAACCAATGCGGTCCTGGACGCCGGTAATCTGGTAGGGCTTGCGGTGAGGGGGAAGCTCTGTGATGGTGATGTCGTGGAGACCCTCGAAGGAGGGCAGAGAGGTGTTGACCTCGATGATGACCTTGTCGGCAGCTTGGACAATCTCTGGGGAGGCACCGACAGAGGCACCGAGAATGATGCTGCCGTCCTCCTTGATGTCAGTCGCCTCAACAACGGCGACATCCAGACCGCCGCCACGCTCCTTGCTGTAGTAACCCTGGAAAAAAGTGTCAATTCGTGTCCAAACGGGCGCTCTGGGAATGCCAATTGCGACGGTCAATTGGCGACGCAGTCGCAAGGGAAGGGCTCCGGCTTACGTAGAGAAGATCCAGAGGGAACATGGACAGGTGCTTATCGAAAAAGTCGATGCGACCCTCGTTGATTCCCTTGGAGATGGCCTTGCCGACCTGGTGGGGGCTTCGCTTCTGGATCATGTCCAGCTCCGCCCAGCGGTTCTCGGTCTCGACACCGGACGAGGCACTGACGAAGAGGTTGTACTTGAGCTTGCCCTGGAGGTTGTTCTGCTCGACGTGATCGGCCAGGAAGGTGGGAACTTTCCTGCAGGGTTGCACAAGAAGGGTCAGCAATTGCGATGATACGTTGCAGCGAGGGGAAGGGGAGAGACGGCCCCAAAACTTGGCGGCGTGCTGGGAAGCTCTGCGGGGAGACAGCAGGGCGAGGAAGGAAACACTCACTTGGGATATCCAACACCGGTGAATCCGGACCAGCCAATGTAGGCGCCATGAGGGAAGTGGTGCAGCAGGTCCTCGGGCTTGCAGACCTTCTTGAGCAGGCTGGGCGAGCGAACGCGGGCCCTCAAGGCGGCTGAGGCGATGGGGGAAGCCATTGTGTGCGTCGGGGGCGAGAGCGGGGAGTGGGAGGAAGGGCTGCAGACAGCGAGGGGCAACGAAGACTGGAGATCGCAGGTTCGTGGGAGAGGATGGAGAGAGGAAAGGAGAGAAGGGAGAGGGATTTCTCAGGCCGCACACAGAGTTCACGATCAGACGACATGCCGGGGGAGCTTTTAATAAAGGTGGTGCCCATTGACATGCAATGCAAGCGGGACCCACGATTGAGGTGGAGCGAAGTTTAGGTGGGCTCCAGCTCTGTCTGCGCTGCTCTAGGCCCATCTGACGGAGATTCGGAGAGAGAGTAGTGGTGGGGGTACTTGGCTTATAGGTACCTCCCGCCCTGTGCTTCAGGGTCTTGGCCATTACGTCGTTGGCGCCGTCTTGCTGGAGCCCCTGCACCGGACGGGAGCTGTCTCAGGGCAGCCGGAGGTCGTATTAGGTGCCTCCATACATATAACCATCAACCCTCATGTATGTGTATATGCGTTGGAGATACGTCTCATTGGCCTCCGCTGGCGTCTGCATGTACTCCGCATCTTCATGGACAGTCCAGATGGGCCATCCTTGTCTTTTCCGGAGTAGCAGGCACACTTCCACTCACCGGCGACTGAGGCGGCTCAGCTAGCAGGTACTTGGGCCTGGGGTCAAAGATGGGGAAGCGAATTCGCGAATCACGAGGCCCGGCTATACAAGCAGAGCCAAGAAAGACTCTGCCTGCCCCTCTCGAGCCCGTTGAAGGCCCATCGGCCGTGACGAATAGCCGGGAATGCTGGTCTTGCTTCGGTATTGTCTGGCCAAACAGAGCTTGATGCGGGAACCGGGCTTCCCTTGGACCGAGTCTGGCGGCCGGCGGTTGGAAGTGGGACTCGCTGTGCTGTGCAGCGCTGTAGCGTTCACCTTCTAGCGGGTTCACCCCACCACTGGATGTCTCTTCCCGCGCTGCCACTGCCACTGCCACGGCTATTACAGCCCCTCGCTCCATTCCTTCTAGAATGTCTGGCTCTTGATCCGACGCGACTACATGAATCATGCAGCTTCCCCAATCCTGGATGACGGAGTCGCGTCAAACTTTCCATCAGCTCTATCTCTCGCGCCGTGTCACATCGTCGCTTCGCAGCAAGGGGCAGCACTCGGTGTCGCCAATCTGAGCGCAGGTGGCGGCACATGGATGCATGAATGCGACATTGATCAGACTACCATGGCTAGATCTACACACCAGACAACCAATCTGGGCGGGTTCACCACCACCATCTCTCTGCCCTCCGCCGGCCTAGACTGGATTCCCCGCATCAAGGTTAAACTCAGCGATGGCTGCACTTAACCCTGGACAGTCCTCGCCCATCCACCAATTAAATACGCGTTTCAGCATCGCATCATCAGCATCAAGCCGTCTTACCCATCAACTAGCCGACTATGCCCTCGATTTTGCTTGGAGACTTCGCAGAGCCTCCATCACCTCGTCCTTGCTCAATCCGTTCTTCAATGCCTTGCGCAGGACGCTCTGTTCAGACGGCGGCGTCAGCTCATCAGGCTCGGGCTGGTTCTTGTCCAAGTTGGTCGGGAAGGGATACCCCTCCCCAACCGCACCCAGCAGCGCCTCGACCTCGTCGCTCCAGCCCTGCTCGCCATACATCCTGCCCATCTCCTCCCAGCACCTCTCCACCACCGGCGCCGTCTCGATCGTCTCCATGGTCTTGCCGAACGCGCTGCTGATCTGCAGCAGGTTCACCATCCGGTTGACGTCTGCCGACGAGTTGGCGCCCGCGGCGTGGAACAGCGCCGGGTTGAAGAACAGCCCGTCGCCCTGCCCCATCGGCACCGTCACGTAGTTGGCCTCAAAGTACGCCTTGAACTCGGCCTCCCGCCACGCCATGTACCCCTCCTCGTACGTCTGGCTGTACGGCAGCAGCCGCGTCGGCCCGGTCTCGAGCGGCACGTCCACGTGCGCCACGCCGCCCTGGAGGGTGAGGAACTGGCTGGAGAGGTGCGCCGCCCGGGGGAACTGGGCCGCGGCGGCCTGCGACTGGAAGCCCAGGTGGTAGTCGCGGTGGCACTCCTGCGGGCTGCCGCCGGGCTTCACGTTGTTGACCTGGGCGGTGACGCGGTACCCGGGACCGAGCCAGGACGAGGAGACGAGGGCGAGGTACGGGTTGGAGTAGTAGGCGACGAATGATTTGGGGTCCGCGAGCGCGTGCTTGCTGAACGAGTTCCAGATACGGTCGTTCTTCCCGCCCGCGGCGAAATGATCGCCCTTTGCCGCGGCGTTTCGCTTCTCTGCCTCGATGATTGACGCGTAGACGCCGTTGACCTCGTCTAGGAGCGCTTTATCGCGGTAGAGTCCGGCTGTGACGAAGACGCCTGGGCCGTGGAGCAAGACTTGGTACCACTCATTCTGGAGCTCACTGCGCTGGGACGGAGAAAGGCCGGAGAACTTGGGTAGGTCGTAGATGGGGATATTATTGGCAATAGAACTAGCGAGAGGGTAATCGGCCTTGGTTGCTTTCCGTGAGCAGATGGCCGCGAGAGTCTGGACGGAGAGTGTGGATGAGGCGGGGAGCAACCGAGAGGTCGCCGCCTTGGGCAGCATTTCGAATGTTGTGCGGGGCTAGCCGGTGAGAAATATCTACGGTAAGTACTCGTAGCGTCTTGTTTAGTTCACCGTATGTCTCAAGGGTTGACTAGGTGTATGGTCCCCGGCTGTAGAGAGATATTTTAAGTGTGCGACAGCTCATCCCGTGGCGGTGGGAGAGCTTCCTTCTTATGAAGCTGCCACGAGCCACCACGATGCATGATTTCGCCGTTGCTTGCCTCTTTGGGCGCTACGGCCACGACCAGACGAGATCTGCAGGCCAGACTTTTCTTTTCTTGACTGGTTTGCATAGCGTATCGCGGGGCAATTCGCCCTTGTGGGGTTGATCGTTCGGAAATATACCCCCGAAGGTCTAGCCCTCACTTATTATTGACCACATGGTACCTGGGCAGTGAAGACGTTGAAATACACTGCACAAAGAGTTTGAACAACTGCTGTGCTTTGTCATCTGTTAGATACCGTGTTTCGTGTTACGTCCTCTTCGCAATTTGTATAAATAGGCGGTCTGTCTGCCGGCTGTTCAAGCGCATCACTGTCGTTCTGACTGTTACACCTGAAAACAGAACATAATTCGGGAACTGAATCATGGTAATTGCATATATAATTGATTGAGTATCGAACACTCTCTGTTTGAGATTGACATAGTTGTTCATTGTGGCGTTGGACGGAACATGGCAAATTCACGTTGCCTGTGGTTGTTTGCTAAGTACCTATGCCTTTTCACGCGTTTCGTAGTGAAGTACCTACTCCTCGACTCAAAACCCGGTGGTAAATTCCCAATAAATAAACACGAAAACTGTTGCTTCATGATTGCATTTTCCCCCATTCTTCATCCCATAAATCTTTCCTGCTCTCCATGCTCAAATTTCCATCATGAATCCCGATGAAGACTGGCTACTACCCAGAGATGTCCCCTCATGGTGTTTCTCTCCAGAAGAGAAACCTCTAACCTGGTCAGAGTGGTTCTGGCTCGTCGTGGAGGACCTTGGTTCTTCGGCTCGGAAAGTCTGCTCCTTTCTATGTCAAGCAACTCTGAAGCTTACGATCCTTTTCATCTCAACTGTTGCCTGTAGCTTGATTATCGGTTGCTTTCTCGACTACGAAACCTACACACCCACACCCTCATCCTCCGAGTTGATTATATCTTATCCCGAGCACGTCGAGCTCACGTCAAAGGACTTCGACCATCATGGAAACCACGACGACAAGAATGGCACCCTCTACATTGCCTTCCCGAAGCCCAACCTGCTCCTGAGTCGCAACTGGAAGTTGCTGACGAGCGATACATACAACGATCTCAAGTCCCAACTTGCCTACCATGCCTACGAAACTTGGGCACTGCAGGTCAAAAGTCTCACGCGCAGGGTTGACAAGACTCTACAACAAGAACTTTCAAAGTTCAGCCAGTGCCAGGACCTCTGGCACCAACCGTCGAACATGGCCAATGAGAAACTCAGCCTGGTCATCACAATGATCAAGAAGAAGCGCGACGAACTCTCAGCCTTGGCTCCCCGGATGGACGAAACCCCATATTCGCGCTGCTCTCGTCAACAAAACACTCATCGAAACGTCGAGGCCTTGAGCCACATAGCTTTCCTCCTTGGTCTAGCCGCACAGGAACAAATGGAGAAGCTTGAAGACGACATAGCATGCTTTCAAGCCGTCGAGTGGAGACTGGCTCTATCGATGGATAACTTCCGCGAAGCAAAAGAACTCGTACCGGGTGATGGAGCTTCGAGCGTGAGGGACCACATACTAGCCGATCTAGAGATGCTGAAGATATCTACCAAGTTTGCTACTGGCGAAGCGACCCAGGTTGTTTCGTTTTTCCAACATCACCTTCATGCAGCGATTTTAATCTATCACGATATCCAAACGGAACAAGAGAGCACGTCACGGTGGCTCGAGAACGCCCAAGGTCCTTGCGGAGTCTCTGAGGAGCAAATTAATGTACTTGAGAAGGTTAATAATCTGCTCAGTCAAGGTCGGTTATTGTCACAGGGGACGGGCAGTAGATTCGAGATGTAGAATATCCCTGAGGATTTGTGTATTGTGTTTTTTTATAAATCAAACGACCTTCTATACTCTTTCCGTTGGGACTTTCTGCCCCCTTGATTTCTTTGAATATGTGTAGTACTCAAATACCATCTCGTTAACTACCAGATATGCGCCAAAATCCCTCCTCGTGGTTCAGAAAAAGCTAGAAGTATGCTACGTAATAGAAAGAAAATAAAGTTCAACAGCAATGGAAGCTGCCAGAGCCCGACAACTCAACACAAGGAATAGAAGTATGCTACAACTCCAAATTCTCAGCTGGACTATACTCGATATTTTCCAAATTGATACGCTTATATATCAAAAACTCCCCCTTGTATATAGGGCACCATTCAACACGTCCCCGCCCGAAACGTCTCCCTAGAACCTCGTACACCGAAACAATGCCAGGCATGTCTTTGACCTCAGCTTTATCCACAGCGCTCTCGACAAGGCCCTCGTCCTCAAGTACGGAGAGGAGCTGCGCTCTAAAGATATGTTAAAGTCAGACCAGTCAAAACAAGCAGCGAGCCTGGGGCATAGCTTACATGAAGTCTCGGCACCCGAAGAATTGGCGGTCAATGGAGACGAAGGAGAAGTAGGTCATTTTCTTCTTCACAATGAGGTCGAAAATTTCCCGGAAAAGGAAGCCATATTTGGAACGGATTTTCAACGTGCGCAGTGAGCCCGGTGATTGGTGAGTCCACCTCACTGGTTTGATGCAGACCGCTCCCATGGGGTTGTGCTCCTTGTCGTGTGATGGCTCCAGCTCACTGAGCTTGGCATCAAGACACAGACCTCTGATTCCCAAGATGGGGTCTTCAAAGTCGATCTTCAGAGACGCATGGTTCTGGGGGAACGCTCCGGTTTCGGATGTGTGGTAGCGATTAACGTCCACTATCTCGAGGTAGATGGCCGCGCATTTTGCCGCGAGCAACTCGGTTGGGAAGAGTGCCGGGTCGCGGGTGATGTTAAACTCTTGTTCTGAAATCTCGGTTGACATTTTTGCTGAGTGGATGGTTTGAGTTGTGTAAGTGGTGGTAGAAAATGCCAAACTAGAGTGTAGACAGGCCATGGGGGTTGGGTTATATAGTGATGGATCGGATAGCTCAGATGAAAATGAGAGATACAAAGGACTCTCATCACCAACAGCGACTAAAAGATCGAAGAAAACTTTCTCAAATTCACTTACTTTTGTTGAATCGCTTCACAAACAGGAGGGGCTGACTTCCTGTATAAGTCAACGGACCATTAGGCCTGTCTCGTTTGCATGCGTGTGTTGACACCAGGCAACAGGCCTAAGGGGAGAAACAAAGCTCATCGCGTTACATAACTTGGGAGGTAAGGCAGATAAACTATATAAAGCAGGCATAGGGGACAGTCCGAAAGCGAGGTTGTGAATCTACCTTATTCAAATATTTTTTCTCCCCCTAATCTCGAAACCAATTGTTTTGACGGCCACAATTTGCTATGATTACATTCATATGAGTCAATTTATTTGAATTGAGTAACTTCAATTAGGGCAATGATTATGAATTACCAAACACTCTTATGTTCGATCGCCTTCATTTGAGGCTTCCTTATTCCCCTCGTCCAATCTCGGCTAGAGAAAGCCTATCCTACTACCTAGGGCAACAGTAACCGACCATTTCTCCAACAAAGAATCTGCCTCTTTGAAGCCTTCATTTACGCAAGAAGAGGCTCGGTTTCACCCGATCGCTCTTCGCGGCGGTCCCTTCGCCACCAATGTCGGATCGTGAGGGAGAGAATCAGCATCTTCACAATAGCAGAAAATCCATTGTTGACAGGCACCCAGCCGACCCCCTGATACCAATCTAGCAAAGCCTTCCAGCTCGACTCTGACCCATCAAACTCGTCCCAGGGGAACTCAAGCCGACCAACCCACGCGAAAGCGTCGAGCAGAAACAGAACGCCCTGAACGGCCAGGCCCGACAAACTCAGAGCTCCTCGATGGGGGCGAGACCGGGTCGTCCTCACCTGTGGGACCAGAGAAACAAGAGACAACAACGTGATGATGGGAAACAAGAACCTGGAGTGAATGAAGGAGAAGAGCGACGCGACATCGCGGGCGGACGAGCCTTCCGGCTCACTGCTGGGGCGAGGAACAAACAGCGGCACGACCGCGGCCACTGCGACGCCGAAAATGGTTGATGATGTTATCTTAGGCCAACGACGGGTGTCGTCAGAAGGAAGGCGCAGAGACAGGCCGGATCTATGAATTGCTGTCAGCCAGTTTGAAGCAATATTTTTTCGCGTGGGATCACAAACATGGTGAACCAAAGCACGAAAACGCCCGCGAATTGAACAAGGTTGATCCAGTCCCCCGTCGTCTGGGACTTGTGGGTAAATACCCCGTTCTCATCGTTCACGGAGAAGAAAACAGAGAAGGCGAGCTGCTCGGTTGCATTAAGGAGGTTGAAAAGGATGTACCAGAGGGAAATGCCCGAGCTCTCCTTCTTGCGCTTCAGACGATGCAGCTGTGGCCCGAAAGAGGTCCAGATGGCGATGAGAAGGATACTTCAGAAGTAATATCTGTTAGATGGATTTATCGCGCGGCGATGGTCAAGGTTGACTTACACTCGGGCCCAGTTGGGCACGTTCGGGACAGTCATGATGTGGGAAAATGATCTCAGTGGACGGGTGAAGATGGGTGGACTGAAGCGTCTTCCAACTTTTTTTTAACATTTTGAAGATTATTATCTGGAGTGGCCATGTCTTAGGTATTCAATCGTGACCTGGTATTGCGCCTTGTTGTGCGCGTGACAGACAATGATCATGAGGCATCCGGAGCCCACCCGCCTACATCCAAATCCATCAAGTCGCACACCCTCTTCTGCCTTGTCAAATGATCACACCTAAGGTAGCAGATAAAATGGAAACACATTCCTCAGCTGGGGCCCCGGCAGAAGTTGGTAGCCTCGCCGTGAGACAGTAGCACTCGCTGGATGGAGGTGGCCAGAACAGTACCTCGTGATAGATAGGCTGAATGGGCATCCCTGCTCATCCTCGCCCTAATTTGAAAATTGCAGCCTCCAATAGAGTCATGCCTTGCTATACTTCATGCTACATTTAAATTGCAGCCACCAAGACTGCCGTTTACCACTGTCCCCGATGATATACTAGATTAAACTCGATATCTAGAAGATTTTATCTCCTGAGTGTGGTCGCTAAACATTAAATTTTCCACAACACGTGAATAACACATCTCTAGCTCTGACAAAGGGTTCGCTTCATTAGTCCCTTGGGTAGTCTCGATACTAAGGTTTAAGTTTAAGTTTTGGAAGTTCCGAGCCCATCCTCTTTATTGAAAGCGATATGTCAACTCTAGTGCTAGGAAAGGCATTCTAGCAGAAGGAAGAGTTTGAGTGCTGTAATCTCTATCAAGATGAAACCCGGGCGCCTACCTCCCAGAAATAAAGACACAACGGAGACACATTATCGGCCTCACTAGAATGCCCTCACAGGTTTAGGGAGGAGCATGCGTCATCCTGAGAGAGTAGACGGCTGATACGCCGTAGCAAAAATGTGCGATGTCTAACTTTTCAGTCTTCAAAGTTTAAAGCCTTGGAGAGCATGAACCTCCACATGATATCTTTTGTTTACCAGGATCTAAGAGATAACCCAGTAAAGTTCCTAGAGTTTTGCCTTGCTCTCGCCCCATTACGCCACCGAAGTATCTCTAATTTAAAGTGCTGGTCTTCATGTAGGGCAAGGTTTTTGCCACTGATATTTTATTTTACTTGCAAATTTTCATCTTCGGCACTGGTCTATTTAAACCATCGAAGTTCCGGCCAATCTTGTCGCTCTCACCTCGAATTCCCCATGATCATCATCACCTCTCAACTCACCCCGGTTTAAAACAAAACCCATCATCTAAGGTACTCTGAAACCTGCGTGTGAAATTCACAACATCCTCCAACCTCAACATAGGCACAGAACGGAAACACAAGCTGCTTCCCTTTCGTCCCAATCTAAGACAACATGCATATCCGCAAGCTGGTCGCTGCCCTGCTTCTGGCGTCATCCTCCTGGCTCGTGGCAGCAAAAACGATCGGCTGGGAATGGAGTCGGGATTTTAACCCTATGGTAAAGTACAATGCTTCCAAGCTCGACAAGGGTGAGCTGGAATGCCTGCGTTCAAGCCAGACATCTCTGGGAACTCGCTTCAAGTTCAAGTTCAAGGGGTATTGCGAAGATGCCGAAGGGCAATGCTTTTGGGCTCGCATGATCTATCATGCCAGAATTGTCGACAACTGGCAATGCTGGAAGCGCGATGATGGCTGGTGGCAGGCCGATTTCACCCTCTTGGGCTTCTAGTAAGACTCGCCTTTCATCTGAATATTATCCCACTGTTTGCTAATGAGTTGATTTCCAGTAAACATGTCCGACCGGAGGTCAACAGATGCCTCAGCGAGGTCACACAAACGGAGGTAAATTGTGTTTAGTCAGTTGGGGCAAGCTTATACCACCCATCTGGTACTAGATTGAAGGTTGATCTTGCAGTGGGAAAATTAAGATGCCTCATCCCCTCCATCGTGTTATCTTTTGGAAATGTCTGTCTTTGAAGGGTACCTTACGCCTTAGTTAGGAACTATGAATTTCAGCCCATGAATCGCGTGAACTATGAGATGCAATGAGATTGAACCAAGAAAATAAAGTCCTTGTTCCTACGGCTTTTAATATTATCTAAATTTCCAGGCTCGTGACTTGTTCTTCCCCAACACATTAGGTGCACCATCTTCAGATAGTAATATTTGTATATGTCGAGTTCTCATTGAGGTTTCTACCTTCGTATTTATATGGAGATTTAGAAAGAGCCAAAATTGAAGTAGCAGTTAAAATTGAATCATATCGACTGTAATAGGAAATCGGTGGTTGTTTAAACGAGTGTTCGTTCGCTCTCCGGTGCGGTCTCTTGCTCCGTTTATCCCCATTCTAGTTCGACCTCGTCGGAAAATAATTCCGAACACCAACCAATCATTTGTTTCTTTGCCGTTTCAGGCAAGATATCGCCTGTCTCTTCCACGGCGGTCCTTACTGATTCCGGGCTGGTCAGATCATTCCATCGCCGGGAAGCGCCTTCGCCTCAAAAACTCTAGGAAACCGGCGGATCAGCCCTTGCTAGATCGACTTCGGGCACTCTAAGCAAACGGCAATCTACCGATGAATAATAAAAAAAGACTCTTAACTGAGTATCTCATACGTCAGATGGCTCTGTAGAATGACCTTTTATTATGCAGATATATCCCCGCGCACTCCAGCACCGCCTCTTCAGTATCAGCCCAGGAAGGAATCACGTAGCCGGTCGGGCAACCTTTAAGATGCGAGCTCCAAAGATGCAGCGCAAACGTATGCTTGAGCTGGGCCAGCTCCCTCTCGGCAATCTTGGCCATCCAGGCGTGTTTCCGCATCGGCCACCAGGCCAATTTGGCGGCCTCTCTCGCTGTGATCATCTCATAATGGTTTAACCGATCCTCGATCTCTTCAGCGGTCCGCCCGATGAGGATCGCAATCTGCTGGTTATCGAGATCCCAGGGACATTCCTTGATCGCGGCAAGAAGGTGGTCATCGTATACAAACCAAGGAGTGTTTGCGCGGCTGAGGAGAGGGTGCCATTCACTTACTCTCTGCAGGGCAAGATATGTGGTGACCTCGTCTCTATTAACCGCGTACTTGAGTTGAACGTCTTCGGAGATTTTGTCCTGGAGCCTGAGCTTGAGCCAATGTGTGAGGCGGATGTGGGCAGATGTCATCTCGATGCCCGAAGGCCTGCAACAGCGGCGAAGGCATGTCATGGCCTCTTTATGGGGATTATGGTTCCTGTGTTTTGTTGTCAACTATCTATGTTGCCAGCCGGATGAAGTCACGTTCTTAGCGAGGTCAAGACTCCCTGCAGGAAGGGATATCAGGATTTATAGATGGGTTGGAATGTCGGGAGAGGGTTCGTTGGCTTCTCGCACTGCTTAAAATAGATGCAGCGAGTGACTGATGAACATGGACCACTGAGACTTGAAACAACATAAAGCCAGTAACAGCAATCCCTCGGCCGAAGCAGCTCTTTGCCAGACACCTTTATGCCAAGCCTGGGCTGATTGTCAGTGACTCTGTGACAGTTCAGCTGTCGCCAGACAATCACTCCCGCCAGAAAACGAATGAATGACACGAGACAATGCAAGCATCACATTGACAAACACACAAAAGCCTTGTTCTAAAGAAAGACGGACAAAAGCCTCCCCTCCACCCCGTGCGCCTTCTTCGAAACCCCGAACAAATAAAACACACCCTCACGCGCATCCTCCATTCACTTTCTCTTCGCAGCCCACCGCTGCACGTGAAGCGCCCTGACCTCGTCCGCCAACTCGAGCACAGGTCCCCCGACAGCGACACCAGGAGCGACTGAGCGGATGCTCAGGGGAGCGACCTTGCCCCCCGCCACGCCGTTCTCCCTCCTCCACTCGCCGTACTGCTCCGTCGAGGTCGCGTACACGATGCGGCCCAGCCCGCAGTAGGCGTGGGCGGCGGCACACATGGCACAGTGCTCGCCGGACGTGTACACGACGGCCCTGGAGCGCTGCTCGGCGCTGAGGTTGAACTGGGCCCAGCGGGCGAGGGTGAACTCGGGATGCAGCGTGGGATCGGGCTTCCCTGCCTCTGATGGGTGCGCATCATTCTCTTGGGCGCCCGTGACGGTGCGGTTGCGGTGGGCTTGGAGGACGTGGCCGGTGGTGGGATCGACGAGGACAGAGCCGAAGGGGTCGTCGCCGGCCTCGAGGGCTTCCCGGGCGAGGGCGACCGCTTGGCGGAGGTATTCTATCTCCTTGGGGGTGGCCATGCTTCTGGGGCGGAGAGGAGGTGAGGAAAGATATTTATGTGTTGATGTGTCTATTCAAACCGAGGCTCTAAAATAAGCATATCTCGCTGCCTTTAGCGGGGTAGTGCGCTGTAGAAGTGGCGGGGCTCCCTAATGGAGTCCGCTGGCGGGGTTCACAGCTCACTGCATCCGCCTAAGCTCGGCGATCGGCCTTCTATTGTCCCATTCAGCGGGGCTCCATGCTTCTATTCCCAGTCGCACATACAAATGGAGAGAGATGAGAAAGTTTGCGGTAATACTGCCATTGGTTGCTGACAGAGCTTCATCACTTCACCAAGGCAACTTCATCGCCCTCAATGTTTGATCCCCTTTGATCATCGCCAGATCCAGGACTCACCACAATTGGAAACGTTATCATGGCGCACCTCTTCCGCACCTCACGGTCAACCCTCGCGCGACACGTTCTTTCTGCCTCACACCCGCGCTCGCCCATGTCCTTCAGCCTCTCAAGGAATCCAGCAGCAGCGATCCTGTCGTGCCAATCACGGCCAAAATGTAGCAAAAGCACAGCACCAGCATCATCCTCCTGCAAAAGCACAGCAGCTACCTCTACCTGCAAAAGCACAGCAACTACCTCTACCTGCAAATCGGCCAAAGCCCCTACTCCTTCGACGCTGAGTCTCGACTTTTGGAGCTCCAGGGCGACATGGAAACGGGCTGGCGTCAACACCCTTCGGTGCCTCGTTGGCTGTACCGTGGGTGACTTCTCTGCCATGTGGTACCTCCAGGCATTCCACCCAGAGCTGGGCATGCAGGCCATCATGGCTATCTCCAGTAAGCCAGCCCCGGCGTTCCTGACTCTCCGACCTGATGCTGACATTGGTCCACCTGCTTAGTGGCCAGCGGTATTTCGACATCACTGCTGCTCGAGACGGTCCTCCTTCGCTATGGAAAGGACCGTCTGCCGTGGATCATCGCCACCAAGACGGCGGCAGGCATGAGCATGATCTCCATGCTGACCATGGAGCTTGCTGAGAACGCTGTCGACTACAGCATGACCGGAGGTGTCGTGCAGTTCGACAATCCGGCGTTCTGGACGGCTGCCCTGCTCTCCATCGCCGCAGGGTTTCTAACACCCCTTCCATATAATTATCACAGACTACGTAAATATGGAAAGGCATGCCATTGAAACGAGGCGCCTGCCTTTTGCTTGCCAACAGGTCTTCAAACCCATGTATTGCTGTAGATTATGTATACATATCCTCTTAATATGCAGGTCTCGCATCTATAGATCGCTAAGTAGATAGAAAATGAAATCACGACTCATCACGCTCAACATGAAGGAACACCTCCCGGCTGCTCTCCTCCAGCTTCGAGGTCCTCTGTGTAGCCACGACGGATTGCCTCACGGCGATTTCCACCGGCGTGCCGCCACATACCACCACGGCCATCCTGCCAACCGAGGTTTCAATAGCCCTCCGCACAAAGCCCTCAATATTCGGCCTGCCCTCCGTCTCCAGTATCGGCCCAATATCGACATTAACCATCTCGTCTTCCTCATCACCGTGCAGCTCCGCCTCCAGATCCATATCTTCCTTCAGCCCTGCGTCCTCCAACCTCAGACTGTCAGTGGAGAGGCGGGCCAGATCTGCCAGCGCCTCTCCCTCCTCCTCCTCATCGTCTCTGGCCATAAGCCTCTCCTGACTGTTCCTACCCCTCGGGAGGCGGCCCAGCGCGGAGCGACTGCCGCCGCCGCCGCCAGCCTTGCCACCTGTCGTCGCAACCTCGACCCGCACATCGATCCCGAGCTCCTTGGCGGCGGACAGCGCCTTGGCCACCTGCTTGATGTACGCATTGGCCTGGGGTCTGCGCCTGACCACGTAGAGAGCAGTGATCTTCCGCACACACCCGGGGTTCTGCGCCGTCAATATATCCTCCAGGATGGGCGTCGTGAATGATCCGCCCGTGGACGACGACACGAGGATGAGGTTGTCAAACTGTCGCCAGTTGGGCAGGTTGCCGTACGGCCCGGCCAGGAGCAGCCTCAGCTCGCTCTCCCGCACCGACCCTCCCAGCCCGCTGGCCCACTCGTTCAGGTTCCTCGTGAACCCCGTCTTTGTCTTCGCCAGCAGGTGGATATCCTGCGTCGACTTGGTCGGGTCGGCGACATTGGCGATCGTGAACGGGTGAGGAGACTGCCTCTTCATGCTCGGTGTCCAGATCAAGACGTGCTGCCCGGGCGTCCACTTGAACCCTACCCCGCGGATCCTGATCGACGTCAGGTCCTCGTCCACGGCCTCCACCTTGGCGGAGTAGGCGTACCGCGGCACCCTCGACAACCCCGTGTCCGTCGCGGGCAGGCGGCCGAACTTGACGTTCCTCCAGACGGGATTGGCCGACCGCGTGACCACGTCGTAGAGGAAGACGGCGACGGCGCACCACACGCTGAACAGGTGGTGGCCCGGCACGTGGAGGAGCAGAAATACCAGCAGCGCGACGGCCGAGAGGATGTGCTGGACGACGAAGAACTCGTAGCGCCAGCGGCGTACGGGGATTAGGGAGCTGAGGAGCGTCCAGACGAGGACGAGCCAGGCGGCGACCCCCCACTTCACCATGGCGACGGTGCGCAGCTCCTCCCAGAAGAATCCCGCGGGGAGCCACTCAGCCAGGAAGAAGGACCCGTGGACGGTGGCGGTGGCGAGGAAGACGCGCGAGGCCCAGCGGTGCAGCCAGTTGAGGTGGTTGTACGAGGTGCCGACAACAAAACCGATGGGGTTCGTCCGGGCGGCGAGGAGGAAGGGCAGGGCGGTCTGGGTGGTGGTGATCCAGGCGGCGCGGAAGCCGAGGCGCTCGAGGTACCGGTCGTCGTGCTTGATGGACTTCCAGGTGAGGAGGGTGGTGACGAGGCCGGCGTAGGCGAGGACGGAGAGGATCTTGCCGACGGGGAGCCAGGCGGGGATCCAGGAGGGGAGCTGCCTCCGCCAGTACGAGGCCGAGAGGCGGTCCAGGACCCTCTCGAGGAGGGATTCCTGGGCGGCCGAGCTGGACGCGGCGTCTCGGCGCTGGACCCTGATGCGGGCGACGCAGTACTTGACGAGGCGGAGGATGAGGCCGATGACCACCAGGAGGATCACGGTGTACCAGACTACCTCTGCCAGCGCGTGGTTCCGTCTCGAGTCCCGGTGCTGTTCCTTCTGGGCCTCGGTCTCCTCCTCTTCCGATCCGTGATGGTCTCCATGCCGTCTCATCACCCCGGAGAAAATCGCCATCAGCTCCCGGAGTTCCATCTTGGTCTGGTCGTTTGACGATGGTAGATTAGATTAGATTGCTCGATGCGCCTCCGCACTCGCTGGCATCATCGGAGAGTGAAAAGTCGATGGCCAGCGCCTTGCCACGAGTGATGATTAAATCTCTTCCTGGCGGTTTTTGCGACTGCGCCCCGGATCCTTCGGAGGATTGACCCACCAGCGATAGATCTACGCGCATCAACCACGAGCCGCACGCGACGCCCCGGATAACGATGAAATGGTAGTTGGTAATTGTGAAGGGTGTAATTGGGCGACGAGGGTCCGGATGGTGTTTCTTCTCACGGGGAAGAGGGGCCAAGACCAGGCGTCGGATACGACCGGGATGATGGCCATTTCGCTGCCGTAAGACACGATGACGAAAGAACTCACTCAAACTGGCGCACGCTTAAATTACCTAGTCAGACATAACACACATATCATATCAATATCTACGCATCTACATATACAGGCAGTCAAATGGGTCAGAGCCATCTCTCAAGATTGAAGAGAAATTCGAATATAATAAATTGCTTTTGATGTCAAGCCGTGCATTCACGTGCTATTACGGTGTCTGTTCTAAACCATCCCTGTTAGAATCAGCCCATTAATAATCCATCACTCATTCCAAGGAATGTGTGTCGTGTCTCATGCGCAGAACAGTGTCTGAGTACAACGTCATCAGCTTATCAATAGGCGAGGAACCCTCCAAGAATCAGTCGGCTTGTCGCGGATATCTTCCCAAAATCACAGCTCTTATGTTCACTTCTCTTGTTCCAAGTCGATGGTGGCTGCGTTTTGTTCAGCCCGTGTTGTGCGCCCTCTGGGTCTCTTGTTGTTCCCCCCATCCCGAGACTCGGCTTGGGTTTTGTTCTTCCTTTTCGTGGAGGTTGTTGTAGTAGTGGTATTTGTAGTAGTACCACAACCGGCGACTGTGGTGACGATCGTGGTAGTTGTCGTAGTCGTAGGGTTGTTGATGGTGGTCGTGGTTGTTGTGGTAGTCTCAGTAGCTGCATCACCGCCACCATCTCCCACCGTGGCGTCCGCGACACTGCCCGTGCCTGAATTTCCGTCCTTGACTTGGAGGGCATGTCCGTCTGCCACATTTGAATCCGTGGTTCTGTCCGCCTCTTCGTTGGCATCTCCGGCTTCCCCCTCTTTCAACTTGCGCATGAGAGCTGTCCAGCCCTGATCAACAAGCGTGCGAAATTCCTTGGCTCTGCATACCACCATGGTTGGTGTCTGCTCCCTGCACCACATCCGGTGGTCATTTGCAATAAAAAACTCGGCTGCGGCCATAGACATGCGCCAGTCAAATTCTGTGCTGGCCTTCAATGGGTCTTCCACCCAGGGTAGGCGGAGCACGAGGTCGTCCGGGAAGCTCCCTCCTCTAGCACGTTTGATAGAGTCTTGGAAGAGATCCCAGCTGAGCATCCACGGAAGTATGCTTTCCTTGGCTCTGGAGTCCTCAAGGATCCAACAACGCATCGAGTGCCTCTTTGCATTTTCAACTGGGGTGACAAACTCCCAGCCACGAAATACCCAGACTGACAAGTTTGTGTCTGGACGAACATGGATATTTGGGCATGCAATATCTTGGCCCCATCGAGTCGACTCTTGTTTTCTGTCGCTGTCCCAAAACTGACAGTCTTTCCAATTCCATCCATACTCTTTCGAGTTCCAGAGTGTGGGAGCCTGGCGTAGCACCTTGGACGCAAGGGGGGCTGGCATCGTTTGAATGGGGGGAGTGGGCGATGGCCAATGGTGGAGGGAGGAAAAGTTGGTTTTCAGTTGAGTGAAAGTGTTTTTGCGTTGCAGGTAGAAGAGTGAGAAGCAGGAGGTGGATGGGCGCGGATCGTTCAAGGAAAGTGACCAGGTGAGGAGGTTCTGAGAAGCAGCCAACTGTGCACGCCCGGTAGCGGCCGAGTTAACACGCCGTGCCCCAAACAAAAGTTGCTTGATACCCATTAACAATAAGAACAGCAAAAAGAAGAAAATGCCCAGCACTACTTCATCGGCTCATACGATACCCTCGTCTCATTTTTAACATGAATCCCTTTGAAGTCACGATGCAACCGCTGTCCATCCTCAGCGCTCACGGAGCTGAACGTCTGTGGACCAGTATACCCTCTCGGACAGCCAAACCCGTCTGAGCTTATTGAGCCAGTCTCGATGTCAGGGAAGTTCTTGACTGAGTAGCCGTCGTCCATCTCGTGCATGTTGTTAAGCCTGTGCAGCTTGAAGCCGGAAATGCTGCCTATGTCGGACCGGGTAATTGAGCTGCTTCGGGGGTCAGAGCCCAGGACCGAGTCGGGGAGCATTCGGTGGAAGATGGGTCGCATGAGAGGGAGGCATGCTAGAGCAGAGGGGCATGGTCAGTATCTGTTTCCATTGGAATTTGAGAGGGGCGAGAAGGCTACATACAGCATACGATGGCAAGGTTAACCTCCATTGTAGCCCATATAATAATGGGGGATATTTCCAGAGGCATCTCGGGGGAGTTGGGGTCAAACTTGGACGACTCAATCAAGACGCCAATTGAAGCGACGCAGACCCTACAAGCAATGATCGGTCAGTCAGAGATAAACAGAAACAACACACTGGAAATATCACCCACAGAATTCCGAACATGAAGACACCAATCACGGCAATCTTCTGTCCCAACCGCAGACGGAGATTCTTCACCTCAACGACAGGCAGCGCAAGGATCAAGACATCGATGATCAGGTGAACCAGCACCGTGCCGAAGAAGAACTTTGAGTCGTCGATGTTGCACACTTTGTTATCCACCGTCAGGTCCCAGAAAGCCTGCACCGGGACGCAATGAAAGATGGCCATGGGCGTGCGGATTACGAGCCAGACGATCGAAGCTCCGGTCAGGATCTGGATGGGGATGCGGATCCCTGAGGTGCTGAACAGCCGCCAGTAGAAGCCGAGGACGGAGAGCTTCGAAAATGCCAGTGTGAATGCGTAGATGATCTCGCCGATCCAGAGGAGCATCCGTGACTGGTAGTAGACGTCCTCCCTGCTGCTGTTGATGGCCTCGAGGGGCCGGCCCAGGCCTGCACCCGCAGTCCATTCGATAACAACACCTGAAAATCCAAATGCGCACAGCTATCACAGTCCAGGTTAGTCGGTCGGTCGAGGGGATGTGGCGGTTGAGAAGAAAAGGGAGTGGTTACATATGCAAGGAGGGCGAACCAGTCGTCCCACCAGGTTTCAACCTTGGTCACATATCGAGCCACCAGTCTCAGTACAATGAAGATTGTGGCCAGCAGGAATGTCGTGATGGTCACCACATAGATGACAAGGGTATTATCCGACATCGCCATTGTGGAAGAGCTGTGATTATCGGCAAAGCAAATGAATGAATGGAAATGATGCTGCTGCTGGGAAGTTTCACCAAATGGCGAGAGTAAACAATTCAAACAAACGCTAGGATCTCCTCGTCCCGACCCATCGTTATTAAGAAAGAGATCATATTAGCCGAACCAAACAGGGTCAGAGGAGAGCCGGAAACGGGAGCGGGAACATCTTAAAGAGAGCCATGTAACAATATGCATCCATCAAGAAACGATAGAGGAGATCTTCATCGCTCAGTGGCAAAGCAGAGGGATGGCCATGACTCGGGACACACTCAATGCTGCAAGCAAATCGCATCGGCAACTTGACAAGCATGCCCCCGGCTAGATCGACCCAGGAATATCCATTGACCTTGCGCTACGTGTGCGATGCTGCATGTAGCAGAATTGGAAACTCGCTGCATCCGGCAACTGTCAGTTGTGGACCCTCCCCATCATCATCATGCGGTTGGGATCAAATGTGAGCAGAGTCAAAGCACATCCATTCTCAATACAGCAGTGAACAGTCCAGCAGGGGTCAAGGAGACGAGCAGCGGGAGTGGGCAAAAGTATCAGTGCCCAAGGGTCGGGCGACAACACTCTTCACCGACAAGCAGGCAGACGGACGGACGACAGTTGGCAATATTCCAGCAAGTGCATGATTTGGATCAGCCAGCCACAGACCCTTGGGCATGAGCGGGATCAGCGACGCATTCATCAATCGACGGCCCAGGCGGTCGGATGTGGACAAGGCGATGTGTTCACCACCAGCGTTTCAGAGCCAAGTCAAGCATATGCTGTCAATCATATCGAGCGTACTCGCATAAACCACGCGGAGACCAAAGCCCACGGGGAGGAGGCGAGGCACATTTCAAGCAGTTTTATGCCATTCAGCCGTTGGCACTGAGCACAGCGGACTTGACGTGGTTCCATGTTTCCCACCAATTCATCCCCAATCATGGAGCAACGGCCTCCTGGGCGTGGAGGGCCTCAGACCTGCTCGATTCCAGGCAAGCTGGTCCCTCGGCGGATGTCCCATTCGACGACACCTGCTGACGCCATTCGCTGACAGACAAAAATAAGACAGCCAAGTATGAAAACAGAGCTCGAATGCCATCCTCCCGTGGGGCGAGACACGGCAGCCCTCGTAACAAAAGGGGTGACGTGTATGTGCACGCACAGCAAGACAGGGCACCGGTCTCAGCCGAAGCGTCCAATATTACACGCACCCGCCAATGCTCAATGGCACTGACAACACCCTCTTCGGGAGACGGGTGGCTGGAACCGGCCGTGTTCATTGGGGTTCGTCTGGGCACGAGGCATAATGGACGGCAGATATTGCATGTTGTTTTGCAGGCTGCAGGCGAGGAATGGATGCCGCACCAATCGAACCCTCAGGGTCTGCAGCGCCAGGAAGCCGCTGAAACGCCGGGACTGTAGGCGGCATGGCCGCTGTGTGCTCTGTGGCTTTGGCGGCCCTTCACGCACAGGCCGGAAAATCAATTGTCAGGTGGCTGATGCTTCTTCACTTGATTCACTTTAATCTCATGGCTCAGCTGCGATCAGCGCCTGTCCCAGCTCACAGCGACGGAAAGGGTAGCTGAGAGAAGGGTGTGATATTGGTGGCAGTTCCCCAAATTCCCATCAATGCGCGCCGTGATGCTACTTGGATACTTGTACCAGGCTCACCACCAAGATCCCTCGACCTCAAATAAGTGATGTTCATGCGCACAAACGAGGCACAATCTAGAGCTCTAGTCGCCAGCTAAACAATGCTGACCAAAAGTTCATCACGTCTGCCCTGGCCACTCACTTATTGGGCATCGAATGATACTGCCTCGCGAGAGAGAGCATGGATAACAGGGGGACACAGTTGGTTATCATCGACGCTCCCACCCTGATCAACGGAGCTAGAACCTGCCACAAGTCGTGCAGTTCGCGCCACCCGGATCGCGGATCGTGTGTCTGAGGCATGAGACGGGACGAGTGACGTATCAATAACATTCTGCCCTCGTGTTACAATAAGCATCTTGGATGAAGGTGTCGGTTGTCCGATAAACATCGGGCCCGCCGTGTCTCAATTAGATAGCCGAGACATGTACTCAAATTCATCTCCTTGCCAAGAGCCGCCGCACATTCCACATCTCTTACAAACCAAATTGCCTGCGGGAGATATCTGAGGGTGAAAAATTGTAGCGGTGATAATAAGTGAGGGAGCTATGCAGATTATGCAGCAGCTGCTGAAAAAAAGGGGGAGGTACCCGAACACCACGAAATCGACAAATTTATGCTATTCCCGGCATCACAACACAGTCAGCACATCAAAGCTAAGCCTTTTTGCCTGACAACGAGGCTTGGGTCCGGCCATACATAAATCTCAACGTCAATGTGGGTGGGAAATTGACATGACGCTCAGGGAGTAAAGGCATAGCAGTAATGTGCCATGCCCTGAAGCGAGACAAACTGTTATAGATTCTTGGTGAGCCGACAACAGCAGGATAAGATGCATAAAACAAAATTAGAATTAGTATTAACGTATTTCTGTGAAGTGAATTTATCAACAGAATAGAAAGCGCCCCCTATCCATTACACTATGACCAGACCACCCGAATGCTCGGTTCTCTCACGCAGAGATTACAAAATTGCTGCTGGCAGCTCACTTCCCCTTTTGTGCGTGGGCCAGACACCCATCCATCCCTTCACCAAGCAAACTGCGCAGATGACTCACATGGTTTCCCCCTCCCGAATTAGATAAGGGAAATGGCCAACTGGGTGGTCGCCGCCAGCTTGATGTACTCGGCCTGCACGTCGGCCGCGCAGACGGGGAGCTGCTTGACGAGGCCCTTGTTGTACTTGTCGATGCTTCCCTGGAAGACCCTCAACTGAGCATGCAGATGTCCTTGGAAGTTTGTGCCCGTAGTAAGTCTCGCATGGTCGAAAAAGGCCTTGACGATTTCGTACTCTAGTGTGAGGAGCTAGAGAGCCGGTTGGCCACATCAGTACACTCCGCGCGCCAAGGGGCACCACGCTCTTCTGTCACTTACCTGCTCGTAGGAGGCGCATATCTTCTGCTGCTCTTCGGTGGAGTAGGCATATGCCGGGATGATGTTGAAGACGACCGACCCGGCGGCAGTTTTCTCGGAAAGCTTACCGAAGGTCTCGACAATCGACTACGTGGGAGCTGGTCAGTTCCATCAGGGGTCGGGCACTCAGGCTGAAATCTGTGCCTACCTGTCCAATCAATTGGATGTTTGTCCCGCTCCTGAGCTGCTGCGCTTTGGCGAGTGCCTGGCCGGCAACTTTTATCACTGAGTCGACTCGCTGCTCGATGTTGCCGGCCGAGTAGGTGTCTGGGGGGCTTGGCAGTGCTGAGACAGGATCAGCTTTGACTTGGGCCACAGGTGAGGCTACGGCTAGCACGGCCGAGGCCAGTGTGAGGATCTGGAGACGCATATCGGATGTTCGAGGATGTTCTTTCCTGCTGTTTTGGGAGAAGTGGCTTGGCTGAAGAGCAGAATGCCTGGGGACGGGTGTGATAATGTGGTCTTGAGTTTAGCTAAGTACTCCTTTGCCTCTGACAATGACCGAGTCCGTTTTCATTTTTTATCTTCACGATTCCGACGGGACGGGAAAGCATAACAAGCCGCCCTGGGCCTCGGCCGAGTGCATTCCTAGAGTTGTTTATGATGAAGCTATATCCGGCCGCGTGCCGAAGCCTTGGGAGTCCGATGCCAAGGGGAAGCTAACCAGTATCACCCCCAAGCCCCAACGAAAACGGCATTGATAAAATTGTGCCATCGCCACCCAGCTGGGCAAAGCTACCAGACGTTCACCAGATAGAACGGTTCAGCCGGGGTCTGAGGAGGGGATGAGCACACATTTCTCCCTTGTCTCGACCTATTCGGCTTGGGATCGTCGACGGTCATCATTCCAACCGGCACAATCGAGTAATTCTTATCAATTGAGTGCCTTGGCAGGACGACTCACGAATGCAGTCAATGCGATCCATCCCGAAGTAAGATTGGACTGCGATCTACCCGTGCTAAAACTGGCCCGTGATCTCAGTCAGACCGATCACTAGGTACCTAACAGTGCTCTCGGCTTCGCGGCTGCGCCGACTACTCGTTCCGCGGTAGGTTTGACTTATGTGTCTATGGGCAATGTCTTAGCCGTTGTTGCCTCTGTAGCTTTCTCCGTATCCACGTAACGTTATCCTAGCCATCCGCATGGCACGTTTCTGCCGGCCATTTCTCTGGTTCACCCTAGCAGCCAGATAGCCATGTTCGACCATACCCCCGATTGTGGGGTTCTGAATCTGATTTATACAGACCTCCAACTTGGATAGCTTATGTCTTCGATGCCTAGGTCAGGCGTCCCATCCGCGTTCCTGTTGTGTTGGGTAGAACCCGGTTTCTTGTTTATTACTCCCGCATCCCAATTCACATAAGGTATGCAATATTGTGATGTGTCTATTGAGTTCATTGAGAGCTAATTTCGTTCGACCTGCCGTCGTCCACCAATTGAATAGCTTGCAGAAGCCCCGTATTATATATTCCTCTTTAGTTCAAATCAGCACTCTTAATCTTTCTGTATATGCTACTTTATAGGAATTTTTTACTTCTCCCAGATGGCAAGTTGAACAATGATGGTCCTAGGGCTCCAATGCTGAGTGGCTTTGGGGCAGTGGGCATCTATAGCATTGTAATTCTTATATGCTCCATCAACTGACGGGGATGGAAAGTGAAGGTTCCTGAAAAGAAGTTCGATCGTAGAGGCGTGACCCCAAGACCACATCCAGGCTACAGTTTACTTATGAGGACGCAAAGCCAAAATAGTCTGTCTGACCCAAAGACAGGTGAAAAGGATAACAATGAAACGAATAACGATTATGCACATTTTCACCAGTAAACTCCATGGCAAAGTATGAGTTCCTCTAAAAGTTGTATGCAGTTGCGCAGCTATCAAAGGCTACCTTACTTTTGGATAGCTCTATGGCGGCTGTCGCTTTAGCTTCTCCCGACATGGATATGATAGCAACCACCTCGGATGTACATTCAAAGAGCCTTAACTTCCTAATGCTACTGGTACACCTAGCTTTATCTTTTATTATTTGAAAAAATATAATGTTATTAGAGCTAAGTATTATACCATTTCCGATGCGTCTTAGGCCGCTCGTCCAAATGTTTACCCCTTCCCCCCTTTATGCACTGTCAGCGATGGTACAATCTGTAACGTCTCTGTGAGCTTTTCCAGGGCACTTTCACGCTCAAATCACTGGTAGACCGGGATATCCCCATTCTATGGAGTTGCCCGCGCAGCAAGTCTCGGTATCAAGATGTGTGCCCCAGACCTAAACGCAAGTTCAGACCTTTGCCAAAATAACATTCTATCTGAGAGTTCTTTGTCTTTCGTTATCTACAGATCACACACCCTAAAAAAATTGGGAAAACGCTTGCGTTCCCTATTTAACAGTATGACAAGGCGCCGCTTGGGCTTGAAAATCTGGATTAATTGTAGTGTGCCACCTTATCGTTATTTCGTGTTAGGGAAGTGATCGATTCAGAGATTACCAAGACTGACCTAAAGTTGATCATCCAGTTATTCGCCCAAAGAAGACAGTGAGTAAGGAAGTTTCAATTACACACTGCAAGGAAGGATCACTCTCTCCTCCTCTCTCGCTCTTTGGTGGGCCAGGGACATGGGGACAACTTGCTATCATAATCCCTGTTACCAGCCTCTCTACAGGTATATGTATATCATGAGATGCTAGTAGATGATAGCAGTTGAACTTCACCTATTTATAAGAATATTGAGATCTCTGGCTTGTGGGATACGCAAGCCAAGGTGGTGGAATCAGCTTCCAGATCAATCGGGAGTTCAATGTCCCTAAAATGGCTCTCCTGTGCCCGATCTCGCGATATATTTACCTTCTCGCATAATCATCGAAAGCCATCTCCACGAAATAGTATAATAACGTGTGAATGAAGCCAAACTCTCTTAGGGATTCTTTCGGGGGACCGAGATGTCTTCGACAGCCTTACGATCTCGCGATGTGCACAACCGGTGATGCGCATGGCTGTTATATGTGAACTTTCCTAGGTCTACTAGTGCATCCAGAAATTCGAATACTCAATTAAGAATACTAGAGTTGTAATAATAAAAAAGGTAGTATGAAGTTGAATTTGTACCTAGTAACCATGAAGGACGGTATATCGGCTCGGTGAGGCAGTCTCAGGGTAGCTACCCTGTATCAACACCATACCCAACCAGTACTACTCGAGACACAATGTTTCTTACCGTTTTATCAAACATGAAACAACTATTACACATGCCAAAATCATCTTGCTAACCATTAAAGAAGCAGTTTAATCACTCTATTAAACGTTCTAGCTCCGTCTTGAGCCGGACCACCACGGTTGTGGCGGCGCAACATGATGTTTCGGCATCAGGTGCGAAACTCCACCCCAAACCGGACCTCAGTCGCTCTCATTAATGACAAAGCAGAGAGATGACCCAAGAAAAATGACCAGGCGGAAATATGACACAAATGAAAAAAGCTCTTAGCCAGCAATACATGGATATGTGTCCCCGACGTGCGTGTATCGGGTAGCTGGCACCACCAGAAGGGGCCTCACCGACCAAAATACGAAATCACCAACAGCCACACACGTGCTTATCGCCGGCCACAATGCAGAGGACGGAAGCGAGGTCCCAACAAGCATATCGCTCGCGTACGCGTATTTGGAGAATCACATCCACCACCCTGCACTGCAGCCAACCAACTGCAGGCCGAGGGCTGGGGCCGCATTTTCGGCAGAAATTGCGAGGCCACCGGCGACCCGATCATCGGAGATGCCTCCACAAGGAGCAAGTTGAAGCAAGCAAGGTGTCAGAAGACTTTTTTTCTAGTGTCGCCTATCACCAGCGCTATGTTAGAGTCATGGGGGGAGCAGACTACGGCGAGCGAAGGGCCTACATTAGCGTTGTGGCTCTCCCAAGTGCGTGCGTTGCGCTACTGTACCTGTAGCGTGTGTGCGTGGTTTGCTGTGAGATGACGCTGGTACATAGATGTGCGTGGATGTGTGGTCTGCCCGAATGATTGCCGTCTCATTGATACAACCCTACTGTGATACCTACGTAATTATGCTATCCAGGCCTTCATACCGTTTTTGCCACCCCATTTGGAGCTGTGGGCGCCCTTCACATCGAAAACGTGGTGCCTGTCAAACAGGCGGTGAAGTGGGCGAAGGGCCAGTCTGCGACAGACCTGAGGAGAACCAACATTAAATGGATGGCGCCAGTTTCCAGACTGTCGTTGTGGCGTGCGGATCATTATGCCTATGTAGTCGTACATACATACACGTACATTCATGCACCGACGTGGACACGACGCGACACAGCATGTAATGCAACCGCCTCAGCACATGGTTGGGCAAGTCACGGCGATGGAAAACGGGCTCCTCCGTCTGCAGCGCGCCATGTCACGACAGCCGGTCTCTAAGCTTGTTTTAGCCGGGCGGCTGGTGTGCGGGCCACGATCCCCCCTCCCGCATCAAATCACGGTCCTTGATCAATGCCATGTGAATGCCGCCATCTATGCATAAGAGGGGGCCCTCCTCTGCCTGTGAGCGAATCAACAACGACCGGCTAGGGTCCATGCCCTCCTGATGGTGCTATTCACGGGTGGGGGAGGAGAGAGAAGCAAGGTACCGGAACGGCAGAGTAGCCGACAGCTGGCCGGGGCAAGGCTGCGACTCCTACGAGTCTGTGAATGAAGAGAAAGAATGAGTGAGGAGGGAACAAAAGTATTACCCGAGAGCTTCCCTTTACGAGGATAGGATAGGCCGGGGTGGGCGTTTGCGTGACACAGAGGGGGAGAATAGGACCTGGTACGGAGACTCACGCGCTCGCAGCATTTACCTTCTGACCTTATCTTGCATATCCGTGTACAGATGCATTTTGAGCAGCGGGAGGGTCCCTTGCTGTGCATGCACAATTTCTTTTTTCCCTCCTACCGGTAGGTAGAACTGGAACCGAGGATGCAAAGCCCTCACTCAATCGAAGGGCGCCTGAGTGGGATAATACTACCCGGGATTTGCTCCAAGTCTCGGCGATCTGGGACAACTTCGGCGCCTGGTGGTAGGTAGCATTATTATTATTCCCGGACCCGGTTGCTGGACGAGGGCATTCATTTGACCAACAGCGAGACGGCCACTTTTTGCTCGTCGTACAAGAGGCTAGACTCTGCTCAGCCAATCGACGCCTCGCCATCGCTTGCAAGCCACCTCTTGCGCGCGCGTACCTATACGCGAGCCACCTACCGACTGCTCAGCCGCTGACGAGGCCATACGCGGCACAGAAATAGAGTACTTTGTGAAGGTTGGTCGATTGGGTGATGATGCATCAAAGGAGGGAGGGGCACGATGGGGTATCGAATGCAAAATCTAGGTACAGCTCGTGCAATGAAGAAAATGTGTGTGTCCCTCTCTTAATTCTCCATTCGGGGAAGGATTGGCGCCCCTACACCCCGTGCGACTTGGGGTCGTGATGTAGCTGCTGGATGTGTGTATTGAGATTTGATTCTGTCGACGCTGGAACCCTGGTGATTGGCCCCAGACTGGTGCTACGGGCAGGCAGCAGGCAAAGCGCAGCAGGTGGTGGTGGGATTTGTGAATGTGTCATGGGCAGGGGGGGTGAGACAGAGGTTGAGCTGAGAGTGAGCTGGAGGTGGGCGGAAAGCATGTGAAAGCAGGCTGCAGCCAGTCACATCGTCGGCATATCATATGGGGGGAACGAAAGGGAGGGCAGCGATCAGATCAAGTGAGGGTGAGATTGGCATAGGGATGGATGGATGGCATCACCAGCTGTGCCCCTGAACCGGGCTTGGATCTACGGCCCAGCTCATTCAGTCGATTTGGCTTTGGTGGGATTGTCACAAGCCAAATCTGCAGCATCTGGCAGACAGTCGGGGCGAGGGGTGAGAGGTTGGGCAGCAGGAGCAGTCATGATGCTGCTGGTCTCATCGTTGTCTTGGTCGTGCATGACTGCGCCCGCCATGCAGAGACGAAAGTGTAAATAGAGTTGATGGACGGATATTCAGAGGCAGCCTGCAGCGATATCGGATAGTGCCGAGGCGAGCGTCTGGTGACTTGGTATTGTCCCAGGCACGAGACGGGCTGGCCGGTCATTCATCCCCTCGCTGCATGTGCATCCAACCCTCCATACATTGATACCTCCTGTGTCGCAGGCAAATGGCCCGTTGGAAGGAAGGGCTATTACAGTCTAAAGACCTAGGTAATAGTCGCTACCTAGGTTTCCTTGTGCCGCGCAAAGCTGATCTCTTGCAAGGGTACCTTAGCAACGGCCCGAGGCTTATTTGCTCGTTCTTTGTGGTATTATTATTTGTGCCTGCTGGGCTCTCCCTTCATCCAGTGATGATGAGTGTGTTGAATGTGAGGGCTGACGTGAAGGAGAATCACCTCAAGCCTCTCTTGGAATAGCCAGTGCTATCTTTGTCTTGCCCTCAGCTGAAGTGGCTTGGTCACATCACATCCAGCACATCACATCGCACACAGCACATACCGACAGACGTCAGTGTCACTTACATGTGCACTCGGGCTGTACATATTTCAATCATAACTCCCCTCGCCCCCGGCATTTGATGATCTTGACTTGATATCCACCTCCGCGATGTTGGATGTTGATTAATTAATTTATTCAACATCCCTAAGACAGCAGGCGTCAACCAGCCGAACAAAGACCTACCTGATCTGACCGCCGTCAGTCAGTATTGTATTACCAATACAATCGCGTGCTCCTCACCTCGTCTCCTTACCTGACTCTTTCCAGCCAACATTACATCGCATTACGCCTCGCCGTTTGTGGTCGTCCCCCCCAAAGCACACCATCTGTGGGCCGGACGCTTCTTGGCTCTTGGCTCCTGACTTTATCAAGTTTATCCACGCACGCTATTGCGGTTTGACTCCATCGTGCGGTGGAGCTGGGCCAAACCCCTCCCCGCGATTCCCCTTGAGCGCTACACGACGCTATTCCCAGCCCTTCTTCACGCCATTCCCACGCTTTGCTGGCACCGCGCCGCCGCTTGTGCATGTGCAGCCGGTTCTGGACGATTGCCAGCATCTGCAGGCCGTCATTAATTCCCGCGGCTGGCCAGGATCCCGCCAAGCGAGGCCAGTCCCCTAACCCACAATTGGCCTCACCGCTTCTCCCCTGATCCATACTCCCTCCCGCCTCGTGAGTGACATCTCAAACGTGCAACCCCATTCTTTTCGCTCGGCCCCCTGCCCTGGCCTGTCTGTCTGTCTTGCCGCCTGCTGCTGGGTTAGCTTAGCCTGGGTCCTTTGCAGTTTTCTCAGCTGCTGCATGCCGCGTGCATTGGCTGCCTCTAACACGACGACTGACAGCCGCCTGCACCAGACGGCGACGCAATTCCAGCCTGCAGCTCAAAACGACGAGGGTATCCTGCTTCATCGTCCCGAGCCAGGCCCGGTCTCCTTTCCTCGTCCTCATCCTTGCCTCGCCACGGCACTTGGTCACTAGACTCCAGGTGCTACTGCGAACCAAACCCACCTATTTACTGCTCCGGCGGCGGATCCTCGCCTCAAGTGCCCCTCACCCTCGTCCGTCCCTCGCCCGTTGGCCTGCCTCGTCCTTGACCTGACTGGACGCTTTGTCTGTATCGTCTCCCGGGCTCCATCGGCTCTCCCCTGTTGCGCCGCTACTGGACTTGCGGCGGGCAGTTTTCTAAAAGAGGGCCTGCACAGAGGGTCGCACTATCCTGTCTCGCCTTGCCGCCAACCGGGTTGATTCATTTATTAGTCCTGGCCCAGGTCGTCAAGCATATGCAGACCGCAACTCTGCCTCTCCTTCTGCCCATCCATGTCTCATAATCTCCAGGTTCCATTCGACGCATCGCAATTTTGATAGATCGGGGACTCGCCTCAGGCGAAATTACGGGACTCCTCAATAACCAACCTACAGCTTCGGTCTGGGGTCTTTGATGTGTTCTCCCGCCTGTGGCTGGCTTTCACCGACTTTGGGCGCCAAATCTCCCGATTCGACTCGACGACGATTGCATCACCCGTATTCATTAAACCGCTGCCGTTCATTCGCTCGCTCATTTCATCTCGCCACTTAGATAAAGACGCCGTCCCGTCTGTTTCTTTCTATCCCATCCGATCTCAGGTCAGGGACTTTGGTCTCTTTCCATGACACCAGCCTTGATCTCATACAACACCCCCACCCCATATTCCATATATAATAATACTTCATCACTGTCGGCCTCGCACCTCAATGGACCATGGCTGCTGGCCTAGAACATAAGCCGAGCATGGCGGCGTCCATGGCCGCCTCGGTCGACACCACCTACCACAGCTTTTACGACGTCGAGATGTCCAACACGCCGCCGCCGCCCCAGAAGCAGAAGACGGCCGAGCCCATCGCGCGCAATGCCTCAACCCGCAGCAACGCCACGGCCCGTCGCCAATCTCACGACCGTCCCACGACCGCCGTCCAGATCAAGCGACAGGACTCTGGCTACGGCTCCAGCTCCGTCTCGTCGCCCCGACCATCCACCTCCTACTCGCGTCCTGCCGCCCCCAGACGCTCGTCCACCACCAACGCACACACCTCCTCCTCCTCCTCCAAGGCGAGCTCCGGCCTCAGCGTCTTGCGCAGCCGCACCCGTCCCTCCACCCGCCGTTCCTCCAACAAGTCCTACCACCTGCACAACACCAACAACACCTCCTCGTCCCTGTACCTCGTCCGCCCCGGCAACACCCAGCAGCAGCAGAGCCCCCAGCCCCTGGCAGCCTCGCACAACACCTTCTTCCACTTCCCGAGCCCCAACCCCGGCCCCATGGCAGCAGCGCTGGCGCCCCCTCCTCCGCCACGGGAACCCACGCCCGCGCCCTCCATCCCCCCCAGGCGCAGCACTACTGGACCAGCGACCGCACCCGCCGCCTCGAGTACGCCGCCATCGACGCGGCCAGCCGCGGCGTCAAGGGCTGGATCAAGCGCAACCTCGTCCCCGACTGCTTCGTCGCCGAGGACAGGCACGTCGCCTTCGACGACGACTCGGGCAGCGTCCGTCGGTACAGGCTCGAGCTCGAGGAGGAGCCCCAGGACGAGAAGGCCAAGACGTGCCGCAGCGCCTGGCACTTCTGGAGGAGCAGGTCGCACCAGGAACGTCAGCATCATTATTAAAGCATCTGTTTTGGCATTTGGCATTTTACTGCATCATACCCTTCCCTTCGGATGGGGGAACTGGAGTTAAACCTGGCATCATATGGGGGCCATTAGCTGGGGAAATTTGGGTGATTTAACATCACGCCCTTTTCCCCATCGCTTATCTTTCCCTGGTGCCTCTTTGATATTTACTTTTCCTATTGTTGGTTTTATACCCTGATACAGTTCTAGTTTTGCATACCCGCAAGATTTAGTAAGGACAGAGAAGATAACGGGCCTGCATATGCATCTTTCGACATCCCGGCGAATGATGCTTTTTTTCATTTCTCATGTTTTACCCTACCTAGGTAGGACCATTTACTGGCGTTATATATACCCCCGGGGGGAGAGCCCTCCCTGAATCTTTTTTATTTTGGAGAGAGAGTTCAATTTGTAAATTTGTTTGCGCTTTGGCGCTGTGGCAGATTGGGGAGGGCTCTTCCCTTTTTTGCGCGTTGAGTAGGTACGAGTAATTGATTGACGTTGCAACGTGTATTTGAATAGTTGAAGGAGGGTGACTGGTATAGATACTAGCATGTTCGGATGTGATATGTCTTATCAGTAGTATTTGAAGATTGTTTCTATTTGCCCAATGTTCTGGCGTTTCGATGTGTGTGTTTGCCTTTGAGACTAAGATGGCGCGCCGAGGAGGGCTCACGATATAAACTACACATGGAACAACGAGATCCGACAAGGATCAAACGGAAAGCTTGTCAGATTAGATAAGTCAACTGTCCCCTTTCACGACGACCTCCAGAAACATGGGCTCGGTATTGACCTGGTCAGTCCAGCCGCAACTCTGTAGCCTCTTTGCAAAGAGGTTTCGACCACCAGCGGTGTAGTAACAGAGCACTCAACACATCGTAGCAGGTACCATAAAGTGCATGTGAGATCTAGTTTTACCTACACTTGTGCAAATGGAAATGAAGGATGGTTTAGGAAGACGTTTGTTTCGTCTGAATTTGTCGACGGTAAACATTACATCTCAGGTTCATTCACAGGCAGTGAGCCCGACGGCCGCGAAAGCGACGGGTACTCAAAATCAACCTCATATATATGGGGTTCGGCCCCAAATGATAGCCTTTTTACCGATTATCATTCAATCTGGAGACGTGCTACACCTGGAAGTTCCCACCCCGGCCAAAATGAATCTTGTTGAAGGGACTTTTCCATTAGACCAAGAAGGGCCTCCTAAATTAGAATACACCGATATAAAGCCCTAGAGTCCGCCATTTAACATGTCGGAAGAGATGGACAGAGCCTGGTTTTCGGTTGGAAGGTTGGGTGGCGAACATATTGGAAGCGTTAGGCCTTTCGCCTTACTCCTGAAGTCTTGGTAAACTGGAAATACAAGACTCTAGAAACTCGGCCAAGGAAGAGGAGATTCTTAAGCAACTTCATACTAAGAGGGCTGTATTCGCTTCTTCGATAGTAAATGCCGCCTGTAGGGTGAGTGGCTGCTGGATATGCTGCTGGATATACAGATGAAAGGCGTGGCGCTTTCGATCACTCCGGTAGGCTTCTATGTGAGTCCCGTCCATAGCTTAGTAGTATGAGGCACTTGACCAAATGAACTTTCATGCGATAAATTTGAAATATTACCTAAGTTCCCTTCATTTTGATGCGTTTGGAATGATATTGCTTAACTAAACAGATAAGCCTTGGCAGGGTTCGCTCGAGATGCAGACCAATGTCCGCAAGCTTGACAGGGCCTGAGTTCCATCTGACAACGAAGTCCCCTTCAATCACGGATCATAGTAGCAACCTGATGGAACTGACAGAAGCTTTTTCAATGCAAGTAAAATAGAGAGAAATTATGTAATCCTTAGCAAAAGTAACCTTAAAACTGCCTGAAGAATCTACAGATACTCCCGTACCAGACCTGGCCCATATGTCCACCCCGCCCATAGGGTGCCCCCCAAAACTGCCCACGAGATAAGCCCCCTTCCGACGAGGATCCTCTTGACTAATTTCATCTGAGCCGAGTCATTGAGGCGGGGAAATGGTCGGCCATCCTTGGGTGGCGCCTTGCCAAGGGCCTCACAGACCGGGTTCCAACCATCTGAAGGATACCACTCGACGACTTTCCGCCCGCGCTTTTTGGCTTCCTCTCTCACCCATTCATTGTGCAGGTGGTAGAACTGCGTGGTGTATAAACCCGTGATGTTGGGGAATCTTTGCTTGAGACGTTGATACCCGTAAATGTGCAGCCAATAATGAAGTCGGTCCGTCTGCCACAGAAAGGTAGGCACGTAGTACCACATGGTCCCGAAGAACTGGAGGCTCTGTCCAATGCTCTGTAACCAGGCTTCTGCGCTTTGACGTTGGTTTAGGATGACGACGGCATCTGGGTACATGTCCATCAAGTCATCGGTGAAGAGCCACCCAGGGTAGTCGGAGGTGGCTTGGTAGCCGTCGAAGACTTTGTGGAGGATCTTCTGACGCTCCTTGGTGTTTGTTTCCTGGAGAGCAGCAAGAATCAACTTCTCGCGGTCGGCATGGGGTGCAATGTGAGCCATGTGCATGCATGGTTCGTAGCCCAGCACGTCGGACTCCAGGGCGGCTTGGAGGGAACTGGTGGCGCAGCGGGATAGGCCAGCAGCAATGACCTTCATGCAGGGGGACTTCGATTCGACCTTGCGGTCGTCAGAGAGAAACCGCATTTTGTAACTAACTGATGAGGAAGCTTTGTGGGAGGGCTGTAGGGCTGAGTGGGAAGAATGGTTGCCAGATTGAGGGGAAACCCAACTGCACAGGCCCTATCTTATTTATAACCAGACCATTTTACATTCAAGCCACGCCAGCCAATTGAAGGATCATGGGGTCGATGCAATCAATGTGCATGCTGATTTAATGAATTCTGGTATCGTCAGCACTAGTGACGGTCAAGACTCCTAGTTGAGAGTTTCGGATGTCGGAGATCTAATTATAATACTAGCCGCCGAACCGGCTTATTTCCAATGCAATCAAATGTAACCTGTTTTGATCATTTTGGAATTAATTAAATTTTCATTCAGAGGCAGGAATCTCTGACATTGTTTCCCACTCGTAGTTGTATTGTATTGCAACGTTTCATGAGTGACGAAATCCATTGGCATAGCTTTGAAGGTTGGCGCCATGGTGTCGGCACGTGGTTTGGGGAGCAACGGACAAATCTCATGTGGTCAACCAACCGATCGCTGGAAGTTCGAAAAACTTGTAGCTAGTTGAACTTTAGATGGCCGTGAGTTACATTTATCCAGCCAATAACAGTCTCTTGCTGCCCTTCGGCTTCCTTCCAGGTTGATAGATGGAAGTCCAAACTAAGCCCAACGGAGGGACTGAAATGACGCATCGACTCGCCTGACTTGTCGATATCCTGAAGACTAGCGAGAAACGATTTCGCCAAAGAAGAATAGAAAGAAAGTTGACTTGCGCTTTAGTTAGACAATATCTTCAAAACGGTGGAAGGATTCAATGCTTTGATATTATGGCCCTGGCTGAATGAAGTTGGAGCTCACTACAAAGATCGGAATGGAATATATACGCATAGTAGCTTCATCTAGAAGAGATTTTGATTGATATAGGCTGTATTGTAATCTAGAGTCAGTCTACTAGAACGACCGAAGCTTTTGTTTTCATGGGTCATGTTAGGTCGAGTCAACTGAGAGCGTGAGTGAGACCTTGAAGGATTATGTCAGATGATAGGAGTACAGGCGCCTGGCGGCCAGGTACTCGCATATGCATTCTATATCCGGTAATAGTTTCATGACTTGAAGCCATGAATCCTAAAGCACGCTATGAGAGCCTTATTTATAGTCCTTGAAGCTTGGTATCGAGCTATAGTTAGGCCGTAGGGCTTCAGAGTAATTGTGGAACTAATCTTTGATCAAGTCTTGCTCTGAGCCCAAGCCATCGGTCGAATGACACGCCTGAAGGCTCTATCTGCTCCTTATCACCTCGTCACAGCGTACATTTCTCCTTCCCTTGTTGGTTAGATCCCAAAATCTCCGCATTTATGTCAGCAAAGAGGAGTGCGTCAGATAAGCTGACAATAGTCCCTTTATCCATTGAGATTGACTTTATCTTCTTAAGAAGCCTTGGAATAAAATTGTATCAAAATATCTTCCAATCAAGCCAACCATGGATGCTAACCTACATGCTCTCCTCCCGCCCAGTCTGCTCCAACAGGCAGCAGAGAGCTGGATGGCGATAACCAAGACCGAAGAAGTGCCTGACTTTGGCAAGGCAGTGAAGAAAATGCTCTTCTCACACGACGACAAAGTCTCTGCAATTAGACCTAAACTGTGGCCTGCGTTGGTGTATATTAGCAAACTGGGGCCGGACCATTTACCAGATTGGTTGTCGCTTTTGCCCTCAGTTGACAACCCTGATTTTCCTACGCAGGCGCTGGGGCTGACGATGGTATTGGACCAAGCTCCACGCAACTTCTTCCAGGGCATAGATCAAAGATGGGTTGGGGGCTACTTCGATGATATTTCTCTCGGTTTTGCGCGGTCGCTGCAGAAGCTCACACCCGATCTGCGGCCAACCTCATGGAATCGGTGGAAGGACACCGCCAGTTTCGAGTACTTCATCTTTGCACGGATGAGTTTCGGTACTCCGTTTGTTCATAACGAACACGCAAGCGAGGAGGCGATGGCGTTTACTGATGAAACGAGAACTTACATTGAGGAGCGATTCAATGTCCGGGATCCCATCCGGGACCAGCCAGAAAGACGTTGGGATTTGCTGGGATTTCCCAAACTCATCTCTTCTGGTGGCCCAGAGGGTGATGTGGACATTGTCAAGGGCGGATTTTGGCTGTCGGAGCTAATGGATGTTCATAAGCCCCCTTTGGACAAATTCGGTCGCTATCCGTACAGAAACTGGTATCTCGGACGAGATATGACGGCGGAGGAAGAGGCGTGGATCCGAGATGCTGGCTTCTTCAAACCACCGCCAGAAGAGGTTTGTAAAAGGATCAAGGAGGATATTGAAGCAAATATTTGGTCGCCTCTTGGAAGCGGTGGAAGTCCAGATGCATAGGGACACATATTTGAAAAGACAGCCATAACTGTCTGAAGTTGACAAAGAAATAAGCCCCCGTGGCACCATGATTTCGATTCTCGAAAATGGTTGATGATCACATATTTCAATGCCCAAAAAAAGCCGCATCTTACCATTCTCCTTCAATGCCCTAATTTAAAGGTAGGCATGCTCCGGAATCTTCTTCAAACAGGTTAAATTCGATTGGAAATACGATCTGTAGCCGAGCATGCTGGGAAATGAAAGCCCATTCGGCTCTAACCCAGAACTCGAAGTGTAACTTTTCTGGAACTTGGGGAATGCTTGAAACGGGGCATCAGGCTTCATGGTCAAGATTTCGAAATTGAGAGCATACAGGGCAAGTGATTCTTCTAGACCAAAAAGAGGCTTAAACTATGAAGAATAATTTCTTAGTTTAAAGGGAGGCGATTCTGGCGCTCTGCAATGAAACCTAATCTTTGTCTTTTACTAAAACTTTAACTTCATAATGATGATCTTGAATATGTCATTTAGCAGCCGTCATGCCTCATTTTAAAACGCAGTTATCTTTCTTGTTCTTGTTCTCCATTTTTTTTTTAAGAAAGCCGCATACGAGGGCTATGGAGGGGTCTAATGAACAAAGAAACGCTTGAAGTCAATCCCAACTTGTGATTAGGTAGTTTTGACCTGCGAGGCTGTATTGCCTTTCTTGACCGAAATCGACGTCACAGTCGTATCTCCTCGTGGGGCACGCCAGTAGTGGGAATATCCCACCCGAACTCGATATTTGTCTAGTTCCCGCAAAAGAAGCTTCAGACCGCCTGCAACAGCATCGGAATACAACACGTCCAACTCTTCCTCATAGCGCACTCTCCTCGTCACTTTCTAGTAGTAACTTCAAGACATCAGATGCGAACTCTTCGGAGATGGGGAGGTATGGGAGAAAAACCTATCCATACCAGCTAAGCGAGATCAGATGCTGGGCGAGAAAGGTGGGAACTTTGAAGCTGCGGATCTCGGGAGCTCTGTCTTCAAGTTCTGCCACTGTTCTTATGCCGAATCCGCTCATGGCGCCGTGCTCGAGAAGCACGTCGATAACTTCAAAGTGCCCGTTGGTGATTGCTGTCCACATTGGACTATTTGTAGAAGTCAGCCTGGGATTCTCATTGTCCACTCCAGGGAAATCCAGCAACACGCGAACCACATGCTGATGTCCTCTGCTGGCTGCTATGCTCAAAATCGTAGGTCCATCCCAATTATCATCATCATGAATTATGCAGTTAAGGTTTATCTCATGGCCGTACCGATCTAATAGTTCGCGGACGATTTCGACATGGCCATTCTCGGCAGCACGCCACAGCGGGCACACATTGGTGAGAGTTTTGAGCCCAGGACTGACGCCGGGAGTCCGTAGCAGTAAGGAAACGATGTCTGTGTACCCATATGTAGCAGCTATTGCAAGCGGTGTTTTATTCCTGCGACGTTCGGACCGAATGTCAAAGTTAGGGTCGACGCCGTCCTTCTCAAGAAGGAGACGGACCACCCGTATCCATCCCCTCTGGACAGCCTGGGTCAATAGGCTCTCCTTGTATTTGCGGCTGCAGTTCAAATCTAGATTACACGGTGTGGTGAGAAGCACCATGGCAACGTCTTCACTGGAACATTGCATCGCATAGCACATGGCGTTTTGCACTCTGACTATGGGACTCCTTGGAGGTTTCATGGTATTCGGATCGGCGCCGTGATTCAGTAATACTCGTAATGAATCCACTTGAATGAACCCAATGGCATGGCGGATCGCATGACCGAACACAGGGTGGACGAGGGCGAGGCTTTTGGCAGTTGGTGTCATCTTGGAGATGATAGGATCGACTGCGAGTTCCCCCCTGCTCGTCACGGCGAGATGTACTGCGCCATAGAGGCCGGGCTCGTCATAACCCGCTGTATTTTCGGCCCAATCTTGCTGGTCGATCCGTCGGCGTTTGTAGCTATTGATGTCCTCCGTGAGGTCAACATCGGAGGAATTGGCGATTAGGTTCTTGAAGATCCAATCCGTTCGCTGACCTGCAGCGATGGCGCGGCACACGAGCTTGATGCCGTACTCACGGTCACGCGGAGGAGGTTTCGACATCTTCTCCATCACGTATGAAGCAGAATCGAGAAGGAAGGCATATCTGCCTCGCGAATCGCTCAGATGCATTCTAAGCTTGGCGGCTAGTATCCATTCCACACTTATTGTTGGCCAATCCCTGATCCAGTTATTCTTGAGAATTTGCGAATAGTGGTTTTGAATGAATTTCCGAGATATCTCGTGATTGAATGACTCTGGCAGGCTGCGTTAGCGGGTGAGGTTGTTTGGTGAGAGGAGAGGAGAGGACTGACTGGAAAGAAGCCTGAGGCCGACGAAGAAGCGCAAGCCTCTCTTTCTTGTGCGTGTGCAGTCTTCAAAAATTGTTTGCAGCTCCCATTTATGCCAGTTAGGTGACTTTATGGCACATAGCTCATCTATGATCAAGTCCAACACCTCGTTGGGGAGGGATTGCGACAGCATGGAGCAAAGTCTCGAGTAGGGTGTCGTATGATTTGTTGGTTGGGAGTTCGTGGGGGCTTGCTCTGCCCTACTTGACGCTGAGGAATTGGTATGGAGTGAACCGACAGCTTCAAAGGAGGGAACTGAGCGCGTCTTTATGTGCTATTTGTGAGTCACCGGACATGTACTTGTAGCTCTAAGCTTTGCGTTTATCTTCGATGATAAGGTTAAGTGGCTGGTGCCCGTGGAAGAAAGGACTCAATTGCAAGATGGAAGCTTATCTAGTGCGTGTGGGTGCCATGCTTTAGACCCCCATGGTTACCTGGCGAGAGGAATCAGCTGGGGAGACGCGCAACGCTCCCTTCCAGCTTTCCAACGTGACAACAGAGCACAACACTCGCCTGCAATCTCTGACCTTTGGTGTATGCCCCTTTCTTCCTTCCTTCTTTTAAATTTTAATCTCTCTTCTAAAGCTAAAGCGAAGACTGATCAATGCCCATATATCGAGCGTCATTAAACTGGTCGTGAAGAGTAGGCTGGGGTAGCGCAACTCTTGAACTTCTGGGAGAGTCGATTTCCTCTTATAACATCGCCTGTAACACTGCAATGGTTTTTTTTCGGTACACGTGTTAATTACTCAATGACCACATGTTTTTTTTTTAAGTATGCGGTCAAGTAGATGCTTTTGGCGAACAAGTTTTCTTCATGATTAATGATAATGGCTAGCTACCCAACATGCTAGATACCCCGTCATGTCCTTTATGTGGTGCGTTACTACATGTCCAGGCTAAAGTGACACATGAGACTTCAAATCATAGAGTAACAAATTTATGACGGGAGAATTCCCTGTATTAATAACATGATTCCGGCCAATACAGTGAGCAGCGTTCCCAGCCAGGTCGCTTGGTTGGTGACACCCTCTTCAGTGGCCAAGGAATATCGGATGCTTTGATCAGGCAAAGGCTTGAGACAATGAAAATGTCTTTCCATATTTTGAATTTTCATTAACAAATTGAAGTCTAGCCAGTGCATGGTCGCTGTCTGACCCCCTTGATCCGGCTCGGTCCTTCGCGGTCGGTTTCCCCATCGGACAAGTCGGATGCCGCCCTTTATCCCCTGCGTAAGCCTCTTGTAGATCGGTTAGTACCTGCAATGACCGCTATAAATAAATCATTGACCAACTAGAAGCCGCAAATCTGTAAGCCTTGGGTCTTCCTTAGTGCCCGGTTGGCTCCCTACAGGGTTGATTTCCTTCAACTTGACCGGAGAGGGAGTGGAAACAAACCGAGCTTGCCATTTGATCGTCAGCCCTAGGAAGCCTGGCTGGATAGCAAAGGATTTATTAATCATGGGGCTTACCCTAAGGGGAAGATGGCGCCAGCCGGTCCCTCTTTGTTGGCCTGTGACGGCGTACTGACGGCTGATAAATCATCAGCAAGCGTGGAGGAATCTCGCTCCCCGGCGCCCGCGCGGCAATTACGAGATCAAGCCAAGCAGAAGAAGTGGGGGAGGATTAAAGCTCCCGCTAATCGCTTCGATACTGGCTCTCGCTCGGGCGGGGGTCTAGTCTCTCGATCTGGCATGCATTCTTAACTTTCAGATATATATTCTCATCCCCCCCCCTCAGTCCTCATTGCGTTCATCAATCTGAACATTCACGAGAGTACTCCAGCAATCATGGCTTCCACCAAACCCGTTCTCATTTCTGGCGCGGGCCTTGCCTCGCTCCTCCTCGCCCAGTCATTGCGCCGGTCCAATATCCCATTCCGCATATTCGAGCGTGATGCATCCCTGGTCTTCCGCGCCCAGGGCTACCGACTGCGGCTCTCCACCGAGGGCCTTGATGCCATTGAATCCGTCCTCGACCCGCCCACCTGGAAGCAATTCTGGGACAAGTGCGGCAAGACCGCCGGGATGGGCTTTGCGGCTTATAATGCAGTCACCGGAGAGCAGACGGAGCACAAGGTGGCCGAGAATCTGTCCTCGCGGGATGGAAAGGTCGTCGGCATCAGCAGAGGCGACATGCGCAGGATTTTCGCCTCTGGATGCGATGAGTTCATCGAGTGGGGGAAGAAGGTGACAGGCTACGAGCTGACAGCAGATGGTGTGCAGGCCATCTTTGATGATGGTACCAAGTCTCTGGAGGGCTCCATGCTCATCGGCGGTGAAGGAATATACTCCAAGGTCGCCAAGCAGCTCTCCGGCGGCAAGCTCAAGGTCTACGATACCGGGGCCCGTGGTATCCATGGGCAAGCACCCACAACTGCCTTCAAGGGCCTTGGTGAGGGCGTCTTCCGCCTTTACGATGAGACCAGTCACGAGAGCGGCTCTGTTTTCCTCATCACAAACGTTCGAGCCGGTGACATGGACGACCCTAACGTCGAGTTCGGCTGGACAATTGGCGGCCAACCGGGTGTTATTGATGCCCCCAACAATGATTTTAGCATCGTTGGTAAACCAGCAGCCGATATCGCCAAGAACCTTACCAAGAGTTGGCATCCCAAGTTCAAGCCCCTGTTCGACAACATGAACGAGGGCGAAGCTGCTTTCTGGAAGATCACCTGCTCCACTCCCAGCGGCGTCCCCGAGTGGACAAACGATCCTCGAGTCACGGTCATTGGAGATGCAGCGCACTCCATGACCCCGGCCGGAGGCATCGGGGCCAACACCGCTGTCAGAGATTCCGCACTTCTGGGGCGACTTTTCAAGGAAGCTGGCGGCTATCGGCCAGGATTGACGGCTGAGTATGAGAAGGAGATGCGGGTATATGCTAGTGAGGCCGTGAAGACGAGTTATGGGACTGGAACTCAGGCATTTGGAATTCATATTGACGAAGAAACCTCGGCTACGGTATGATGCGATTTCGTAAGAATAATAAAGTTAGTTAGTAGTCATTGCTTTGGTAGCAAACAAGCCAGGCTAGACACAGATTATATATATCCGAGAATCAGATCTATGCAGAGCTTTTCAAGCAATTAATATTTATTGGAAGGGCGAACATGACAAAACAAAGGCGTATTATGAACACACGACTCAGCTAGAACTATTCATATTTCTACTTGATCTTTTCTCCGTGAATTAAAATCAGCCGCGATAGTCAATCCAAAGGATGAGAAGCGTTTGATACTACCTCAGTGCATAGGCGGCTATGAGTATGTTGGAATAATATGTTAGTATATCTCTTGTTGAAAGTTAAGAATATATGAACATAGATTCCTCTTAGGAAGATGAGTCTCTTCTTGTTTTAGAAACAAGGCTGACCATTACTTAGGTCAAAGGGTTTTGCTATATTCTCAATACGGCATTGCTTATCTCAAAATCGATCTCCATTGTTGAGAAACTACCCAATTCCATGCTGCCGGCCTATTCCGATATCATTTCCTAGACGAGAGCATTCGGAAGCACGCGCCCATTGGACCCATCACCATGGAACCCTGCCGGTGCACCACCGTTCGATCACAGCCAATCGCTGTTGTGGTGCCCCTGCCCTTAATACTCGCCTGCGACAAATCCCCCTTAGAAATCGTTCGTTATTTTTCATGGCATCATAAACTCGCGTATAAGTCATACTTCTCACTGCTGCGCAACACCATTTGTGACTTTCAAAACTTCAATTTGTCGAATACAGCTTTCCAGAAGTAATTTAGAAAACCATTGGCACTATGGTACAAAATGGATGGTACAACACGACATTCGCCTGCTTGAACCCACAGGCATCCAAGATTGTGGGGGTCTTCCACATGGGACTGAGTTGGGATATTTGGGCCCAGGTCGAGCTTGGTCTGGCCTGCAAGAGGGAGAGCGACAAAAACAAAGGAAAGGACGCCACAATACTATCCGAGTTTACACGTCAGAAGAGAGTGTACGACGGCAGTAACGGGCGATGTGACTTCCTCGCATCCTACACCATGACACAGGGGGGCTTGCGGCTTCATTATTTCATGGACGTGAAGTGCCTCCAGAAGAACAAGCTGCCTGATTTCCTCAACGCCGTTGGACTCGACGTCGACAAGGTTAAGGCAACAACGCCGCTCAAGGAGTGGGCAGATAATGTGGCTTATGTGGGCGGCCACGTCATGGCTATTTCTGTCAGCCCGGTCTCGGATAATCGTGTGGAGAGAAAAATGCTGCAACTCGCAGAGAGCAAAGGAATCACGTGGGAGGGTAGCGAGGGTAGAGGACTTCCTCTCGGCGAGGAGGGTACCGATCGTGTCATTCTCTGGACCTGGAGTAGGACCTTCATCAAGACGGAGAAGGCCCAGCAAGCGATGGCATCGTACGTCGACTGGTGGAAGCGGTAGCTCATCCGGGGGGGGGGTAGGCTGTTGATGCGAACGTTTCGATTTGGAGTGGTAATATTCATATGTATATAGAGGAATGGGGGAGAAGAAGGCCTTGGGGGCATCAGTACAATGCTTCAGAGTATATCAATAGCACTAAGTCCAAAGGGTTGGGGAACTATTTGGAATAGCTTCTTTTGACTATGTTTGCAACCGCCATTCGCAATATAGACTATTTTGCCGAGGATATTCGCTTCACGACGGATACAATCTAAGGAGAACAGGGCTTAATAATGCTCAAGAATTTCTTTATGCGGGCAAACGCTCGGGAATCATTCCCACCAGCGTCATAAGGCTATCCTCGGCCGGTTCCCGTTCGATATTTGCCCAAATTCCACTTAGCCTTTCTGCTATAGACTTATCTAGTGGACCTTCTAGAGACTGTTCTGGTCTCCTCGCACCGATATGACCCCATCTCCCCAACAGAAAGATCAATGAAAGACAGACTCCCGGCTCTGCGCAAAAGAAACGAGAAATGTTCCTTTGATCGAAATTTTTGAACATACAGGCCCACGGTCTACTAGATGCATCTAACGTGTAGATGCGGGCGTTTGTCTGCTTTGAGCTCAGCTCGTACCTTGTCAGAAATCCAAGGCACGGCAAAGTGTACGACTGTTCCGAGATCGAGATCTCGACAACGTATTTGCGTAGTCTGTTGGGGTCAATCGTCTTTCTCCGAGCAATCAAACTTTCAATTACAATTCCACCGAACTGCAGGGTTTGGCAAAAGCAATAATCTCATGAATAGTGCAAGAAAGCATTATTCAACCTCAGCTTAAATGTTCCCAAGTAATGGTGCGCCTTTCGTCCATTTCCTATCCTTGATTTCGGTCAAAACCCAGCGAGCTAAGCTCCCCCTGGATAGACTAAGCGACCCCTTATGAGACGGTCCTGCATAGTCCGCCCAGACTGGTAGATCTGAAGCTCCATTCGTGAGGTGAGGGATGCGAAAGACGGTCCAATCTAGGCTGTCCCCTTTCGCGACCACCTCTTCAGCGATTTTCACCATCTCCGCGTTGCCTTGTGGAGCAAAGAGTACAGGCATCAATCCGTACATTTGCAGCCTCCAGGTGGAAACATCCTGGCCCTCCACCCAATAAGATGGTGTGGAAAGAGCCATGAGATGACGCACCCCCGAGTTCTTCATGGCGTCAATTATGGCCGGGAAACTGTCGGCGATCGGTGTTTGTTTTGCTCTGGTGATCACCGCTGATGCTGACATGTATGCTCCAAGAAAGGAAACTACAGTAGTGACTGAGTGCTGTTGCATAGTGGAGCTGAGAGCTTCATAGTCTGCGAGATCTCCAGACACAATAGAAACCTTTGCGCTTTGGATCGCAGTTTCTGGAACCTTGGACTTGTTGCGGACAAATAGTACCAGTTTAGGGGGGTCGGCTTGCTGCAATGCCTCTTCAATGAAGGCAAGCCCGGATTGGCCTAGCTGTGGTTAGCGGGCGTTCGTAAAGAATCAGAATCTTCAACTGGTCGGTGGACCAATATACGCACCAGTGGCACCGAGAACGAGAATGACGTTGGAGTCCATAATGAGGATGAGATGATATTGTATGGAATCTGTATTGGAAGTTAGCGCACCTGCATAATATATATGTAAAAAGGGAAAACGTGTCTCCGTGATTCAAAATGAAATGCTCTCATGCCGGATTTGAGGTTTGTAACCCGCCGCTTCCCGGACTCCGGCCGGAGCACAAATGTGAGTGAAGGTCCGCACCGGAGATTACTCTAGATAACTAAACACTAATTTTAGCCGCATATGATCCGCAAGGGACAATCTAGCAAACTGCTTTGTAATTGACTTCAAGCACCATTAAGCCCTTCCGAGATGTCTACACCCACGGACTCCGAGAAGGGTGAGTGACTCTGAACATCAGAGGGCCTCTGACCATTGACTCTTCGCAACGCTTTTCGAATAAATCATCAAGCTGTCCAAGTTGTCCGAGGTCGTACTGAAATCAGTAACTATTTACAGACCCGACTCGTGAATATTCTGTCCAAGAGTGGATATAGCAGCCGAAGAGTGTTTAGAATAGCGCTATCACCCAGCATTGATGCCACCTACTCCTAGTTCTCCAACGAGAGGAGGAGAGAAAGAAATGATATGAAATTGAAACTTTACATGAACGTTGCATGCTTTCTTTCCTGATACAAAAATGCTCTTTGCCTCGACCCATAAACAAATATCAAGGATTCAAATCAGCTATTAAGAACCATGAAAGGAGTTTTGGTTCCTCCTAGAGACCAGTAAGAACTTGTGATATAAAATCACACTACCGTCACCCCGAGACAGATCTGTGTTGGGGACAATAATGGGTTTCTAGATGAGCGTGTGTAAGAGCTTCTTTGCAGAAATCCAGCTCCTTGAAGCTAGCTTTGGTGAGGTTACACAAAGCTGTGATTACGTACTGAGATAAAGTGAAGCGCTTTCTGACTGTGGGGCTTTTCTGCCTTACGCTTGGATGATGAGGCGATCACTGGTTTGCTGTAGCCATATCGGTACAGAACACTCCCCGTACTGGCGTTTTCCAAGGCTCCATTCTTCACGGGTATGTTTTTGAGAGGGATAGATCCATTGATAAGATACTCGAAGATTCATGGTCTGTCCCAAAAAATGCACTCCGACAAGCTTCATAGCTGAAAAGCAAACCATGCTATTTTGGTTCGCATGCAGGGGTTGGCGTTAGCCGCAGGATCCCATTCAGCTGAAGGGGCAAGGGTGAGATCTTCCCCGCCTCGTGCTTACCCATATCTCTATTTTTCATCTGTCCAACTGCACGCCCAGCCCAGAGTCGTCTCGTGTTACCCGGCTGCTGAATGTCGCATGAAGGGGGAGTTCCTCAGATGGAAGAGCGCAAGAAGCGATCCGAAAAGGGACCCGAACAGAAGCCATGGGTCCTCCCTCGGGCATGCCAGACGCGGTCCAGGACTCTAGGATCGAAACTTCTATCCTCAATGGAGGCAAGGAGTTTCAGCATGTCAAGTTCTCTCTGGGAAGCAGCGTGATGAGGAGGCGGTTGCGGAGCGAAGAGACGTGGAGCCCCAGACGCCTATTGGGAAGAGGTTCCTTTGGCCAAGTGTGGCTGCAAGAGTGTGTGGCGGGCAATCCGAGACGGGAGCTTCGTGCGGTTAAGGAGATTATGAAACACCAAATGAAGACGTCTTACCTATTTCGAGAACTCGAGACTATCGCTAAGTTTTCCCAAGACAAGGTTTGCACATTGCCCCAGTTCGGTTTCCATTTCCACATTGCTAATAAAGTGCAGTATGCGCATTGCTTTGTTCGTTCCTCTGGCTGGTTTGAAAATGATTCAAGTTGGTTCATTGCCATGGAGTATATGCCCTACGGTGACCTTGACCAGGCGGTGAAAAAGCCTCTTCAAGAACCGGAAGCGCGTCAGATCATATTTCAAACTGTGGAAGGAGTTTCCTTCATGCATGGTAGTGGCTTTGCCCACAGAGATCTCAAACCATCTGTAAGTATTTCTCTGGGCCATTTTGTCAAAGGCGACTAGAACATAAAGTCACTAATCAATTACGTTAACCCCTTAGAATATCATGGTTTTTCGTCCTGGCCCCTCGTGGTGGGTCAAGATTACAGATTTTGGCATCAGCAAGCGAACCAACGATATGGCGACAGGAACTCTAGAGATTGGAACTGTAGCATTCATGGCACCCGAACTTCGTCATATGTATGGCCCCGAAGAAGCTGAAACGGCGGGAGGGTATCGTGAATATCCTAATGCCGTGGACATATGGGCTATTGGAGAAATTACACACCGTCTCTTGACTCAGAAACCCCTATTCGCAACTGGCCAACAGCTGTTTCATTATGTCGTCCGGGGGGCTTCCTTTCCGTCTGAAAAGCTCCGAAACTTTGGTTCTAGTAGGGACGCAATCGACTTTGTGATTCGATGCATGGATGGCGCTCCAGCTAGAAGATTGACGGCTCTTGATGCATTGAACCACCCGTGGCTGGCCAACCACGAATTTATTACAGAACCAGAGCACTTTGAGCCTTCCCAAAAGTAAGAAGACATTCGTTGATGGTGCACTTACCTTTGGTTTCAAGCTAATGAACAATTTCAGCCGTACCCACACCTACCAGGAGAATAGCGAGCCATCCCAGTCATCAGCCCGGAGTGACGAACCATCAGCGCGGTGGTCTGATGCAATGCCCTCTCAGCAATCATTTCTTGCCGAAGAGAACCAAACCGTTTATTCAACTGCTTCAAGTGAACCATCAGCAAAGTGGCCGTCGACGATCGGTCCTCAACGTACTATTCTTCCAAGCAACAACCCTTATGGTACAAGCATGGGTAACGAGCCATCAGCGCGATGGTCAGCCGCCTTACCTTCGCAACAGCACTATCCTACTCAACAGAGCATCGACTCTCACGAGACAAGAACTGTGATACCGGTGGCCGAGCTTGAAGGCCCTATCCCCTCCTTTCAAAGATCCCCATCGCCACCACCATCCTTTGCCTCGCCATCCGGAGACAATATCTTGCGGGATCAGGAGTTGTTCCCTTGGACCGCTTCAGGAGGCGAAGGCCAGCGTACTCAGCGACCGCTTTCCCCTCTTCCAACAATGATGAAAGTATCAGCAGCTCGAAAGCCTGACCCTTCTATGTCCAGGAGTTCTGAGCACCGTATTTCGCAAAACAGCAGTAATACCAATGTTGGAACCGAGTCCTACTCCAACGCGGGAACAGACTTGGTGCCATGCCCTGTCCAACAGTGCCCTCACCACAAACAAGGCTTTGCCTCGGAAGGGCGCATGAAGCGGCATGTTATCACCCAACATCCTAACTACAATAAGCCAAGACCTGAATCCGAACCGGCTCGCAGGGCATCAACGGGGTTCACTTGTCCCTTTCGAGAGTGCCGGCGTCATACCGACGGCTTTGGTTCCGAGGATCGTTTGAGACGTCACATCGCAGGAGCCCATGGTGATCCAAAACCACGGGAAGCAGGTTTTCTTTGTCCAGTACATTCTTGCCCTCACAAATTCGAGCCGCTATTCTCATTGGCGCTTCTCAACCGCCATATTGACCAAGCTCATCCTGGCGAAGCAAGGGAAAATGTCACAACAGGCTGGCCGTGCCCTGTTCAAGACTGCGACTACAAATATCTCGGAATTTCCACACCGTCGCTTCTTGTGGAACATTTTGAGAAGGCCCACGGAGGATCGAAAGGGCTCGTAAGAACAGAGTTCACCTGCGCCATTGTCAGCTGCCCCTATCACGCAAGAGGCTTTTCTTCCCTCATTGACCTCAATTACCACATCGAGAGGTCTCATTCCCACGAATTGAGACTTGCAAAGAAAGGCGCCACTTGCCCTGTCCAAGGCTGCGACTATCGATACCGAGGCTTTTCCTCAGAAACACGTCTTTTGGGACACATTGATAAGGTCCATGGAGCGCCTCAGGAGCCAGGGTCATCCGGTTTCCCTTGCCCCATCGCCACCTGCCCCTACCAAATGAAGCCCTGTTCCTCAATTGTTGGCCTTAATTGTCACATTGAAATGTCTCATGCTCACGAGCTGGTACTTGTAAAGAGAGGCCACCCTTGCCCTTTTCCAAGCTGCGATTTCCGGTATCAAGGGTTCTCCTCGCAAACACGCCTAGAGCGTCATATTAAAACTGCTCATAAAGATCAGAAAAGTTCGCAGGCAGATATAGATATTGCAAGTCATACTTGTCCTGTTGAAACCTGCCGCCATTACCACCAAGGTTTTGCTTCAGAATCGCGACTGAAACGTCACATTGACAAAGTCCATTCGGGCCAGAGCAGCACAGGGAACCAGGAAGGTCCGCAACCAAAGCGGACTTGGAAATGCCCCTCTCCCGGTTGTCCCTATTCCTACCAAGGATTTAAAAATTCAGGAGATCTTCAGCGTCATTGTGCAATTGTGCACTTTGTGAAATAGACTGAAGTTCATGGGGTAATACTAATTACCATGGTGATGTAAAAAAAGGCATGGGGTATAACAAAGCCATGTGAAAATAATCAAATCAAACTGCAGAATTACATACCTAGTTAGGAGCTCTGATTTTCTTTTTGTCGTCAAACAGCTTGCGACTATACCGGTCTTTGCTTTTAGTATTGTCTCCTCGGTGTACGGGAAATATTAAATCACTTTTTGAGTATAATATCAACAAATCTTCCGCCAGTCCTCTATAATTTTGTTATACTTTCGCGAAAATGGCAAATTTAGTCTTTATTTGAGTTTAAATGGTGAAACTGAATTATTTCAACTTTATGGAAGAAATCCTATGTTTTATATTGAATTTCTAGAGTAAAGGCTCTCTTTTCTTCTTATATCTCTATGACCGCACCTCATACCTCCATCCGTTCAACCGCAGGTTGTTCCCTTTGGCTATCGCGTCTCTTCCAAGGAAAATCAAAGCGATTCCAATCAATCCAAGGTGCAATAACAAGGAACGTGAGGACCTCTACGATAACTGCAGGGGCAAGGTTAGTCTTGTTACAGTACTGTCATGATTCACTTACCACTGGCGATAAAGACTTGCCACCATCTCCAAGCCACGTCCTCCCCATTTGCACGAGGAAACTCTAGGGTCGGGACGGCCAGAAATGTGGATGTGAACGATATAGGCGTCTAAAGTACCTATGAGTAAAGCGTGTAAGTTCATTGGGATAGTGGCAAATCTCACGAAAATGACTGTAATAATAGTAAAGATGAATAACAGCTTGCTCTGCCAAGCGCTATCCTTCGCTCTCTGCTCCGCATCGCTTGCAAGACTGCGGGTATCTCTCACAATAACCAGGTTTCCTTGTTTTTGTTTGAGGTCCAGTAGGTGGTTGAGCTGTAAGGAGCAATCTTCTGTTAAATCTGTCTTGTGCAGAAGCCGACGCGTTTCATTGTGGGATCAAGGTGGAGGTACTCTTACAGAATTTTCTACTGTAGTCGCATCTGCAAAAAGGGATTTGACCTTGGAGATTCGAATTCCAACACAGTTTTTCGTATATTCCAGTTCATCTTCCTCATCTCCTAAGAGCCGTGCTTCTGCGTTGTCAGATCCTTGTTGGTTGACATCAAATTTCAGCTCTTCATGGCCTGCGTGGTATTGGTCAATAACATCCCATTGGTCGTCCAATACCCTCTGGATCATTCTCAGTTCATCCTTGACGTCTTTGATTTCGCACAGATGCTGCATCTCACTTGTGATGTCGCATATTTTATTTTCAGTTTCCAACATTTTCTGGTGGTGCGCTTTTATGCGGTTCTGTGGTACAGTCTCCCTGCTCAAGCTGATCAACTCGTTTTGCAATTTGTAGAAGTTGGCATAGCAATTTGCATCTGCTTGGGCCTGGGTATACAGAACAGTCAATAGGGTTTTCAGTGACCGGATATTGAACCATGGATCTCCTACCCGATAAGCAATGCTCTGCTCAAAAATGTGAAACAGATTTTCGTTTAGCCCGGCATTGGTCGGTGCGTCCACAAACTCGGTAGTATATTTCAGAATACGGGATATCATCAAACCCATGCTTAGGGGTGGCTGGTTTCCAAGACCTTTGAGAATTTGAGCCGAGAGGTTTGGTTGTTGGACTTCGTGTCGACGGTCGGGAAATGCAGTGATAAGGGTCACTGGTCATATATCAGCTACATAAACTCCGGCAACAGCTTCAAGGGCACTTACTGGCGTCGATTTTCCAAATCCACATCTGGTTGACCATGAGAAGCCTCTTAGGGCTTCCAGTGGTCGTCGTTGGGCGCTCCACTTCTCGTCGACGCTCTCGTCCTCTTTGTTGCTCAAGTTCTATTTGACGCTCGACGTGTTTGATCACGACCTGATCCTTGTCACGCTCGCAAGAATTGTCAAGGGATAGGTAGTAGGACTGGTCTAGCGTGCATGGTGCATGAAAGCTGGCTAGACTGTTGTTGGATCCATTATATAGTTTCGTTGAAGTTTCCTCATTTGCGAAGCTCTTCTTGCAATTATCGGAAGAGCATCCTTGCTTTTGAAGAAAGCATTCGAGGTTCTCCGCATCAAAATATGGGATCTGGATTGTGTATCTTAGAATGCGTTTGCAATGCCGTCTGGTGGTTCAAGGGCCAACTCACAACTAGGGAAAAAATCGTCCCGCGTGACCTGGGCAAAGGAGTAAAGGAAGGCTTTCTAAAACTAGTATGTAGAGCCTGGCCCCTGATTTGATGGTATGATTCAGTGGTGAACGACTTGATTCCTTTCCAATATATCTTAAATGTTTCATCGTCCATAAGACTCAATGGGCGCATCACGTCCTGTCACACATATTAGTATCACTTTCGCCGAGAGGAATATGAGCACGAACCTCAACCCAAGTTTTCTTTTTTGTGTTAGCGCGTTGACGTCCTCTTGATATGGGTCAAAGGGTTCATCGACATACGTTATTTGCTGGAAGGTGTGCCCATCTCCAGTATTCTCTTGGCTTGGAACCATTATTGCCACCCCTCGCCCATTTTTCACGTTGTTGGACTTGGGTTCTATGAATTTGAGAGACGGATGAATCATATATGAAGTCCCAAACGCACGCCGGAAGTGTACTGACTTCGCGGCTAGAGGTGAAATATTGAACCCGCAACGGAGAAGCTTTCAACTGATCACTCTGCCCGCTGAGTTCATTCTGCACTAGCGGCCAAGTCAATTCTCTATTCAGCCCTTCCTGAGGAATCGATTGGTTCAGAAGGATCAATATCTTCTGAAGACAGCTCCGTTCAAAGTTGTCAGCCAATCCAAGCTCCTCGGACACAAGCTCTCTCACCGTCAAATTATCATACGACCTTCTGTGCTCGGTATCAGCTTCTTTCCGTAACAACAATGCCACAATTCTGACGTGGTTCTCATTTAGACTTGGATCATGTCTTCGAGCTCCCATTAAAAATCGGCGATGCTCCCGACCTCTCTGAATAGCTCCATGTAGCATTGTGGCACCTCCATGTGTAATCTTTGCGTTGATGTCAGCTCCTCTTTCGATGAGCGTCTTCGCTACCTCGTAATGACCAAAGCAAACAGCCTCATGCAGAACAGTATACCCGAGCCGATCACGGCTGTTGAGTGGCACGTTTCTACCCAGCAAATGTTTCATTACTTCATTTTGGCCTTCTGCTGCAGCCGAGAAGAGTTTTGTGATGTCATTTTCGACAATATCCATGGGTAGTGCACCCTTTTGTAGAAGTTTGAGAGTTATCTGGTATTGCTCTTGGTCGGCGACGGAAATATCCAGAACAGTTTGCCCTTGCTTGTCCTTCACCTCAAGGTTGATGTTATGCTCTAGGAGGAGATCAACCATGTTCTCGAACCTTTTTTCAACAGCCCCAAACAGGACCGTCCTTCCGTTCTCGTCTAAACTATCGATATCTAGCTTCTCCGCTAGAGCATCCTCAACCTTTAAAATATCATTCGCGAGGACAGCTGCATGAAATTCCTGCTCCCTTTGATCAATTGTCTGCTCTGGTCTCTTGATGACTTTCATATCGACAACTAGCTCGCGGTCGCCCTCAGTGAGGACAAGAACACGAACGGATCCGCCAGAGCTTTGGCAGGCCTCGATGGCCTGACTGATTCGGTCGTGGAGTTCAGGGTGGTCAATGACGGGGACGCCTCCCTTGACATCGTTAGTCTCCGTCTTAACGACCATTTGGCCATCTTTTATACTAAGAGCCCGGTACTGTTTGAAGACAGGGCCGAGCATAGTCTGGACGATGACACTAGGGGCGGGGTTGGCGACGAAGGAGGATTCCTCATGGAGCTTCTTAGTAAAAAGGTCAACACCAAGGAAGCGATATTGGCCTGTGGTAGCGTTCGTCGTGATGCGGATGACTTGACAGGGATGGCCTTGTATTATTATCAAGTCACAACTTCGGAGCGCTCAGGATAGATTGAGTCTGGTATGGCTCCCCCGGAGGAAGACGCCTCCTGCTGGCCTTGACCTGGTGTGCGCTGTCAGCTGGCTCTATTCTTAAAACCTTCCTGTAGAGCCTTACCATCTTCTTTCTCATAATCCATGGTGTTGTTTGACTTGAAAACCCGTTCGATTTTGCTTAGAAAAGCGACGAATTTGGAGGAGAACAAAGTACTAAAATTTAATCAAGTTTCAAAAAGGACGGAGGTTGGTTAACGAGGCAAAAGTACACGAAACGAAAAATAACAAAGTCAATTGATTTCCAATCTTGTTGGGCTTACATGCATGAAGCCTAAAACCCCTCACTTCAGCTACCCACTCGCCAAAGTAAATAACGAGCCACTTCTTGCAGGGATAGGGTAGATATCTCCAAAGAGGCTAGGAGCAGTAGCAAAGGGAGCTGAAATATGCAGATGCTTGCTTGCTTGAATGCTTGGCGAAAGGCAGATTCCACCAGTCCGGTAAAGTCGTTTCCGAGTGGGCTAACCAGTACAGCATTTCCCAATATGGGCTTTTCTATTTATTAGTAGGTTGGAAGCGCCAGAATATTCGTATCCATCGCGGCGGAGAAGACTCTCTTCCTACCATCGCTTAGATCTAAGAAGAGAAATATGCGTAATATGTCTCTTTAAAACAGCCCCTTGTCTAAACCATCTCCGCGGAACCAGGATCCATCGAAGTTCCTCGGGACAGTTATCTAGAGCCTTAAGAGTGCCTTCACTGCAGAACAGCGCAAGTAATTGAGACGCACAAGTGCTAGCTCTGATATAGCTTCTATCTTTACATCAAAAGCAGAGCTAGCTGCCCGAAGGTGCTGCAATTGCCAGTCGTCTATACTTATCCCTAAAGCCAATTGGAGGGTTCTCCAAAATTATCGATAATTTTTTGCAATCTCACTCTGAATTTACTGCCCTTGTCTAGGGGTCCATCAAGTTTACGATGCTGGTGAGTTGTCTAGACCTGCCAAAATGCAGCGATCTAAAAGCCAGCCAAGTGCTTTGAGTTGTGGCTAATTATGCATCTTATGTCGAAAAGATAACCATTCTTTTCGATCAACCACAAAGAAACATTTCATTATTTAGAGAGAATCAGGCTAATTTCCCAACATCATTAGAACTTCAAACTGCTCTGTGCGAGTTTCATGCAGCTATCATCGACGGTTGTAAACTATAGGAATTATTCACCAACAATGTCCTCCACTTCCAATTTCCAGGCATAGGTCCCCGTTTCAAGGGTGAACCTTTCTGTACTGGGAAGAGAAACGGAAATACTGAAAACAGCTGTCAGAGGATCATATAGATTAGTTCAAAACTTTTATTCAACCCTGATCGATGATGAAGGGATGATAGCAGCTCTATTTGATGCATTAGCTTATGACTGCCAGAGTTTATTCAATGGTCTTGCTGCTTTGAATGGACGGCTAGATTTTGGAGGCTCCTACGAGGCTATTTACAAGATTGCCCAGGATCCGAATTATGCCCTTGCTATTTGGAATCTGTTTTCGTTACCCTTACAAAATAGAACGCGATTACGCGTCATCAGGATTGCGTAAGCGTTTTGACTCGATCCGTAGCCGCCTTGATGAACTGTTTACATGGAAAGCAGCGTGCGATACTAACTCGAGATATTATAACTTGTGGGCTAACGATTAGTTAATTGATAGTGGAGTTTATCAATGCAATCCTGTTGGAGTGACTGAAGTTCAACCCATTCAATCTCTCCACTTTCTCCTAGCGACTGCCGAGCTGCCAACCATCAAGTCCCAAATACGCGGGGTACTCCGCACAATAGGTCCGATTACAGGGTTCCCCAAGTTCGGTTTTAGTACTCGGGGTTTCGAATAAGAGCGAGACGCGAGAGTGAGTGACACGCCAAGTAGACAAGGTATAATAGCCTTTCCCATACCCCTGACTGGCTCAATCGCGTCTCGGTCATCTGCTGATGATACTCGTGCTGCAGCATAACCAACAAAACATCGTCATGGTCTTCTGCACGTACTGCGGCCAAGAATTCCAACGCAATGAACATTTACAGCGCCATCTGACAAGCCGTAAGAAGAACTCTCCCGGTCACGACTCAAGGATTGGAACGGCACTGAGAAGAACATTTAATTAGACACAAATATCAAACGATTCAAATGTCGGGTCTGCCACGTCTCTTTTTCTCGCGCGTATGGATCATCTTCTCTTTATTCTCGCCATGTCTAGCCCGATCAACTATTTGGTCTGAATTTTTCGGTCCGTTTCTCTAACAAGCTCGTCTAGAGATGTTTTGCAACGACATGTTTTAATCCACGGGGAAGAAAACCCTTCACCAACAAGAGGAAACGCAGACCGAGCAAGACGAACCTTGACCCGGACCCGTGCAGCTTGCGTCGACTGTGCGAAAGCAAAGGCAAAATGCGACGCCAATACCCCATGTAAACGGTGCACCGGAAAACAGCTGCGTTGTGTTCGATTACGGCGGCCTGGGTCGAGAAGGGCGGCGGATGATTCTGGACATCCCTCAACATTGGACAGCCCAAACGCTGTAGATACCATACTAGCGGAAACAAACCGTGGAGTTGATACTCAGGAGCGGAATGAGGAGGCTGATGCAAGGTCACATGGCACGGACGGAACGCCCCAAGACACAACCAACGGCGTCAGAGGAGACTCACTCGTGTTTGCAGATGACCAGCCAGAACTGCGGTCGGAACCCTATCACGGAGACATTGCCGAAGTATCTATCAGCTCCGAGATCGAGAACACCTTCAATTTCCCCCAGCTGTGGCAAACGGATAATGACCAGCCCCCGGAAGTGGCGGCGATCAATAGTCCAGTGACGGACAGATGGGCAGGGGAGATCCATACAGAAGTATCCCAAGACGTTCCACCAGCGGGGAGTATGCCCATTCAAACTCCAGGAATAAACGAGGATACGGGGAGTCAGGTGATGGCACACACGCCGTGGATGACGTTCCCCGATATATCTTTTGTTGCCGAGCACCAGGCTGTCATTGAGGCGCAAGGGTACTGGTCCTACTTCCGATGCAATCCTACTCAACACAGGTCACGGTGTCCTAGAACTGGAGGCTCCTTGATTAGTAGCCTGAGCCATATACCGCCATCCGACGACTTGTGGGGGTGGTTAGGCCTCAGTAACAACCACAATGACAATAACACTGACGGCGGGTCGACCAAGCATGTCGTGATGCCAATCTACGAACCCGTCAGGGACAAGCTGTCTGCTATCTCGCAAACCTGCTTGAGAAAAGCACTCCGCGTACATTGTTTGGATCCTGCCATGGTAGATAGCTCGTCAACGCCAGGTAGCCACAGTACCCGCAACGCCGACGCATCCGAAGGATTCCTTATCCTCCCTCCAGCCGCTACGATCGAGCATTTCCTCCACGAATATATGAAGCAATCTGAGCCATTTTACAGTCTCATACCTGGAGGATTGTTAGATGTGAATACACTCATGCAGGGGCGCAATGCTACCCATGCAACCATACTCATTCTCCTCATGATTAGCCAAGGAGCCATGTCAGAATCTACCGCTGAGGCGAGACGGCTTTCTGGGGGGTTAACAGAGGTCTGCCGAATCTCCTTGTTTGACACTATAGAAAAGTCGGTCTCCACGTCGCATCAATGCATACTGATGCATTCTGCGATATTGTTCACCATCCAGGCGGCTTGGAGTGGAGATAAATGGTTGATGGACATTGGCCTCGGACAGAGGGGCATCTATATGAGTGTATGTTTTCAAGCTTTCATTGAGAACATGCGTTGTATACATTAAGCTGACTTTTCATGACGGTTTAGCTCCTGCGTCATGCCAACTTGTTTGAGATAGGCGATGATCACTCAAACGATGACAGCATGGAAACAGAGGACTCTAAACAGCACTACTTTCGTTGGAGGGACAGGGAGATGCAGGTCAGGTCAGTAACCTTTCTTGAACTGCTTGGAAATTACGTCAGTTCTGAAGTGGTGGCTAACTTGATAGTAGACTGGTATACACATGGATCATTCTTGATCTTGAGCTTAGTCTGTTCCACGACGTGAAAACAGTGCTGTCCCTTACTGATTTCAAACTACCCGTTCCAATTAGTGAAGAGCTGTTCTTGTCCAAAGAGCTGGCCGTTGGGGAATTCAGTCTCGAGCAACCACCTGATATCGACATCGCCAATGATGCGAATCGGCCAAGTCTTCAGACCATGTTACAATGGCTCTTCAAGCAAGGATTTGATAGCACGAGGCGGAAGCACCTGAACCCAACCACGCTGCATGTACTTTTACATGCCATACTGTCAATGATTCGCAATTATCGTCAACTTTTTGGATACATGGGTCAAGATGCGAGAATCAGATTGTCCGTGTTCTCCCCATTTTCCAAGGCATCAACTAAGACAAGGATGGATGAGATGCGGGGACTCCTACAATACTGGTTAGGGCTTTTCAATGCACTATGGCCATCATCCACTCGGCTTGGCGATGGGGATCCGTGTCTACCATCCCCTCAGCTCTATGGCGTTCTCATCACCTACCATTTCATATGTCTGGAAACTGTCATCGATATGCCTGCCATTGAGAATTTGGCACGGCAAAGACGGCCCGATTCCACAATTGCTCAGATGGACACGGCGTTGAAAGATCAATATATCCAAGATTTGGTGCCTGTTCTGTTCCATTCTGGCCAAATATTATATCTGCTGAGAGTCTTGGAGCAAACGTCTTTGCCGCCCTGGTGGCCGGCTGCTATATACCGCGTAACTATGGTCCTATGGGCTACGAGTGTTCTTTTTGGCTCGGCATGGAAACAGCCTTCGGGCGTGGAGCTGCTTTCTCCCATCATCATCGATGCTTCTCTCCATGATGATGATAGTAACCTGTCTCCCCTGTGGCAAGAAAACTCTGAGAGCTATTCCGTGGGCGGCGAAGGCGCGGGTCTGAATATGCCGCAGTCACATACCCCAGCTTTGAGCGTTAGAGGCGACTTGAGTAATGCCACGCTTCTGTCTGATCCGCAACGCGTACTTGAAACTTGTCTTCTTGCATTTGAGAAAGGTCGGAGCATTAGGTTTGCGGATGGGATTTACAGAAAGTTGAAGCAGTTTATGGCTAGCAGAACAACAGAATGAGATGGGATGAGTGACATCAGACCTATAAATTAGAACCAATTTCTTAAAACATCGTAAGAAATCGCAAAACACTTCAAGATATATTGAGACTGAACATGATACCATTTAAAAGCAATACTGCTAGATTCTTAGTTCCCTATGGCCCTTCTAGCTCTCGTCCTGGCTGTCACAAAGCCAAGAAGATTGAAACTTCCACATATCCGTCCTCCAGTCTTCCCAAAGAGGACCATGGATAGTTTTCAATTCTTCAAGGTCACCCCTCCGTAAAGCCCCAAGATACCAGTCTTCCCTCGCGACATCTTCCGGCTTACCGACTTGAAGACGAAGCTTATTTCCTGAGCTCATCGGGTGGATCACATTCTGAAAGATACGCCGGCGTTCCATCGAGTAACGGCTGAATAGAGCATTGAGGTCTACTAACTTGCCCGCAGGCAGCTCAAAATCCTGCTGTGCCCTCCAAACATGATTAGTTTCGCCCCTATTTCCATTTTCGTTGTGACTTGAACCATTTGTGGCATTTGGACCATCTTCATTTGGCTGGCAGGAGGAAAAGGCAATCTTCAGTGTCTGGTGTAGAGCATCTGCATCTAACAGACCGGTACATAAGCCCAACCCCCCAATTGGGTTGTTGATATGTGCCGAGTCACCAGCCAAGAAGCAACGACCTCGATGCATCGTGTTCGCCACCAGTTGATGCATCTTATACAGGCTCTTTCTCACCACTTCGAAGTCTCCATTGAGACTGCTGTCAACCTGACGCTCAACGAGACTCCTCACGTAGTCTGGTTCCATGACTTGCTCATCCGTGAGTGGCTTGTTGGTGATATCGTCGTCATCGTCTCCTGGCCGGGCTGGAACAGCCATACTGTATCGCCACAGACCTGGTTTTCCAGCCTCGACAGTCTCCAGCGGCGTTACTACCGCCCAATAGCGCGGATCAACAACAAAATGAACGGGTATTTCTGGGACTACCGGCGCTGTTCGCAGCACGTCTGTTGCGAGGAATCGTTCGGGCCAGGAGTGACCGTGGAGGCGAACACCAAGCAACTTGCGAATCGTCGACCGGCCTCCATCGCAACCGACGAGGTATTGGCTGCGGAATTTCTTGTTGGCTCCATCCACAGTCTGCACAGAAACGGTCACACCTGTGTCGTTCTGCTCAAGGGCTGTGACCTGATGGCCCCAAAGAGTCTCCGAGAGCCCAATCTTCGCTCCGGCATTGATGAATAGTTTCGATAGCTTTGTCTGAGCCAATTGTATTGTGTATTTTCCAAGCTCATATGACCCGTCAGCATTCCGACGGCCCATGTTGTTTGTCCCGATGATCTTGCCAAGTTTGCGGACTTTCTTGCCGTTGACCTCTTCGTCGACTGGGAGGGTACGCCATACATACCCCCCTGAAGGCATGCCATCACGAACAATTTGGTCATACAAGCCAATTTCCTGAAAGACTTTGTGGATAGGCCCGTAGTACCCAATGGCTCTCGGGGCATCATTCAGGCAAATCTCCTTTTCTAGGACAACGGAGCGGATGCCGCTCTGAGCAAGTTGTAATGCGAGTAACAGGCCGACAGGCCCAGCACCAACAATGATCACAGGGTATTTATTTGTTATGCTCTTATCGCCATCATGCCCGTTGGACGCCATGGATGTTTCTTTTAGGGTAGTATCTGTATTGTGGTCCGTGATACTGCTCATGCTATTGTTTTGAAGAGGCGGCATTGTGCTGTAGTTTTTTGTTGACATTTAGGAATCGATAAGATATGACGTGCAGGCATGAATTCTGAGACTATCACAAATTATCCTATTCGAGCTACCACTTATAAAACTCGCAGCAACGTCTTTTCCCGGTGCTCTTCACTAGCAGAAAGAAGAACCTACAGGAACGGCAAGGATCCTCTTGCGGCGCGGAATGCGATCCGGTGGGGTCCCGAGTCTCTTCATCCGACGTCACCAACCGGCGACTCATCCGGCGTTATCCTACACGGCTGCGGAAGCTAAGCTGAGACGGATAGAAAGAGCAGAAGGAATAGCATTTGGAACGGGGCGTATGATCCTTGACGTGAAAGTTGCGTTTTTGTTCATTCTTCTATTCCTCAAGTCTCTTGAAGCAGCACGGGCCATAGAAAGCTGCAGTAAACATGGCACAAACCAACCATCTGCGTCAGTTGTACAAGCGCATTCCGATTACTTTTGGGCCATTTCCAGGCCCACGCCAATCTTTTGCAGGCCGTCGTTGGGATGGAAGCAAATCAAGCAGTGTGGAGGCCTACATAACCTTCAAGGCATCACAAAACGCCGTCAAGACCCTCCTCCCTGACGTATTCACTTTTCAAGAGCCTACAAAGGACGCTTTTATGACCCTTGCACCCAAAGAATTGGCCAATCTAGAGTGGCTTGGTGGGCGAGGGTACCGCCTGTACAGTCTCTATATCCATGGTGTTAGATATGCAGCCGCAGATGGCACAACCTACAACGGAACCTACATCCCTGTTTTATGGGAGGATCTAGCAGATCCTATCATTAGCGGAAGGGAAGAGCTTGGTTATCCAAAATTATTTGCGGATCTGGACATTACTCAAACGGTGACCTCTTATGATGCCAAAGCAAGTTGGAAGGGCACGACATTCTCTACCTTTAAGCTGAATGGCCTACGGGAGATCCGAGAAGAGAGTCCATGGAGACTTGCCCCCAAGGAGGCCGGCATTGACGACGGTACATTGCTGTATCGCTATGTTCCGGCCGTCGGGCAACCAGGCACGGCAGATGCGGAATATCCAGTTTTTATTCCTGCGGCAGAAGAAGCCAAGAGGCAGGCCGTCACACTGCTGAGACGATTCAGTGCTCCACCCACACAGTCAATATTTAGTTGGCACCAGGGTGATTCACGACTTCTACCTACTCTTCACCACATTGTGCAACAAATTGGACATATTCGTCCATTGGAGATTGTGGCTGCTGGAGTGGTTGAGAAGAAAGGGATGGGGGATCTTTCATCCGCGCGAAGGATCGACAAGGGGGCGGCCGTATCCAAACTTTAGCCTAGTGCTCGTCTCAATACAAATTAAGAATACATTTGGCAATGTCGTATAGCCTACACTTCGACGATCAGATCAGCAAGATCCAAAGTTCATAACATCTCTCGGTAGCTTATAGAACAAAAGCCAAAACCAAAGAAAAGACTGATAAATCAAATGGTAAATTTACAAATCTCATTTACGAGGTCCAAACTTGAATGCTAAATTCCGGCTCCCATAGTGTAGTGACAGCACATCCGTGAAGTGTACATGTGGCCATACAAACCGGATGTGGTGGTCCGGTCTGTCCGGCTAGGCCGCTACCCGAAGCCTGATGAAAAACGGCTACCGCCGAGGACATTGACGGTAAATGTGATTTCAATTCCAGGGTATTGGCTATTATAAAGCTACCAAGGTCATTAATACATTCACGCTTACAATCTCCTCTTGTTGAATACATCACCTTTTATAACGTCTATGCAAGTCACGGAAGCCCCCATGATTACTTGTCTTCTTTTAAATTACACGAACAAAAAGACGGAATAATGACTTCAGTATCTGATGATTTATGCAAAGACAACAGACCAGAGCTCTCTCCTCAAGCATTATGTCATGTTGTCCTCCGCACCAGCCCATCCCAATACGAACGAATGATTGAATTCTACTTGCTAGTATTGGGTGGAAGGGTGTCCCACAAGACTCATCGGTTGTGTTTCCTCGGTTATGATGAAGAGCACCACCGACTGGCTATCATTGCCGACCCATACGCGGTTCCCAAGTCCGCCAACATCAAGCCCGTCGTTGGACTACACCACATGGCGTTCGGATTTCCTCAGCTCTCAGATTTGGTCACTTCTTACGAACAGAAGAAGTCGGCCGGGGTGATGCCGGATTGGTGTGTCAATCATGGTATGACAATCAGTATGTACTATAATGACCCTGATGGAAATCAGGTCGAGTTTCAGGTGGATACTTTAGATAGTGCGCGAGCTGCCGTGGATTATATGAACTCTGCAGAGTTTGAAGAGAATCCTGTGGGAGTCGATTTTGATCCTGAAGAGTTTTGTAGGAGGGTGAAGAGTGGAGAGGATGAAGCTGCAATTAAAAGACGTCCAAAGATTGGGAAAAGAGACAGGAGGTAAATTGGTTGTTGGACGTGGGGAGCTATTTGTCATAATAGAATCTCAAGATCCCTTCGACAATCCTCTCGACTATTCTGTTTTCCCAATCAGTTTTTAAGATCAATCAATTAACTATATCACCATATTTATACATACTAGAACTAAAATGTCTTGATACTTTTCACGTGCACAGGTGATCTTGATATAACAGAAGCTCATATTTATCACGACAGTAGGCTTTTAGTCTAACCTGGCTATAATGAACGTATATGCGTAGACAGTTCACTGTCGATGTTGACTTTTTAATAATGATAGAGAGAGCTTGATCAACCATACCACGAGTATTAGTTGTGATGTTCTATATTGTAAGAGGTCTAGAAGAGATTGTCCACCCTTCGTGTATAACTAAGCAGCTGAGCATGCTAGACTGATGCGCCGCCTGCGCAGAGGATTGTCTGCCCTGTAATCCAGCCACTGTCATCACCAGCCAGCATAGCCACCGTTTTGGCAATATCCTTCGGATATGCTGCTCTCTTCATGGGAGAAGCAGATGCCAGACTGGCCACAATCTTCTCCTGCGGCCAACTACTGTCTGCACCAGGGATATATCGCCAGGCAACTTCAGCGGACATGTCTGAAACAACTCCTCCCGGAGCAATAGCATTGACAGTAATGCCTTCGGCCCCAAAATCGGTAGCAAGTGAGCGCGTCAGACCCTCCACGGCGGACTTCGAGCCTTCGTATAATGCATGATCGTACACTCCCATAACACCTGCTGCGATACTAGAGGTCAAAATGATCCTGCCACCGGCCGCAGATCGGTTCTCGGTTTTGATCATGTATTTGTAACCTTCGACGGCAACAAAGAATTGACCTCTCGTATTGATATTGAAAACCTTGTCAAAGTGCTCCGGGGTGAGGTCGACGCTGCGGTCGAATGACTCAATACCGCTATTGCTAGCCACGATATCAATGTGTCCAAACTTATCGTAAGCTTTCTTGAATAGATCTTTGATTTGTTCAACATCGCTGACGTCGGCTTTAACGGCAATGGCGTCAGGGCCCATGGCCTTTATTTCGGCAACGACACTTTCTGCCGCGGCCGTCGAGTTGGCGTAATTGACAACGACATTGGCGCCGCGTGACGCGAGCTCTAGGGCGATTCCCTTGCCGATGCCTCGGCCGGAGCCAGTTACTACTGCGACACGCCCCTGAAGGGATTGGAATTGGTGGCGGGTTGTGGAAGGCATGGTTATTGGTGGCACGGCGATGCAAACGGTTGTTGATAATACGGAACAAAGGAAGACAATTTTAGCTGAATATAGCTGCTTTATTTCATTGAAATAGGTCTGAGGCTCTCCTGGTATTTATAAGCAGTATAACTGCTCATTGACGGCATGTCGAAAAGTGAGTTTCCGTCCCGATGCGAACGGAACCCCATCGGCACAAGCGATTGGAGATCCGGCACACTATTTTCGAACCTCACTAGCCGGTGGTAGTGAATATGAGCCCCGAGTCGCACCTTGAAGAACTGTACTTTCAATATGGGCAACTTAACGAGTTCAACACATTGCCAAACGTTATCATGGCCTCGCTTGCCTGAGCCATTCCAAACTATCGCCAAAGGCCTCTTTAAAAACCTTTTCGCCCTCAGTATTCGTGGGATCAGGTCGACTCGAAAACCCGTGCTTTGTTCCTCCATATACTACTAATTTGTATTCACAGCCGGCTCGGGGAAGCGATGAGAGCATGTCGGTAGTGAGTGTCGGTGTAAATATGTCAGTCTCGGCGCAACCTAGAAAGACGGGGGCTTGGAGATTTTTCAAATCAGATGTTTCTAGAAAGGCCTTGCACATTGTCAGCATTTGAATCTGAACATGTCGTCACAACCAAACACTGAAAATGCAATTAGGAAATAGACAGACTGCAATGGGGTATCTGACGTTTCTCCTCTACTTACCGGGTGAAAGATGACGACTGACGCTATATTTGCCGCTCTCGCCAATCCGAAAGCAGACTTACCCCCGAAACAGTGTCCTACTACGTGATGTGTACCCAGGGTAATATCATGATACCAGGGAAGGAACTCGTAGAGCAGTGAGGCTATGCGGGCTGGGTCATGACGGGCCCGCCAACTAGGCATATCTATCTTCCGAATCATGTTCTTTTCCTATATATTCGCTTTATGAGCATAAGATAAACCAGAGGAATTGGATAAAAGCTACCTCGATAGTCAAACTATCATAGTCATCCACGTTGGTCCCTGGAGTATATTTCATGAAGCAGTCGGGCAGAGCGTCTCCCTCAAAATAGTCGACGACCGTGGTGTGGAAACCTAAATTAGACGAAGTTATCAGCTTTGCGGACGTCATTTGCTACTCTTCGGGGAATACCACAATACCTTCAGCTGCGTACATGTCTGCAAGACGAATGTTGTGCGTTGCTAGGCCAAAACCGTCCGGCAGGAACAGAATATTTTGTCTTCTTTTTGTATCGATAGTAGACGTACACTTATATGTGTTGAGCCCCCCAATGACTTGGTATGAGCCTTCAGACTTATAATATCCTATTGATCGAGGCGTATGTGAGTCAAGACTGATCGAAGTCATAGCCATGTGTCTGTCTCTTCCAAGAATTTGATCTTACCCGCAGGGGTTCCTTTAAAACACTCGCAGGTTGACATGGTGGTATAAACGTGCCGAGAATCCAAAACTAATGGGTTGCAGACTAGTGTCTGTCTAAAATGAATCAGGCTGAGGGAGTGCAGAGTAATAAGGATAAACTCATAGAATAGCTTCATCGGAACCCCACCGGGTTTCCCCTGGATCTCGATCAAATTGAGTTACGCTAGTTAAGCTTAACAGCCTCTTAATATGTTGAAAATTGTTCATTTCCTATGTACAAAAACTAATCTAATCATTCAAACACAATTTGATTCTTGATCCGACCAACACGACCAATTTCCACCTCTACGATATCCCCGTGTTTTAACCAAGGCTGCCCTGGGAGCTTCGCAGCTACGCCAGCCGGCGTCCCAGTCATGATAACCGTCCCAGCCCTCAAAGTCGTGCCATAGCTAGCATGAGCAATGATCTTCTCAACATTGAATATCATTTCCCCCGTATTGGAATCCTGTCTTTTCTCGCCATTGACGAATGTCTTTATATCAAGGTGCTCTCCTCTTGGGAGCTGTGATGGATGAAGCAGAGTAGGACCCAGTGGTGCAAATGTGTCAAAAGACTTGGCGTAGCAGAATTGACCGCCAGAATACGGCTGCCGTTGCCAAAAACGAGACGATATATCGTTACCCGCCGTGAAACCTAGGATGTAATCGTAGGCCTTCTCCTCTGGAATGTTTTTTCCTGTTCGTGAAATTACGACACATAGCTCTGCCTGTGAAGAGATTGTGTAAATAACCATGAGTTCAGGCTTCAGAGATAGGGAATAATCATACTTCGTAGTCCAAATGACGTGCCTCGGAAGGCACAAGAATATCAGAAACAGGGCCGGTCACAGCATCTAAAGATTCATCTATCAGCACAAAGCCTGCTTTCCTTACATTCAATTACTTGCCTGCCGGTTTCGTGAAGATGACTGGGTTGGGCGGTATTGACAACTAAAAATAAAGTTAAGCAACTTCGTTGGCACATTCTAATTATGTAAATTACGGAAGGCCACGTACATTAGCCTCTCTAGCATGATCGGCATAATTGAGCCCAACGCACACGATCAAAGGCGGAGAAGGGACTGGGCTCAAAAGCTTTGTAATTTGTCAGCCATGGCCCCAGTCAATATGAATGTTGAACGGCTGGCCCAAACCTTATGAACAACGGCCGAACTACCAGTTGGGTGTAGATTGTTGAACGGGCCTTCAAAAGTCGGCACACGAGAACCTATCAACTTGTCCAGATCTGTGGTGTCAGCATCTCCGTAGTGTTCCTTGGACAACTGATCTTGGAATCGAATGAGGTTTCGCCACGTTGATGTCGGAGATTCCATAGTGATGAGAATAGGGGGTTCAAATAATAGACGTGATATTGGTGTCAAAGATTTTGTGTGTATTTCTTTCCGCCTCAGTTAAAAGGTTGGGTTCGATGTCAGAAAGGGAAGCTTCCGTGGTTCCTCGGGTGATTGTATAAATACGCGATCTTACCGTCAATTTCGGGACGACACTGGTGGCTGGAGGACAACCGATTCCGGGGTCCGTCTTCATAGCGCTAAAAGCGCTATTTGCAACTATCAGTGCGCTGCGTATACTTCTCCTGCGCTTTCCAAGGACTGAATAACTTTGAGATTTCTCCCGGCTCCCCACATCCGGTCCTCCAAAAACGAATGGCGCAAATAATTCGCTGCACACCCCATATGGGACAAGTTATGCGCGGGGCTTCATTAAACTTAATTCAAGTTTGGAACTAGTTCATAATTTCTGCAGGTTTACTCTGGCTGCTGACCTATCTACCGAGACTTGCGTCACCCCAGCAAGACAGCACATTGAAGGCATAGCTAGGTAGGTCTGTTGTGCCTGGGCTCAGTATATACAAAATCACTTGTTCGAAAGCGCGTGTCATGGTAAGCATTGTAAAAGCCGGAACCTGCTTCGTAAATAAGCAGTCCATAAGCCAAACCTAAATTTTGGTCTAACCCATCCTCTAATCTGCGAGTTGTGAAACTAGGAGCAGACTCTAGGACTAAGGCGGAACCCCACCGGATCCTCTACATGATGCGGAAATCAACTCTCCAGGAACAACTGTCAACGCTTCCCTATAACTATTTGCCCTTGGCAGATCTCTTCCAAGAGCCCACAAGCTTTTCTAGATTCACAATCAGGCAACTTATCGTCGTGTTTGTGGACTTAATATAATACCACCCTCTGCACCTCACTAAAAAAAAAAGTCAAGGAGTAGCACTTGATAAACAGCCGATTCATCCGAAATTATGACAGCGACCGTCCAAGAAGTACGAAACTCTTCATATTCAGAAAAGAATTTCAAAAAGGATCTGGAGCATAGAGAGAATGCTTCGATCCAGCCGGGCAATGTTACCTTCGTTGACGACGACCCGGGTGTCAAACCTCAGGTACATTTGAGGACATGGATCGCTGTAGCCGCCATGTGGATCGTCAACTTCACAGGAGTATTGGCACTTAACGGACCGCCGACTGTGGTAAGTGGCGTTTCTTTATGGTCAGAAGGAAGCGACTAACCTGTTTTAACAGCTATCATTCATGGCTGAAGATCTTCATGGCACCGCAAACCAGACATGGATCGCAAATTCCATTTCCTTGGTTCAAGCTGTCATCTGCCCAGTGCTCTGTTCAATTTCAGATGTATTTCAGATGAGGAAACACCTCCTGCTTGGCTGCGCGGTCATATCTTTTGTAGGCTGCGCTATTGCTCCGGGGTCGACAAATGTGTACCGTGTCATTGCTGCTCAAACAATGATAGGATTTGGTTTTGCCTCTATTCCTTTGTGTTTAAGTGTACCCAGTGAGATCCTACCACGAAAGTGGCGGCCACGTATGTGAGACCAGTTCGTCATTATGAGAAGTCCGCTAACTGGAGTAGAGGCCCTGGGTATGATGAATGTTGCTGCTTCAATTGGAGCCTCCGTTGGACCAATTGTTATAGGTTCGTTAACCAAAGATACTGCAGAAAATGGCTGGCGATATTTCTATGTACGTCCTGAGTTCTTCCCCATGCCTGAAACATGCTAATCAGGTAGATAGTGGTTTCAAATGGGTCTATGGGGCCTCGCAGCTCTCGGTGTTCTCACTTGCTATCAGCCTCCAAAGCGACATACACTTCTAGATCACCTGAGCCTGTTTCAAAAGATCGGACGAATCGACATTATAGGTGCATTCCTCATGACCGCGGGCTTAGCGCTCTTTCTTGCTGCTCTTAATTTAGGCGGCACGAGTTTCTCTTGGGTATCGACGCAAGTTCTGAGCCCGTTGCTCGTAGGAGTCGCCGTGTTGGTTGTTTTTGCCGTTTACGAATGGAAAGGCACCACTATCGGGATCTTGCACCATGACCTGTTCCGTCTTGGCAAGCCATATAAGCGTACATTGATCATTTGTTATGCTTTGGTCGCCGTTGAGGGTGCCGTATTATTTTCATACGTCATCTTTTACCCCATCACGTGAGTCTTTTCCATTTTGGTGACCTCAGTGATATTTTGACTGACTTGCCATTATAGGACCGAGACATTGTTTGAGACGGATCCGTTGTTAGTCGCTGTGCGTCTGATCCCATTCTGGCTCGCCTCCGGGTTGAGCACTATGGCATTTGGATGGTTCAGCACCAAGTTTCGCACCATTAAGTATCCCCTGGCTGTCGGCTACCTCATTTATATGGCAGGAATGGTCGGCTTTTCGACGATCCAACCAGGCCACAACGCCAATGCCGTTGCTTTTGCTATTGTATCGGGCCTTGGATTTGGCGGGCCACTAATCTTGGTCTTTACGGGGGTCCAATTGTGTGTCCCTCATTCACTACTCGCAACCGCCACTGCTGTTTGCACCAGTATTCGATCTGTGGCAGGCACCGTATTCACGGCCATATATTCTGCTGTTTACGCCTCCCGGATCAGCGGTAATATCTCGAGTTACGTGTCCAAAGCTGTAACCGAAGCAGGTCTGCCAACAGAATCGATCGGGCCGTTCATCGCTGCGTTGACTGGCGCGGATGCTCAAGAAGGTCTATCAAAGGTCGAGGGTATCAACGAAACAATCGTCGCAGCTGGAGAGGCTGCCATCAAGCATGCTTACGCCGACAGTCTTCGGTACTCCTTCATTATCGCCGCTGCTGTAGGAGTCGTAGGTTTTATCTTGTGTTTCTTTGTTGGTGATTTGAAGAGCACTATGAATTACCAGATTGATGCAGGACTTGAGAAACCTTCGGCTGAACGTGCAGAAGAAAACTAATGTAGACATGTCATTTATGCCAAGGGAGATGCTACTTTGGAGTTCTTCAGTCTTCCATCTCTATAGGCCATTAAGATTTAATAAAGCTGTCCACACAATCCAGAGTGTTCCTTATTGTTTGAAATATCTAGGTGGCCCAGACACATATTTGGTTCATCGGATTCTGGTGGCGATCTTTAGCCGATTTGATCCTCTCCAAATCCGCCCTTCGTCTTGGCTGGCGGTTTATGCCTTGGCTCTCCGCCTCGCCTGGCTTGAGTGGGGTTTTTCTACTTGACGACGTCAGACACAGCCTCCTCCAGATTTGCATCACCCACGGTTAAATTGCACTCTCCCTCTCTCATGGGTGCGAGTTCTCAATAAACTCTCATCGCTCAACGAGGTATTCGGATGTTATCATCGTCCAAGAGCTTAGACAGCTTGGGCAATAGGAACGTAGACCAGACTGTCGAAAGGCGACACTATGTCCAGCATCGCCCAGGTGCTCGTCGAGCGCTATGTTCCACCTGAATTCAGGCGTGAATTCGTCCTTCATCTATTCCTCTACGCGGCGCTATCGTGGGGCCTAGGAAAGGACGAATCGCTCGACTGGGAGCTGCTGGCTCTGGGCCCCAAAGGTGCCGTGCCGCCCCCAAAGCCCATCCTGTGGACTCTGGGGTATAACAGACTTGTGGTGTTTGCCTTCCTTGCTCTGCTTTGCATGGCACCACGCCTGTACATGTCACCTCGGACAATAAGGGTTCACGGCGGTGACAACTGGTTTAGGTCGAAAGACTGGATATCCGGGCTCGTCTGGGTTCTGATCCATCACTACTCCAAAATGCTCTTCCCTCTTTGGGGCCAATGGACCCTTCACATATACACTTACTTTCACATATCGCCCTCACCCCTCTCACTCGCTGGTTTCGAGTGTTTTCTTCTCTCTATTTTGGGTTATCTTCTCGCTCTCCCCCCAGCCCTGATATATGCCCTCTACCGAGTGGCTGACACTTTCATCCATCCGCTCATACGATCTCGGTCGCGGTCAAGCCATGATTCAGGAATTCTCGAAAGCGAGCGCGCCTCTGTCCTCTGGTTTTTGCGCTTCTATGTTTTGTTGTTGATCCCAGAGCGACACTTTCCCAATTTTTCGGCTGCGTTCGCTTTCTGGTCTATTTGGGGCTTGATATTTTTCGCGCTGGCCTTTTCGCTGTCGCTTGCTTTATGGTGGAACTCGCAGTTCCCTCCAGAGTCATCATGTCCTTCTCAAATCTCGGGAATGGCACCACAATTTAAATACACACCGCTGGCTAGCAAGTCGCATATTCGAGTGCTCAAAGTGCTCCCCAGTCTCCGGGGGAGCGAAGCAATAGCATGCCAGTTGTTGCAGGTCGAATTGCATGGCTCCCGACCATCCTATGATGCGATTTCGTACCATTGGCAAATACCGGGACAAGATCCTTCCAATGCTAACGAGCCAGAAACCAGAATCATTATGATCAACGGATTTCAGTACGAAGTGTTCCCGAATGTATTATCAATTTTGAAGGATGTTCGGAACTGGGTATTCCCCAGGTACATCTGGATTGACTCCATCTGCATCGACCAGAATAATCTTGCCGAGAAAGAGATCCAAGTGGCGATGATGCGGCAGATATACGAGGGCAGCTCACATGTTGTCATCCATCTGATAGAGCCCGAGCCACCTCGACGCGACGTGTTTCAACTGCGCAACATGGTGTCCAAGTTACGTGACAGCCGCGCGCTGCAAGACTTCTCATACGACGACAAACCTGGGGAATTGCTCTCTCTCGGATCTTACAGTGACTGGGCCCACATGGAGAGCTTTCTTGACGACCCTTGGTTTGTCAGAGCGTGGATTGTGCAGGAGGTCACGGTAGCTAAGCAAGTCCGGCTTAGGCTAAGAGGACAGGAAATCCAGTGGGGTGATTTTGTACGCGCGTGTGCTGTGTTATCACGGACTGGGACGAGATGCTACATCCACTACCGCTACCTCCTGGAGGGCAAGCCACTTCCCGCCGATGCCGTCGTTGGGTCAAGAATGGCCGGCGTTGAGAGCACCCTAGTGCTTGATAATATGAGGGAGTGGTACGCATCAGGCCAGCTACTCCCACTCTTGGATACGATGATTCTGTGTCTCAGGTTTAAATCAACTTGGGAGGTTGATAAATTGTATGCCCTACTCGGTGTCATTGATAAAGGGGATCGTGATCGCTTGGGAATCACCCCTGATTACACAAGAGACAAAGAAACAATTTTCAAAGATCTTGCCTGTCAATTGTTGCAGAGAGCTTCTTCTGTCGATGAACAATTCCGGATTCTTCGTTTCGCAGGTATTGGGCAAGCAAGGAACATGAGTAGTCTGCCATCGTGGTCCCCTGATTGGACCTCTGGGTTGCCGACTTGCCCGTTCGTCAGTCGCCACGATGAGTTCAACTACAAGGCATCAACTCGGACGGGGAGTAAAATGCGTTTCAGACCGCTTGATGCACATTCCTCGTCATCTGGTGGAGTTGATAAAGGTCTCAGTCCCTTTCTTGAGGTAGATGGCCATATCGTTGACCGCATCGCATTGCTCTGCGATGTTTCGGAAACACCACCCCCAGAGAACACGACAGACTTCCCAATCCGCGATGCTCTCGCCGCCGCCATGGCTCATAGTCTCGGGCGGGAGACGTATCGCTCAACTGGCCAGCCAATCGAAGAAGCGTTCTGGCGGGCTCTCATCGCAAACCCGCATCTACGCCGTCTACCAGCGACTCACGATATAATGAAGGCCTGGGTCCTGTATTTCAAGGGCTACGAAGCTGCTCGCGGTGGTATTGACAAAGCAGAAGCTGTCCCAAGCGCAGCGCAGGATGATGAGGCGTGGGATCTGCGACTCATTTTCAGTGCCATCTGGTTCTGGCAGGCCGATGACGAAGACCTGCGGTTTGCGCATGTGCTTGCGACTGACTTGTCAAGGCGGTGGCCTGAGCACCGACATACGCTGCGAGCTACTAGCATCCTGAATCGGCCTTCAGACCATATGGAGGCTACTGATGTTCGCATGTCCGCCGGTCGACAGTTTTGCGTCACGGAGAAGGGATACTTTGGGCTCGTGCCGCGGCTTGCCGCCATTGATGACATGGTAGTCCTGTTTGACGGGGCAACGACACCTCATGTGGTCCGGCCATCAGATTCCGAGACGTACAATGCTGTGACAGCATCCAAGAATAATGATTTTCTTTGCAAGCTTGTGGGCGAGTGTTTTATGCATGAGGGTATGGATGGACAACTCGAGCGCGACTCTAGCATTTCCAAGAGAACTTTTGTATTAGAATAGATCGCAAGTTATTGGTATACATTACAGCCAAACACATCCTATAAAACAATCTCACTAAAGGCTCCTTCCACACAATTGAATGTTGAAGGCTGCCGCAGGAGACTTGGGGGCCGTTTCGATCTATGCTCACTTCTCCTCCCCTTTGTATTCGCACACATTGCTGAGACCCAAATCTACCATGCAACGATCGCCATAGGCGAGCGCCCAGTCTTGGAACGGTTTGATGTCGAAGGACCACGCGAGACCTGCGTTCTGTAGAGCGCCGAGCGCGGCCAAAGCCCAGGTTACGCAACTCTGAGGTGGTGAAGCATCCTTGGCGGGTAGAGGCACGTCCGCCAGAAGTGTGTCGAGGTTTGATTTTGAGACATGGTTTGGCAGCTTACCCACGATGATGCGGCCTATTAAACGGCCTGTAGCAGAAGGGTCGATGTCATGTTGGGCGCGGAATAGCCAATCGTGGTTTGGGTTGAGATCTTCTCGTGTTTTAGGGTCAATGACTGAAAAGTCAGTTGCGTCGTAGGCGCTGCATAATGGAAGGCGACGCGCTTCAAGCGACCGCCTTGGGATGATGAGGATGCCCCAGTGATAGGCTTCATAGCCGAGTCTTGGGCGATTGTTTCCAAGTGAGAGTCTGTTGCGGTGATATAATGCGATAACGACGCGGCGCTTGTTCCTCATTTTCCCCCTGGACAAATGGTTGGTGTTGGACAAAGTTGAGCTTTGACAGTGACGGTGAGTAGGTGAGGGAGACTTCAATTTTTGGGGCGCCACGTGCCCCCTCTAAGGGCACTATCCCTTTCTATGGGACGGCCCTTTCATGAGGCAGCCCCTTCCATAGAATAGTATACAATGTGCAAGTCCTTGTAACGGGACAGTAAATGACGTGTCGGCTCTTTCATTGCCAATGGGATAGCACGTAGTCTAGTGCCTGGAAATGGGATCTGGACTGTGCCCTGAGCATGGCTGAGCCGGTAGCGTTTTGCTAATATATAAAACGCCGGATCACTATTAGCATTTGTATTGGAATAGATCTAGTATATATTACGGTTAAACAGTATCCTAATAAACAATACGTCGATACTGAATATATTGAATGACAATTGTCAAGAATTCTTCGTATCCTTGAAGTGAGATAATTGCGCACTACAATATTTGAAATCAACTCAAAGTAAACATCTATCTGCCTCCTCCATCAAACTGTAACCCAGGTGTCATACTGATATAAATATCCATGCGATTGGGTGGGTGTATACAACGGTGCTTCATCATGCTCACTCTCATTAACAAACGCGCACCACGCATCTATCAAGACAGGCCTCTGAAACATGCATGCTCCCATTTTACGACCAAAACAAGTCCCATGCAAAATATCGCATCAAGGCCAGCCCTAGTCAGCCAGGCAGTCGACCATAAAAGGCGCGATAATACTTGTTCCCACCTCAAGTAGATCGTCAGTCTCAGTGAAAGTGGCACAGGCACCGGATGTCCAATTTGCGTTACAAAAGTCCTTCCAAAGGCTAAGACGCTTTTAAAATGGTTCATTTCGCTCAAAGTCAAACTTTACAAAGAACAAGCATGGTGTAAATCAAAGGGGAACCGAAACTAATTCTAAAAGAAAATTGAAAGACAGAAAAATAGTTAATTTGCTAATAACTGAACAGCTCTTCATACCCAATATACGAGAACACGAGCTCCAGGCTCGGTATGTGCCTACATGTGCTTTCACTCCAAACGCCAAACAAAGGTCTACCTTTTTGGAACCTATGTCGCCTTGGAAAACTCGCCTCCCCTGCCATCATCATGGTACATCACATCTTTCCTCTACGATGATATTTCTTGCTAATACTCTAAACTTAGACCCCATTTCTTTAGATCCTAACTACCTTCCTGAGACTGATGTACTCGAGAGAAAGAAGAATCTGAACTCATTCCTTGCAAGGCTGCCCGGTGACGATTCCATCTTCTTCATTCGCTTGGCATTGGGACAATTGGCGGGTGCTCTGGAGGTGCCGCTTGCAGAGTCAGATACCCGATTGCCTTTGATGGAGTGCAAGATCTGGACAGGGACTGAGTGGATCATTCACTGGGGACGTCGGATCTTCAAGGTCGTCGCCTCAAAAGATCGCCCAGAAAATACCATTCCGAGACCTGGCCCCTTGAGTCGTAATATCCCCAAGCAAAGCGTTGAGAGATGGGAGTTTTAGAAGAAGCGCTTAACACAGATTGCTAGGGATTATCCCACCACCGCCAGTCAGATACAGCAAGCCTTAGATACGATGAAGGAAGCCGAGCAGGAGAAGAAGGAAACCGACCTAGAGAAGGAAATCGAGCTGGAGAATAAGGAAGCTGAGCAAGAGAAGAAGGAAATACAGAGCAGCAGAGTTCAACTGATTAGTAGAATTCGGGAGAGTTTATTATCATTTGTAGCCATCAATGTTTTTCAGGAATGCCAACAGCCAAATTTGATGACACGGAAAACAAAATGCCACGAATCTGCAAATCTAGGACTTTCACGCGCTATTGTAAGATGTAATTAAAAGCAGAGAACTAAGACCAAAGGACTTTTTCAGGTAATATGCGTGCCTTGCATTAGCCTTTAAAATCAATCTTAGAAACAAATGAAAAAAGTTCACACAAATGTGCGGTCAGGGGTTGAGATTGGCTGGGCTTACTTACATTGACGGGAACACATGACTTCTAACGTCCTAATCACTCCACAGCTTGTTTTATAATACACACGTTTGGGGCAAAGTGACTATCTATTTCTTTGATTTTTCACGAAAGAATCAAGCAAGGCCCATACACCCTGGCCAGGAACGCCTCGTTAATTTAACAGACGGCATTTCTGTGGCGGTGTTGCAACCTTCACCCAAAATGACCCCTGGAAAATCGGGGTTGCTGACCACCATCGCGCCCGCTTCAGCCTCACTCCTCAGGCGGGCGTCGTCATAAGGAGGGTCTGTGTCTGGCCTGTAAAAGTGCGATGTCGGGCACCACCAGTATGGACGGCTCTCCCTCCATTCACCAACGTCGCATCGTTCGTTGCCGCTGATGCAGGCTCTCACCGTTTTTGGCGCCGTCGCCGGCAGCATCTCCGCCGCGTCCGACGTCCTCACAGCCCTTGATCATGCCGTGTCCACGGCGGCAAAGGTCAAAGATGCCCCTCAGCAGGCCGTCGCCACCCTACGGGATGTGCGTATGATGCGGACCAACATGGTTCGCTTCCAGCAGCTGCTGGACAGCCAGAGCCATCTTCGCGATAGAGGCGTATACATTCCGCTGGACGACACTCAGAATACGTTTACAGATTGCATTACATCCCTTGACGAGTTAGAGAGTCTGTTGAAGCCACTATCGGACCCGGATTTGAAACCATTGGATCTTGTCGCCCGGTTGGAGTGGGTGATGAAGGACAAGCGCATCGAGGCTCTGTCCAAGCGAGTTCACGATGCGCAGTCTTCTCTGGGCCTCATGCTTACTATTCTTTCCAAGTAGGTGATATCCCCAATGTCTTTTGCTATAATCATGATTATGAAGGCTAACTGTACTCAGCGAATCTCTGCTCGAGGTCCAAAAGGCTCTAGCCGGGCTCTCTGAGCTCACCAAAACAATCAGCGGCAACGTCGCCCATCTAAATCGGCGTAGCATCAGCACCAAATCAGAAAGATCATCCCGAGTGGCGAAGGAAAACGAGGACGAAGGAGACGTCAACTCTACCATCAGGCCTCTCTCGGCCCTCAGGCGAGCATCGTATGCAGCCTTGGTGTCACGGCCTGATTCTGTCATCATCCCGAGCACCGTAGCGGAGGAACCTGTCGAAGAGACGGATGAAGAGAAGGCCGTCAACATTGTGGCCCGATTTGCCTTCGAAGCTGCATTGGAGAGCTCTCGGGCGTACCGACGAGCGCCAAAATGGGATCTGGATGACGTTTCCTTTCGCTCGTCCGTTATGAACCCACATGCCTGGTCTCTTTTCTCCAAGATGTCGTGTCTCAGTCTGGGCGATGTTTCCAGAATCTCTGTCATTGCGTTGCCTCTCTTCTCCACAGATTTGCGCAACTCTAAGCACTACCAATTTGGGATCACCGAAGAAGAAATCGACCCCATCCAGACCGAGAAGGATGAGCCAGACTCTCAACAACCACGTCCGACGCTCCGAGTCACACCTGTTCCTTCTCCTACCCCTCTGCCGTCCTATGTTTATGGCCCGGTTCCACCCACCCCCTCCAAGACAGGCGCTACTCGCGTTCTCAAGACTTTGAAGAAAGCTCTAAGTCCCGTCGCAAAGGCATTAGATCCTGATAGGAAGTCGCCTGATATAGGCAAGAGGTCGACCAGTCCGACCAGTATCCCAACGGCACCACACACTCCCTTTGGGCCGGCTTTATCTCCTACCTTGAGTCAGCAACCAGATGATGCCAGAAGCATCAGGTCAGAAAATTCGGTCCACACTTTGGGTGATCTAAGCCAACTCAAGCTTAATGAAAATGAACTCTACCTCTTTCACTCGAACGGAGTGCCCTGCCATAACCTAATACTAGAGTCCTTCGATGAGGACGAGGTACATCTATCTTGCGTGAGCCCCGTTGGGAGTCTTGATATGTTCAGTGGCTGACATTTAGAAGGATATCCAAAACAAGATGGGTGCGGGTCAGCTAAATCTAGGTAAGCCCAAGACATCTATACCCTTACTTTAGATAACAACGGATTGATGTTGACGAAATGTGAAGCCGCCTCCCAGGGTTTTCTGGATGTATTTCGCTGCGGCAAGTGCAAGGCTTCGCTGGCCAATATGTCCAAAAGGGAATTCAATGGAGTACCGAAATTTGAGATTTGGTGCGGCGCCCAGACATGTCTGACTTCATCAGAGCTCATGCCATGCCCATGTCATGCCAAGATTATAGAGGTAGGCTTGCCAACAGACAAGTATATCGGCTGCAGGCTGCCCTTCGAGAAAGAGATCAAGTGTTCGCGTTGCTTCGACCTCTGTCCCGATTGTGTTCCTGTCAACCACGACACCTTCCCGGAGGGCTACGGGATCTTCGAGCTCCAGAGCGTATATCTCAAGGCTCAGCAGTGGCTATTTGCAAATGTTTGGAGGGATGACGAGACATCAGGGTGGGAAAAGCAGCTCAACTATCACTTGTCCCAGATCGAAATCCGGCTACGCCTCTGCCCCGTCTCGAATCCTGTCGTTGAGCGGTTCAAGTGGATTCTAGATGCCCGGCAGAGGATCCTAAACTGGAGGAAAGGCATTCTACCTACCTGGAGAGAGATGAACAACCTTGTCGCCCAGGGATCCGACTTTTATAAAGGGCCTATGCAAAATATGATGGATGCCATGGAAGAGTCAGATGCTTTCCTTGAGCGCGAGATGGATCAAAATATAGATCTTGTGCCCGGATTAGCAGTGATTAGACGGAAAGACTCGATTGAGTCTGACTCAGATATTGGCGAGCAGTGGTTCGCCATAATAGGGAACGGTAACATGCAAAACGACAACACGCCAAACGAGCTGGCAGTAGGAATCGCTCTCTGAACAGATCACCCTCGTTTCGGGTGATTTTATTTTCCCCATTACATTCTGTACGATATACCAGGTTGGATTGGAGCAGGCGTTATTAAAACAGGCATATTCCCCTTATCATCAAATTCTTTGGTCAAATGACAGTCCTAGTGTGGAATGTTAGTAGAATAGCGGATTCCTCGGGCATTTATAAGATTAATATAAGTATGATATTTGACTTTTAGAACTCATCTAGTTATTTTTGACTAATAATATAACCAGTAGAGCTAAGTATATTTGAGGTTGAGAGCGAAATGAGGTTGCGTTCGCCATTGTGACTCTCTTGCCCCTTATCCCGAGGCTCCCTCCACAGCCTTAGTAGTCAGCCATAAAATTGTCCACAACCCAAGTCCAATCAGTCCGAAATCGCAACTACAGCCGGCATAAGCATACAATCCCGTACAGACATTTAACACGTTGTGATAAGCCGAGATCTTCGGAAACTCAACTCGCTGCAGGAACATTATAAGCCCTCGATAGCATCCATGAGAATATCACTCATGATCATTCAGCGGCAGCCTTCGCAATAGTGGAATCAAAAACTTGTCTTATCTCAAGAAACTTCTCTTAATAAGAGCTGGCTGCAAGTCATCTGAAAAAAAGTCACACGTCTCTTCTCCACTCTGGGTGAAGAACTCCATGGAATCGTATCCAAGTTGAGAAACCAAATAGCAGAACGTTACCCTTCCCCGTACAAACCTCTTGGGCATCTTTTCCCATTCGAAAGCGGGGGGGTTTTAGAAGAGCTAAAAGGATCAGTACGCTATTAGAATAAACCGCGCCCACCTGCTCATTCCACAACGATCTACTTCAGAGGCCTCCAACGGTCAACCAAGACTCTTCATTCGCAGTGAGCTGTGGAATGCAAGAATACATTCACTATGAAACTATCCTTCTCGTCCGATTTTATGTTGTCCTTACTAGAAGTTCATCTGTCGAACTCAATACCTGCCCAAAAGTAAAGTGAAATAAGCAACCCCAGGAAGGAGATTGCTGAAAATCCTCCTAATTTTGAAGGCTGATCTGCGGCCATTCTATCTTATAAGTTAATAGTACCATAGCGCCACGATGTGTAATGCCGCTCTTTTTTCCTCCATCCACGTCGAAAACATCCCTCGTTGTTGTGACCGAGATTTTCATTAAGATGGCAATGGATGATCTGCCTATCTATAATAATTTCAATGAATAATGGAAGTCCCCAAGCTCAATTCAAAGGGGGAACAGTTTGATACCGTAAATCGCATGTCACCGCGGCGCAAACTCTTCTGCTCAGCCGAGGCAGCAATAAAGCCCTCCTAGCCTCTCAGCACCGGCTTTGCCTTCGTGTTCGTTTGACAAGTCAGCCAAGCTGGATTGCAAACTCTGATGTCAGCATATCCGGGCGTCCGAAACCCCTGATTATGCCTTGGCAGAGGCTGAGTTTGAACCAAACAATGGTGGTGGACTTTGTGGACTTAGGCGCTTACATCCATGCTACCCTATACCAACCATGTAAGACAAAGTGCAATATATTTCTCTATTGATGTGGTCTTTCGAACAAGGCAGTGCAAGGTCGGGTTTTTTATAATACCGAATTCATACATCGCTCGGGGGATAATTCGGCCGTTGTCAAAACGGAGCCGGTATCTCATCCGTTATCAATTCTGAGCTACATCTAAGGCCGAAACTGCAAGTTGATTCTACGCGATAACATGTGATTTGGTTCTCATCTCATGTCAAAACAGGCTGTGCTCTGATGAGTTGCAAAAGGTCTAAACTAGTACGAAATGAAATTACCTCGTTCTCATCGAATTTGATCCTAAAGCGAGAGGAGAGATGAAAAGTGGAAACAGAGGACGTTGCTTTGGGGCTGTGAAGAAGAAAGCCCGCTATAGGCTTTGATAGAAAGAGTTTTACAGTGGTGTGTTTATAACCCTTGCAGAAAAGTAGCTAGTATAGCCGGCAGTCCACGAGTGAAAGGTATCTTGTTGTCTCATCACAGCCCGCCAAGCCTCGCCGATGATGCATCCCGTGGGGTTCGTGATGTGGTCACTCCCCTCTTCCCCGGTGACAAACCATTGGGACGCGGCCGATCTTACAAGGTAGGTTGCTATCGGGCCGGACCATAAACGACGGTGTAGATATTGGTGAGGATTTGACTTTTGGCAAGCAAGGTTCACCGGGTAGCGGGACAAGACTTCACCTGGAGGACTTTCTCCGCCGGGACAACAAGCTATCGAGCATGGACTACGCATTGGGTTTGCCCCCATTGAGGCTGTGAAGAGGGAGCTTGGTTTTTCAGGTAATTGTGGAGCTTGAGGGGAGTTTGTTTGCCACGGCCATGTGAAATATTGCTGCAGCTAACAGGGTCGATCATGAGGAGGTTGGTGGGAATGGCGTCTAGAATGGCGCATCGTCGATATCGCCATGGAAGAGGCAGCCAACAACTACGATGGCGATAGCCTGATCCTGTGCCAAGTGACGAGATGAATTATTGGATTATTACTTGTGCGTACATATACCTGCCGTTTCCACGTCATCTAGACCTTATTTGGCGGTGGCTGTGCTGCGGAATCGGACAGCGTATTCAACATCCGGTGCATGAACAAGAGCCGAATGTTGGCCCGGCTCTGATTAGGCCCGCACTAGTTGTGCAAACTGGATGAACACACGATCCATGTCTCATCTTGTCTTGTCTTGTCTCTTGTTGGGCAGTCGGTCTTGTAGACGTTGAAATATGCCCTTGGCTCTACGGAATGTGGGTTCTCAGGAATGAGCTGGTTGTGGGTTGTGGGGAGTGGCATGAAGCTGGAAATGAAAGTGGCCCTCTATCTGGGTGCAAAGACCTGTTGAAATGATTAGGCCGTCTTGGGAGACCGGGGTACACTATGATGAGATGAGGAGGGCCTCTTGGAGAAGTTCCCCAGGGATGCTGTCCCGGATGAGGTAGGTAGTCCTCTCCCACTGCGATAGAGCTACGAGAAAATGGAAAAGCGTCTTTATTGACGTAATGAGGTAATTACAGGCTCAGAGAATTTGTACGTTTTGGGTAGGATGGTTGAGGGGAAGATTGACCGCTCAAGGTCAAAGTTCTCACGAGCGGGAGAGAGGCCAACCACCAGGTAATACGTACATTAGTACTGCGAGAATGGAGTTAGTATGAGAAGTTACATACGCAGCTACCCACGGGTACATGGCCGAGCAGCCAACCAGATCGCCAGAGGGGCGATATTATGATTCAGTTGTGCAGAGAAAAACCCAGTTTGCAGTGGCATCATCGAGTAAAACAGCGATGTGCACCGGACACAGCCTCAATTGTGGAGAAGCTGAACATGATTTGGGTTGCTTGGCAAGCCAAGATACAACATGGCAAATGCACTCCCACCTCGGGATCGACGCACGGCCCATCGTATCTTCGGATTGTGGGCGGGAGGCATCCGTCCACACACTCTGCTGCTAACTCACGGCTCTCCGCGGTTTTGGTGAAATCTGATGTGGTTGCCTGGAGGACTGGACCGCACCAGCCACTGCCTGCGCCACAGGCTCCCGGCTGAAGCTGTGGCTTGGCCCTGGTTCTCGACCGTGGTTGAGTACGCATGCAGTGGCGGATTATGCCGATGCCCGACCACACATGCGTGTACACGGCACGTACGAGGAAAAGAGATAGAGATACACCTCCAGATGATCGGCGTCCGTTGTGCGGATGATACCTGCATGCCCGTGGACACGATGCTGGTGGTGGAGTGGGGGTTTCGGCTGCTCGCATCACTCATCTGGGCAGCGACACTGGGACAGATGGCCTGGATGGGTAGCAATCAAGCTTGGTGACAACATCGATGACATTAGCGCTGCACCTGAGCGCAGAAATGATGTCTGCTGGCTCGTCGGTCTGCAGCTGTTGGGTGCTTGGCACGATCGCACGACCCTGGCCGTGGGCAGACAATTGGAAATTTAGAATTAACCTTGTTTTGGTCGCCGTCACAGCAGCAGATGACGGGACCGGTCTAGCACACGAGGTAATGAAGCCACCGTATCAGCGGCTTGCGTGCCAAGCTTTGATACCCTGCAGATGCAGATAGATTGAAGTCTCTGGGTGCGGAGTAGCATCCTATTCAGTCCAGTTCGTCAGAGAGGAAGGGGACGGACCCCAACAAGACCCCGTCGCCCACTTTTGTTCTCGAAGGCGTTGGCTTTCGGTGTTTTGGCTGACCAATTTGCACATGGCATGGCCGCCTGACGGCAGGTCACAGCTTCTCATTAAGCCTTGCACAGCCCAAGTCTTGAGGCTTCGGCTTTGCTCTCCATTTGTTGCCAGGCGTCTCGCCGTGCTCAGGGCTATGGCGACGGCGGTTACTGACAATGGAACCCAGATCCCAGGCTCCAGCGTCAGAGCCCACGCACGCGTGTGCGTTGTCATCATTGATCCCAAACACTCATTCTCCTGAGGCGGCAAAGAAACAGGCGGGCGGGAGCGAATGAGGGCCGTGCAGCCTTTCTTTCGGATGGTCGTGCATGAAATCACTCAGAAGGGGGCTGTGCAAAAAATTCTCCACCACCCTGGCTGTAACTCATTACCGCAACGACCTGAAGGGCCAGTTCTGGGGCAATCGTGATTGGGTCCATGGGAGGGGAGTGTTTTGGAACAGGATGCTGGCATTTGAGTTTGCGGACGGACAAAGAAAAGGCTTCTATCCCGTAGCACACACGCTTCTCTGCTGACACGACGCTTAGGTCGTTCTTTCTCTGCCGGCAATTAAGCTTTGGCATCTAGATGGAGATCTCCAGGAACCGCTGACCGTACCTGCTGCCAGCGACAAGTACCTGGAGGTAACGCTGGGAAAGCCGCCCAGGGGAGCCAGGGGAGGACACGGAGATCGCCTGGGCGCCCGCTGGACTTAGCTAGAGGCCTCCCCTCCAGGTCCTCGCTAGACGCCGTGCTGGCCAATGGCCTATCCCTGCTGCACTAAGCATATTCAGTGGACCCAGCCAAGGGG